CATGGATTTTTCTGGCAATTTGTATCAAGCTTTTATACTTCCTGTGATGATGTCACACAATATTCAATAAAATTTTCTAATTTACGGACTGTTCCGACTGTTCGAAAAATAGGAAGTGTACCGTAACATGCCGTAATCTTGACAAGTTACAAGAAAAGATAGAATGTTTGGTAAAGATTTTTTACCATATAACAGGTTCTTTTCGTAAAACAAAGTTGATAAATAAAATGTGCAAATCAAGAGGTAGTCAAATTTTTCTTTAAAAAATTAAAAGCAAGTAGTAGGAGAGATTAATAGAGCGATTCTGATGTCTAGTCGGTTTTGTTACTACGACACAAATATGCGTATTATGGTATTCAACCGGGCATATAACACCAATATGAGCTGTATTCTCTATTTGCTGGGAAAACTTTTAACAGATAAAATATTATTTTTAAAATGTGCAAATAAACAATTTTTTTTATTTAAAAAAATATTTTAAAATAAGTAAGACATTTTTAAGAAAACAGGAGAAGAAATTGAATGTCTAGTCTTATTTGTTACGCCTTGAATTTTTGACGTTTCTACGCTTAAATGACGTATACAATAACGTCAGAAAAGTATATTTTGACGTTACAAAATCAGCCCCAATTCTGTGCGCGACGTCTAATGGATTTCGTAAAGAAAATTACACTGAATGTAAATATTGCTTAATGTTTGTTTCTTTATTACAAAATGTAACAACGACACATCATACATTACTGCGTTTTAGAGTATCCATAACATGACGATATTGATAGTTCAACATCATTCAACTTTTTTTTTATCAATTTTTTTTCATCCTATTCTTCTCTGCATCGAATCGTGAACAGGTTTCCGAGATAAAAGGAAACTTCATCAGATATTGTTAATTTCTGCCAGTGCTTGTAGATTTCATTGTCATTGATGTTCGCCAAATCAATTTCTCAGCTTTTTTAATTTGTACAGGAACTAAAAGGTTAAAAAAGTATATATGGCAAACAATATTTTGTCAATATTTATCAATATTACGTTTTTAGAAATCTATTGTCCATTTGTATGAAATTGACAATTTTTAAGTATTCAGGTGAGCAAACATATGAAATATATATCCGTCGTAATATAATTTTATCTGGAAATCTTTTAAATCTTAAAAAATTGCAAATATAATTGAAAATGAATATTATTTGACTAATGGAGAAAATATTAATTAGATGACTTGAAAGATTCTTAAGAACAATAAAATGTATATAACTAAAAAGATTTTGAAAATAAACACACATTTGAAACCGTGGGGAAATCGGTAGTCTTCATTCTTACGAATGTCATCTGTTGTATTAGACTATCAACATGCCAAACAATGTTTAAGATAATTCTTCCTCACTTATCATTTGCAATACAGCACAATATTTGAAAAAAAAATCAGGTGAGTTGATAATGGAAAAGCAGAATCATCTCGTTTGCTCGTTTGTCATACAGTTTTCCGTTGGTTATAATCAGTAAGCTATTTATTTATGAAAAATATGCCTATGTGCAAGTCTGTGTGATTTATACACCAATAAATCTCTCGAAACTTAATTAACATTCCTTATATTTACATTTTAAATGTTTGAAAGCATAAAAAATATGCTCAATATTTGAATTTTTTGCTGCCCAATGTATTTTTTACTAATGTCTCATTGCCTCATTGTAACGTCATGTTTGCGCAAATTTCTACGCATTAGTATACACGAAAACGGTTTTCAAATCAATTTCACTGTTGGCTTACTAGAAAAACACAGCAAATGTAAATAGTCGATGATCAATGTACTATCTCAATAAAAATGATCTAACTAATGACATAAAAAGTGTAAACCAACTTATTTTTGTTGGGTTTTTCTCTACTTCCCTACTTACTTGACACGTATTTTCTGTAAGTAAATACCTTTCACAAACAAACACTGTTAAACACAATACAATGTAGGTTAGATGGAAGTATAAATAGAAGAAAAAAAACTTTTTCAAAATGCTCTATATTCTTTTTTTCAATTATTGTAGAGTTCTTGAAAAGAGGAGCACGACACTACTTTATGCTTAGAAAATTATCCATTCTATTTGATAGTCCCCGGTAATTTATAGGCCCGTCATATTAAATAAGAAATTTAAAGCAATAAATTGGTTTGTATATAATCAAAGCAAATTAAGAGCTCTTTAAACAGCTATATTATCTTTATCATTATGATGCACTTATTTGGGTCTGTAATAAAACAGAATCGCAGTCCACGATATCAAGTAGTTGAAGTTCTTTCCCTCGATGCTGGCAAAAAACAATTGATTTTGAAATGTTGCAATTTTTTTTTTCAAATATTTTATCTAAAAATTATTCTTGAAGACATAAGATATAGTTTTCACAAGTTTTTTTTTTTTATTGATTTGGTCTTATTGATATTATGTTTAAACTGAAAATCATGCATTTACCCATCCACCTTTGAAGGAATTGCAAATCGACATACAGTTTTGTAACAACTCTGTGAATGCAGAAATGTGCAAAGGAAAATGTAGTACATTATAGTGCTAAATAAAATCTATACCTTTTAATGATGAAATTAATTTTAGCAAAGAGTAATCATTAACTTCCTCTGAAACCTGTCTCCCAGTGTCACGAAAGTAGCTTTGAAAGCAAGATAAACACAGATAATTAAACATTGCCTTTCAAATCGTGCTATACAGCAAAATATACGTTAAGAAATTCACACGGATAATGTGCAACCAATTTGAAAATTATACTGTCAAACTTTACTTATGATAAAAATGTGTGATGGGGAAAAGTAATCCTTAATTTAAAAAAAATTCTCATATTAGAATCTCATCTTTCCAAACTGTGTCGGATTTGAGGATTTCAATTTTAAAAAATGGAATATGTGAGTATTCTTAAATTTTGCAATTAACAATTCAAAAAAGTACTTGTATCCCACTGATTTTTTTGTGGGTGAGCATAATGAATATGTTTTGAAGATTTGGATCTTGCCCCTAAATTCTGACTTTTTAAAATTATATAAATTTCATAATATAAATAAAAAATGTGTGGAGCATTTTACACATGAGTAAAAAGTCGGAAGAAAAGTCAATTACAAAAAAAAAAAATAAACAAATAAATAAAATTTAAAAAAATATATTAGTTTAAATCAATAGGGAATTTTGAATGAGAGGAAATCACACATTATAAAAAAAATAGCAGAACAGTGTAATGCTTTGACACATAATGTATATTTCTTTTAATCATAAATTTCACATGTCATTCTTATTTTTTTGATAATCAAATCAAGTGGACTTTATATAAATAAACATCAGTCATATGAAATTAAATTAAGGATATTCAACTAAAATGTCCCAACTAAAGTGAACGGACTGCAATTTGTCTCAAAAGTCCAATCAATCAAAGCAGTTTGAGGCAGATCAGCCCTTTGGAAACAGAGGTTGGATCAGGTGCCATGGAAAATTGAGTATCCTATTATATGACGACCATTCACATCCGCCGCATGTTCCTTGGAATGATCGGTAAAACGGACAATTTCGTGGACAATCCAGTCGGAAAATAATTTCTAACAATTTGTTTCAAAGACGTTAGTCAACATTCTACTCAACGATAAACGGTATTTGCAAACGAGGTCGTTCTGCCGAACAAAGAATTTGTGAAAAATTGACTCTTTAATGGTATCCTTGCATCATCATTTTATCTTTGAGATGCCTGCAGCATTTTTTAAATTGTTTGTACGTAATACACATTGTTGCATATAAATTCAACTGCGGACATAAACATTGGACGCAAGTTATAGTAGAGATTACTTTAAATTTCTAGAATAGAATAGATATTATGATAATTATTTGCAAAGAACATTTACAAAGTACTCTACCCTAACATAGTTGCCCCAAGCGAAAAGTTAATAAAGAGAACAGAGAAATTAACAATACAAGGATACGCAGTACCATTTTGTATATAACGGTATCATGAACAACAATTCCCCATCTGAGTTTATTCTCTATGTCAATTTGTCCCTTGTCATAGTATCCATATCTAACACAAGAATAATCAGACTAGATTGATTTTTTTGATTTTGTTTGGCATACAGACCAAATAATAACGTAAATGAGGATAGAGAATCTTTCTATTTCAATATTTCGCTCTTTATTGAAAACATTTGTAAATAGCTCGTATTATCGGTAAATATATTACCTATTGTTGTAGCTATTTTAGTGGATTGTCTGTTGTACTCTTATGAGGAGTTGTATTATTGCAAATATGTGTCCTGCTCACATGCAATGTTGATTAAGGAACACATAAAAGAGATAGGCTTTTGAAATCTGCTTGATGGAAATAGAAATATTCACCTTGCACGCGACTGGTCGTATAATAATGATTATTAATAATGGCTCATCTAACATCAATTGTCAAAAGAAATTAAATACAATTAATAATTATTTTGTAAATAGAGTTAAGATTTTAAAAAAATTAAAATTCTTTTTTAAATTTAACGGCAACTTTTTGAATTAAACAATAAGTAAGTATGTTACTTGAAACTAAGTTAAAGTTAAGATAAAAATAAAATGGTTTTGAAATGGAAAATGTCATAATCTCTGAAACTGAAATAAAATGGTTTTGAAATGGAAAATGTCATAATCTCTGAAACTGAGTTAATGACATCATCTCCAGCGATTTGTTTCTCTAAAACTAATTACAAGTCGCTGAAGATGAAAGTATTCTTCATATCTTGGGGTCAACTTGTACGAATCAGAATGCATGTAGAAAAAGGTATCTTTTGATAAGTTAAACAGCTTCATTTTATTCGTAAAAGTAATATATAATAACATGCATTTCAATGAAGATGTATTTTTTTTTTAAAGTTGATACGTTTTTATTAGTTAAAAATTTATTTAAAAAATAATTAAGAACAGTGGAACTGTATGTTTAATATTCTTTGGTCAAAAATTAAATTAACATTTAATTTAAATAAAAATTATTTCAGGTTCTCCGGATGATACACTAGAGGGATGGTTAAAGCTCCAATGTTCATTTTGTGTCTCTTTACTCTGTGTGAGTAGTATCTATTTTTTGTTTCAAATATCACGTGATCATTTTCTAAAAATAGCCATTTACATAGAAATTATGTTTTTCTCGATACTAAAATATCAGACAGAAACTTTTTTTTAAAAAAATCTAGCGGAGCTCTTACGAGATTGCTTACATTAAAGGATACATCAAACAACAATTTAGATATAATATTTATCTTCAAAATTATTTCCAGGGAAAAAAATATCTCTCAGGACTAAAACATGGTGTGTTAGTTGATGAAAACAAAAAGAGAATTTTATATCATGTTAAATTTTCTCACAATAGGTTATCTCCCGGAGTGTTTAATGCAGACCATTACAGTCGAAGGTAAACAATCGTTATAAAGTATGTGCATTATTTAATAAGAATTCAAGATAACACAGCAGTAGATGTTTTTAATGTCCATCAAATCGTATGGCATTTAATCAAGAGCTGTATAATACAAACCAAGAGCTAAAATTTTAAAAGTACTCGAAAGAAATAGAAATACATACTTGAATACATATCAAAATTTGAATTTAATTTTATTTGTTATATGGATATGCAGAATATTTTGTAAAACAAGAAACTTCTCTCTCTCAAAAATAGTCAACTACACTTCCTTGTAAATTTTTGCAAATATTTTTCTCTCTCCTCGAAACACAATGTGAATTAACTAATTTTGAAAATGAATCTTGTATTTCAGGTTACTTTGGCAACATCAAAAAGTTGACATATGAGATTTTTGATGCCGAGGCTAACTTACCTGAGTCCCTTGCTCATTGTGCAACAGTTGGGATGGGGAAAGCTAGCACGAATTCGGCTACATTCATGTATGTTCGAGCGAAATTACTGGAATACGGGTGGTAAGTGACAACGATTATTACAAATTAGAAGATTTTATTTGTCCAGTTTGAGCCCCCGGAGGAGAAAAAAAAATACCGGTATAACAAACATGAAGCAAAACAAGGAGGAGGATCCAAATAACTAAATGATAGAACAAACTATACATTTTATACAATGAGAGGAGCAGAGTTGATAATTGATAAATACATTTACAAAAGATGTAAAAGATTATCTGTAGTGATGTTTATTAAAGTTTGAGCAGAATGTACTGAAAACTAAGTATTAAAATGACTATAAAATAACCTTAACACCTTAAATATACCATCGCATATCTCATTTTATAAAGATGTTTTCCCTCTATCTTTTTGTTTGGTCCGATGAGCAAAAGAAAGTATCTCAAAAGATGGTTTATCAAATTAAAAAAAAATCCTGAACTAAAAATACATGTAGAAATGAAATAATGATATTGGAAAAAAAACCCTGTGATTTGCATGCTTACCCAATTTTTCTTTGTATGATAAAAGAGGAAACTACTTTATAATTAAAATAGTTGCTTGTAGTCCAAAAGGATTCAGTTTTTTTTTACAAAAAGAAATAATAATGGAGATAAAGAAAAATATTTTTGCTCAAAAGTGTAATAAACAATACAGGTTTTGGAGCACAGCAAACTCGGACCTCAAAAACATTAGAGCTAAGGTGAGGTGCTATAGAGGAATGAGCATCCACTACCGACAAGTTTTCCATCGTGAGCACCTTGTCATGATGGGGAAAATAATGAAAAATCTGTCGACAATTTAGTTGTAAATAATAGCCTTATAATTAGTTTATACGAATTGTAAAAACGTCAGTCAGCATTTGATTTAATGATAAAATTGTATTTGTTGAAAGGTCATTGTATCGACCATCCGAAATGATGACTTTAAACGAGACTGCTGATATTCTTGTTACAAAAACTTCTTTGTCAATAGCCTACCTTGTTTTTGAACTTGTTTATACGTAGAGCATGCGCTGGCGTATAGAATCAACTGCGTGAGATGAACCCTGCATGCAAATGAAAAATTAAGGTATATTGTTGTATTAGTTAGAGAGGTTGATGATTGAAAAGTCTAAGTCATCAGGTTTATTAAAAAAGTTTGTTGTCTAATTATCATTAACGCCTTGGTCTTGTAAAATTTCAGAATATAAAACAAATTTTATTGTCCCAGATATGTCAGACTTTGTGGTATCTTATTTTAAGCACACTGGGATATATCGTATTGACATAAAATCAGTTTCTTGGGTTGTCATTCTTTGGATGAGAAGAGTTCATGAAATATTTGCTGACTAATGTATTTTTCTGAACGCAATTTCTTTTAAATGTGCATTTTGAAACTGATAAAAAAAATGTAAGATTCACACGTCACGTTCATTTTTCCCCCTCGTATTATCAAATGGTTAAAATTATGGACGAGTAAAACGTTCATTTTGTAGATATAGTTATTTATGAACTTTAAACATTTTGAATAGCAGTACACACCTAAGAAAACTATCTAGTTTTCTTGTGATTTAAATGTTCTAAACGTTTTAAAATTTTTCGATTAAATCCCATATCTTTTTAAGCGAATTCATTTGCATTTTACCAAGTGCTGCATGGTAATAATTGTTAACGCTTATTTTATGTTAAAGACGGTAGAGTTGCATCTTCCTATGGAACTCATTGATCAAAAAAGGTCTTTTTGGGTTAAGATTAAATGTTTAAAGAATCTGATTATATAAATTAGATTGTATGTTCACAGGCCTCAGAATAAATCCTTGGTATTCCCTATTTACTACCCATATGACGCCACATATAAATGGTATGATGTCAGTAGATGTAACGTTTACAGAAGAAATGATGGCGTCCCAATAGCAGGGTCTCCAACTGAGAGATGTGCTAAACTTATCATGGACCCATTCAGTCAATACTTATGGGAGGCTGTCAATTGTTCAACGAGGCTTCCATTTCTTTGTCACAAAGGATACAATATAGGTGAAAGAGACATTCAGTAAACCAGTAAACACTTTTTTTTAAATTTAAAGATTTCTCAATACTCAGATTAAGTTTTCTGTATAAAAAATAAACAAATATTTAACATTCTTGCTATTGTTTTCATTACTTAATAAACAAATAGTACTAGTGGATTAGCAGTTAAACTGTGTTTAAACAAATTTTTATGCACCCGGATCGATAGATCAGGACGTATATTATTTTTGTCCAATTTGTCTGTCTGTTTGTCTGTCTGTTTATCTGTTTGTCTGTCTGTTGTCAACTTTAACCTTCGCCATAACTTTTGAACCATAGCAGATAGAGACTTCATAAATGGTACGCATACTACACTGATAAAGTTCTTACAAATGACACCAAGGTCAATGACCTTGTGACCTTGACTGTGACCAATATATGCTAAAAATAGCTTTTTCGAACTTACACAATAGCTTTTTCGAACTTTGTTGCCGCCGGGCGCATATTGTTTCACAAACACATCTTATTAATTTATATAAATCCACTGCGCAGTGCTGTCTTCCTTTTGTAATATACTTTTTCCCATGATGTATTTTTTCAGATAGCACGGGGAATGAAACATACATAGGAACACAAATAGACCAAAACATCACGGATGAAAGCGTTCTTTTCCAGGTATTTACCAACATGAGCACTCCCCTGGATTGCGAGGAACACTGCCTCAGGAGAGTACGGATTTGTATCGCCGTGGAAGTCGTTCAGATCAACGACACAGACTTTGAATGTACCGGTGCCATGATTAATTTCAAGCAGTACTTCAATCTTAATATGAGTGTTCAGGTTAACTTGATTCCGGCGCCTGACAATTACACAGTGTTTGTCAAGGGATTAAATCAAAGTGATGAAGGTGTGTTACTTGTTTTAACTGGTAGTTTTTATATTTGAAGATTCCAACAATAAACAATAATGTTTCAAATCAAATTGTTCAATAATATACATTTTCAACAATTACTTAAAAAGTTAAAGCATATGCTTTATATTTATTTTTTGATATTATTTGAAATTTGCGAATAAGGAAGCGCAACAAAGCTTTCAAATCGCAATATCCCTGTACTGTTTTAGAACACAAATGCAAATATTGAAACAATGCTTTTAATAAAAGAGAGAAAATTAAATAAAATGAAATTGATATTTTCAATATATAATTGAATCTTTTAAACATATTTACAGATACCCTCGAAATTCTGCTTACCTTTTTTATCGATAATTACAATAATTGACTGGGAAAAATATAAAACGTTAATTTTCTACCTCTGTATTAATCACTTGTATATTTTTACACTCTATATACAAAGTAATATATAATGTAAATTTTTTTTACAGTTATTATAAACAATGGATCGTCCTTTGTAACGTCCATAAACTTTACTGAAAATAATCTGGGATGTAAGTAATAAAAGCAGTTTCTTTAAAAATATGACAAAATTAAATAATGCATTATCTTATGCTTCATTTTTTTAAAATTATCATCTTTTATATTCCATGAAAAAATTATTTAAACCAGCGTCTTATCTTTTCTAGGCTCATATAACTACGATTTTCCAACGACAACAGTAGCTCCGAACTGCAGTTGTCTGTGTTCTTTTACCAATTACACCGACTCCGAGCTTCAGGCCTGGATACAGCAAATAAAGAATCAGCTACTTCTTAATAAAAAGGAATTGTCCTCAAACGCTCGAAAGAAGATTTCGGCGAGTGACCCTCGAGCCTCGTCACAGACTATTGGGAGTTTTGGTGCCATAGTCATTGTAACTGTTATAGGAATTATTGTAATTCCAGACATACCGCTCATTTTAAAACAGATCAAATATTTATCTAAAAGATGATTTGTATAATTGCTGAATAAAGGGTCAAAGGATTCCTAACATATTTTAATCCACTTCAATTTAAAACTTAATAATCAAGAACGAATTGTGCTTATTATCTTAGAATCTGGAAGTGGTTAAGTTACGAATATTTAGCTTTCTTTAAGCGTAAAGCTAAATGTTGGTCCACAGTGTGGTCAAAATTTTCATGAAATTAAAATAGAAAAAAAAAACTTGCTGATCTCTGACGAACAATAGAGTCAAAGTTACTTAGGCAAGCATTTTGCCCAATGGGACTCTTGGTGACTGATATTGGTTTGGATGCTGAAATATCTGCAACGAGTAAAGTAATCTAAAGTGAATAATATAAAACTTTGGTTTATTCTTTGATCTTGATAAACAATCATTGAAATATCAGTAACTAAAACTATACTCCGATAAAGTCATTCAGAATCCCTCTTTAAAAAAGTCTTTTTCTCCACTAATAAAAGAAGAGGGGCTCATTTGATATGAAATAAGAAATTTCATTTCTTTAATCTTTAGTTCTTTACTCAATATTATATTTGTTTAAATAAAAAAGAATTATTACTTATTTATATGTAGGCAGATCTATATAAAATATACGATACAGGAAAAGGTACCTCATTATATAAAAGGCTTTAGTTTCGTCTCCGTTACACCATATTAGATTCAACGTGACATTAACTTAAGGGGATACAGGTAAAATAACCTGATGTATAACCAGACAAGCCAGAGGAACTCATAAGAGCCTTGTGCTGTATTTTACGGTTGGTTGGTGTTTAGTGACTGTATACGGATGGTTTCTTTGCATCATCAAATTGTTCCTGTGGAAAATCATTGGTATAAAGAAATTCTTTTGGCACAAATCTGTTATATATTTGCGCATAAATGACAAACTTGAACATAAATATCTTACACAAAAAATTAAGGGTTTGCAATCACAATATAAACACTCAATTGTTTCCGCATTTTACTGTAAGATTCTACATACGGATTTACCGACAAGGAAGTTTTAAAGAAACTTACAAGTATATCAAATATGATTCGTTTGAGGTAACTTGTATTTATCAAATTAAAATTCATAGAAACGTTTAATTTCATAGAAACTTTAATTTACTGACGTATGTTAACATTTTTATTGAGTTTAGACAGAAATCAAGAAGTAAATGCTGAGGAGTTTTTCCACTTTCTTGATTTTTATTTATCTTATTTAAAGGAATGGATTCTTTTCAGATCGTCCGAAAGGTAAAGAAATGAACTATATTTGATAGCTACCTATCTCTAATATGACATACACTGTACTCATTTTAATAAAATTTAATCAGTGTTCATATTAAAGAAGTGAAAAGTATGAGTTCATCATTATGAGTTACTCCTTGTTTTTGTTAATTTATAAACGTTGAGTATAAAAACATGATGTTCTGTTACTATGTGTCTCATTTTAAATTGTTAATGTTGACATTTTATATATTTTAGAGATGATAAATAGACCTGCAGGGATATGAAAGATACATGATGAAATCTAGGTTTCTTCAAATGATTTGTTTCTTTTTAGCACATGACAAAAATGTTTTTGGTAAGTTGATCAAGATGTAAAGTTTTATATATCCAAAAAAAAAATGTTATTAGCTAAAAAGTGCTCAAATAGTCTATGTAACCGCTTTAAATTGTTCTATAGTAGATGTTGACATCCCAGTTTTTAGCTCTACTGGTCAGAGACCAGAAGAGCTTATGCGATAGTAATGCGTCCGTCGTCCGTTTGTCTGTCTGTCTGTAAACAATTTTTCAAAATGCTACATCTACAGTTTTGGTCTGATTTCAATATAACTTGGCACACAAGTAGACTTTACTAAGATACATAATTCTGTGCAGCGGTTTTTGATTTTGATGAACGTTGTTGCCGTGGTTACTAAAAATAGAAATTTCTGTGACATGCTTTCAAAATGCTACTCCTCCTACAGTTTTGGTCTGATTTCAAAACAACTTGGCACACAAGTAGACTATACTAAGATACATAATTATGTGCATCGTTTTTTGATTTCGATGAACAGTGTTGCCATGGTTCAATATTTCAATATAACTTGGCACACAAGTAGACTATACTAAGATACGTAATTCTGTGCATCGATTTTTGATTTCGATGAACGGTGTTGCCGTGGTTACTAAAAATAGAAATTTCAGTGAAATGCTTTCAAAATACTACTCCTCCTAGAGTTTTAGTCTGATTTCAATATAACTTGGCACACAAGTAGACCATACTAAGATACATAATTCTGTGCATCTGTTTTTGATTTCGATGAACGGTGTTGCCATGGTTACTAAAAATAGAAATTTCTGTGAAATGCTTTCAAAATGCTACTTATCCTACAGTTTTGGTCTGATATCAATATAACATGACACACAAGTAGACCATACTAAGATACATAATTTTTTGCATCGGTTTTTGATTTCGATGAATGGTGTTGCCATGGTTACTAAAAGTAGAAATTTCTGTGAAATGCTTTCAAAATGCTACTCCTCCTACAGTTTTGGTCTGATTTCAATATAATTTGGCACATAAGTAAATTATACTAAGATACATAATTCTGTGCATCGGGTTTTTTTTATTTCCATGAACGATGTTGCCGTGGTTACTAAAAATAGAAATTTCTGTGAAATGCTTTCAAAATGCTACTTATCCTACAGTTTTGATCTGATTTCAATATAACTTGATACACAAGTAGACTACACTAAGATACATAATTCTGTATATAAATTTTTGATTTCAATGAACTGTGTTGCCGTGGTGACTAAAAATAGAAATTTCTGTAAAATAATTTTAAAAGCTATTACAAATACAGTTTTAGTTTGATTATAATATAATGTGGCATGCAGATAGACTACACTAAGATACATTATTGTCTTTATTGGTTTTTTTAAAAAAAATATTTTGATGAATGATGTTGTCATGGTGACTTACATCGAAAATTCTTTAAAAGGAGATGGGTGCATTTGGCGTGTGATCTGCAGGAATCATTTGTACGAAACATTTATGGTTTAAATGTTCATGATTTGGTTGGCTGGTCACATTTTACAAACATGTTCATAAGTTTTTTTTTCATTTAGTTTGAGGGAATTTTAGATTTCTATCCTTTTTTCCTAGAGGGTACTATAACATAGTAATATGTCAAAAAAAAAACCCACATAAATATTTAATGCATAGATGTATGATACGTGTACATGTACTTTATAGAATAGAAGATTTAGAATTCATTTCGCTCGAGAACCAAATTGAACCAAAATTTATTCCATTCAAAATTTTAATACTTCAGTACATAAAACAAAACTGACAAAATAAATGGTTGATTGCATGGAAAAAAAATGAACGCCCATGCAAGGCTCGAACCAAAAACGTTTCATTCGAGTGCACTGAACAGGTAGCCAAACTTACTGAGCTATCAACGCTACACATATAGAGATGATTTTAAAAGGACAAAGAAGCACCACATTCACACATTTGGATTTTTTTGGGGAAAGTTCATTTTTCGTGGTCTCTGGGTCTTCTCTCCATTTTTTAAAAATGTGTATTCGTTTCTTTGAAACAAAATACACAAAAATAACGTTTAAAAATTATGCAGAGAAGACCCAGAGATAGAAAAATTTTAGAAAAACGTGTTTAAAAATATACCATTTTATACCAGATGTCTGATCTGGCCAATTTTCAGAGTTATTTTTTAGCAAATTAAAGCTCAATTTCGGGAAAATATTTTCCTTTCCTGTTGCCCAGAAACCCGATAAATAAAGAAATGTTTAAATTTCATGTGACATGTCACTTTTCAATAACGCCCAGATTCCTGCCAAATGCCAATAAAAAGCGCCCTCGTTCTTTATTTAGAGCTACTCCTACAGTTGTAGTCTTAATGCAATATTGCCACAAAAAGTGACTTAATCAAGGATAATTATTCTATTTATTGCTGTTTTAAAGTTTCAAGTCCTTACTGGTACTTTTCTCTTCCTTTGTTATAAGCATATACCAGTAGAGCTACAGTCTGGACAGAGACTTCTGGTTATAATGTGTAATGTAACAATCTATTATGTTTAAATATTTCATGCAGATGCAATGTGGTGCCTTCATCTTCTTTCATGCAATAAATATTCAATGAAAGAAAAAGTGAGCAAGCTTACATACCCCACGCTCCCCCAAAAATCAAAGTGCTGAAAATCTCCGAAAAAACAAAAGAAATTTGAACATCTACATATTGTTTCCTAAATATCTGCAAAGATTGATGAAATTCTGTGCAGGGGTTTATGAGGAGTTGCGCTGACAAACTGTTCATCACTATATTCAAGATATCCCAAAAAATCTAGGTTAAATAGTGCCGAAATTCCCAGAAAGATAAAGACTTCGGAATTTCCTGGGAATATGCACATCTATACATTGCGTTCTGAATATCTGCAAAGTATGATGAAATTCTGTGCAGCGGTTTAAGAAGAGTTGCGCTGACAAAATATTCATCTGTATATTCAAGGTATGGACAAAAATCTATGTTGAAAAGTCCGAAATTCCCAGAAAAATAAAGGAATCGGAATTTCCTGGTAATATGCATATCTACACACTGTGTCCTAAATATCTGCAAAGTTTGACGAAATTCTGTGCAGCGGTTTAAGAGGAGTTGTGCTGACAAACTGTTCATCTCTATATTCAAGGTATGGCCAAAAATCTAAGTTGAAAAGTTTGGGAATTCCTGGAAAAAATAAAGGAATCGGAATTTTCTGGTAATATGCACATCTACACAATGTGTCCTAAATATGTGCAAAGTTTGACGAAATTCTGTGCAGCGGTTTATGAGGAGTTGTGCTGACAAACTGTTCATCTCTATATTCAAGGTATGGCCAAAATTCTAAGGTTTTAATGCGGAAATTCCCGGAAAAAATAAAGGAATCAGAATTTCCTGGTAATATACACATCTACACGATGTGTCCTAAATATCTGCGAAGTTTGGCGAAATTCTGTGCAGCGGTTTATGAGGAGTTGCGCTGACAAAAAAAAACCCAGGACTGACGGACTGACTGATTACTGACTGACTGACACTCTGACGGACGGGTCAAAAAATTATGCCTCATGCAACTTGTTGCGTGGGGTATAAATATGCGCATAAACTATATTTATAAAAATTTCCACAAAGCTTTTGATTTCTAAAATTTGTATTTCTTGTTTTGTAGCATTCATTAAGATGTCGGTTTCACCGTCTGGTCCAATAAAAATTAATCAGACTGTTTCTATACAATGCGCCTTGAAGGATGATACAGTCGCGGCTTTCTTTTACACCAGTGCAAACGTTTATATACCATTCTGTGGTCTCTCGGGCCACACTTCAGGTGCAGAGTGTAAACCAAGTGATTGCGCTATAGCGTACAATGCATCATGTCTCAATGATACGATATTCATCGTACAATATCCTGTTCCTCTCAGCTGGAAAGGAACAAGTGTTTACTGCAGGGGTTTACTGTCTGATGAGAGAAGTAATGAAGTCAAATTGACTGTTCAAGGTATGATTTATCTTATCACGACCAGATTTTAATCATATTTATATATATAAGAGCATCTCTTAATTATTTCTTTCTCTTATCAATTTGATGCAACGAATTAATTGATTGAGATTAGTTTTTAAGTTTTTGAATTTCAATTCAAAATACTTGGTTAAAGAAGAAGGGCGATTATTTGGTGAAAATACCTACTTTTGGACAATGTATATCTTGTAAAACAAATTTTTCCTTTTATTGCAGTTAAAATTATACATGTACAAGTATTACATTGTTATACATATGGAGAGCAACGCGTTTTGTCAGACCCATGTCTAAAGCCGTTAGGCTGAGGGCAAACATTTCGGTTCGATGGGTCGACAAATCACATTTTCCCCGAGAACACACCCAAAAATGTTTTGGCATAATTTTTACTTTTTGTTTTGGATATCATGACGTAAATTTTGTATACCCTCAATGCAGTTCTGTTGAATTCTAACTAATGCAAAAAGATATAGCTGACCCCGCCCACCCTGTGACGTGAGCGGTCCATTTTCTCATCGATAAGTCCAGCATCTCATTTTGCGGACAATTTAAACGTCACATTTATATGCCCGCTCAGTAAATCATTGGAAGTGTTAGACTTTTTTAAAGTATAGAATTATACGAGGGCCGTTCAAAAATTACGCGGACTTGTTGCACAGAAAAAATATTTGACTAAATAATCGGGCAAAATGTCACGCATAATATAAAAGAATCTTTACCTATGTGGTCTTCAAAATTTCATATCATATTGTTGTAAATTGGTATCAATTTTAAGTGATTTTTCAGGACAGGAGCAGTCACGGAGCAGCAAAATCTTCGACGTCACAGGCATTTTAAAAAATATGTGATTGAGCTTTCATTTTTTCAACATTTTCCCAAGAGTACCTGTATAGTTTGAGTTACCTTATCTACTCAACATCCAAACACCATTTCTTGTCAAGCTTAAAATCTATTAAACAAGTAAAGAGTATTCTTTTTTTGTTTTAAAACCAAAAGCTGCAGGTATTTATGAGATATAGTGTGATATTGATGACTCTCATCAATCACATGCACGTTCTTTACGGTCCGGATAAAGTTTCGTCGATAATCTTCTTCCCGTCTTCCCATATAGCCTTTTTACAGAGGTCTAACGGTATAAAATTTCAATTTGCTATTTGTGGACGAATGTCACGAATACCCTAGTTTACTACATGTTTTATTATGCATATTTTGGATCTATGTTGGCGATATTTCGAGCATTACACCTAATTTAACAAAAGTGTGGTGCGCCGTCAATTCAGGAGACGTCATTTTTACAGTCGTTTTCACGGGAATCGCATCAGAGAAAAATCACTATATTTCTGTTAGTACTTCAAATATCACGTCAGAAATCTAAATACATAATAATAGAACAATTTAAAGATACATTTGAGAAAATTGTTGAAAAATATCGCGAATTTTAGAAAATTAATGAGTTAAATTTTGGATTCCGCATGCTATTGCTTCAAATTTTTTGTCGTGCTCCGTACCTCTCCATCAGCGATATCAACATACCGATAATTTTAGTAAATTTTTTTTAAAATACAGAAATTTTGCCCAAAATCTATTGGAATCTTTAAGAAACATATTTCTCTGAAATTTCATAACTATATGACGTCTGTAAGAGTAAATAATAGAACAGTCCGCGTAATTTTTGAACGGCCCTCGTATAGGATACAATTTTTAAAGGTAAAAGAATAACGAATGTTTAATGTAAAATCAGTATCTTTATAGAAAGAATTTTGCATAATAATTCTGTTTTCCTCGTTTGTTTAAAATGTCATTAACGAGGAAGATAACGTTTTCAAATTCCCTTTCCAATAACCATATTAAGAAGAAACTTTAAATTAATAAATACTGTCATCATATTTAATTGCAGAAACGCTGAAGGGTCATTGTATATGCATGCAGCGTGATCTTTTATAAGATTCCCTCTGTTTTTTTTTTCTCGCTTTTATCATGATTTTAGGAGGGGGATATGTAGGGAAGTGCTTCTTTTCGTCAAGATTTCTATGTAATAAACTAAAATAGCAATTCAAATTCAAACTAATTCTAAGTCTATTAAAGAATTATGGAATATATGTTAGTCATTAAAACGTCCAAGTGAAAAAAGTAATGGAAGTAAACTTGGTTAAGAATTAAAACTGCTCTAAAGTCGTCTGTTTGGTGAAGTGCTAAGGGCTTCTGTTCTAGAGTCGCGGGTTCGAATCCCACTTTGGGACGTGGAGACCGGTCCTTCGGATGAGACTAAAGAAACCGAGGTATTGACATGAAAAAATCCCTCGCTGCTAAATGAAACTGAGCCGAACGTAGGTAAACAAAAATTACAGCTCTCCAATGGCAAGTGATGGCTCCACATGAGCCAAACATATAAAATCCACTGTAGAATGGTGGTAACCTGAATCAATATACTTTGTATGTAATTCAGATCATGGCTTAGATCCACCATCCTCAAGCCCTGTCATCAAAGCCTCCCCACCTGGATTTCAGTATGACAGCGGGACAAATATAACCTCTGATAACCACATCATAGAGATTACTGCTGGTGTAGTGGGGGTGGTCATGTTCGTCATACTCTTCACAGTTCTTGTGGTCTTTGTGTGGAGGTGATATACATGTTTTTGTTTGATAATTATACATGTATAAGTAATGGATATTCATCAAATAAGGGTTTTTTCAGCTTCATTCTCTTTTTGTATGAATTTTATCAATTTAGAATTTAATATTTTTTGTGGGATACAATAATGAACTAAATCAGATCGAAATTAAAAGTAACTCAATTATTTTCTGTACTTTTGTTCTGAAATATTTGTTTCCCTTTTTAGAGTTGACTTTTTATACTTCTGATCTGATTTCCCCCTTCTTTTCTTAGTGTTGGAAAATAGGAACAAGCTAATTTATTTATACAGAGAAAATTGACACAAAACTCAATATAAAATTTATACTTATTTATTGTGGCGGATATTGGCCGTGGCACAAAACAAAATTGTGGGATGCCATTTCAATTTGGGCAAACCCACCAAATTCAAAGATCAACAATGTGTGTTTCTTTTTTCTAACCGTCCCGGGTTAACCGCGGAGGGTCAGCACACATACAAATTGTTCAAATCAATCAATCAATCAATCAATCAATCAATCAAATCAATCAAATCAATTAATCAATATGTCATATCTCAAATTCCAATATCAAGCATATCAATTTATTATATCAAATCTTGCATATCAAGTATCATTAATATCTCAAACTTCATAGATCAAACATCTCAAACTTTAAATATCAACATTTTTTATATTTCAAACCTGTACGATGTAGTACAGTTCTAAAGTATATATTACTGTCACCAAGAGTAAGCTTATTAGCTTAGTTTACACTAGCATTAGCATTTCAACAAGGTGACAGTTTATTACAAGTTTCACACAAACATTCAGTTATCAGTTGACTTGGTGTGCGCAGACGCTTCACACTAATGACTTGTCCTTGAAAAAGTGCCACGACGGTTTCTTTTAGTTCAAAATATCAATCCTATGATCGACTATATGCTACCGATTCGATTTTATAAACGATAGAAAGTTTTATAATTTGGCAACACTATTCGGTACGCATATTGCACAGAGATAGTTTAATGCATGTTTAGCACAATCCTAAAAGCTGGCAATGGACTTGATGTAGGCATCATGTGGTATATTCTTCACTTTAACTTTTCCTTAGACAGCACCGGGATATTTTTTCTATGGGTATAAGGTATTCATCTCGGATGTGCAGATCAAAGCTGTTTCACTACAAAATAAAGCAAAAAACCAAGCAGCAGAACATCATTCTTTACTTAGCGAAAAAGGGAACATTCTAAAAAGGTAGTGGGAGGGCGGGTTTTTAAAGTTACAAAACAACATTTCATGTATTTTATTGCAAGCAATTACTTGTTATGCGTCTTTACCTTTGAAAGGTTCAGGAGAAAGGAATGTGAATAACAATCCCGACCTTTTATATACTACACTTGATGTGTCAACCGAACCCGACCCTTAAAAGCCAACGTTCAAATAACAAATACTTGGGACCTATAAACTAGGATATAGGTCCCTTCAAATATACTTTTCTCGTAAAATAAAGGCATCTATTTTGTATACACAAATAGATGCTAATATGTAATATTCGTGGTAAATTTAAAGCTATCTCATTATTTTAAAAAAAACAATTTAAAAAGTTGCATCATGTCATTATTTAAAAAAACTATTTAAAAAGTTGCATCATGCCTTGTTTCAATCATTTTTTTTTTCAACCACTTATCATAATTAATTTTTTTTGCACATAGGGCTTGAATAAATATATATCATTATAACAGTAATTTGATCCGAAGGGTCGTATCACGTCGAGTTTACAGGCGCGGATAATCAGATCTAACGAAACACGAAGCGTCGAGTTTGATCTGATGATCCGCGCCTGTCAACGTGACGTGATACGGCTCTTCGGATCAAGTTACTGTTAATAATGATAAATTAATTATATACCCCCTTATAACTAGCAACATACAGCAAAAGAAAACTTTAGAGATCAATTGTATAGCATTTACCCATAAAACAAAGCATAATAACAAGGGACTTTTTAACGCAGAAGAAAAATAACATCATGTTTTTGCGTACTACGTCATCAGTTTCAGAGAGTGGTTAGGTATATGATAAAGATTAATATTTTTCTAATTTTTTGTTGCAAAAATATTTTTTTCTTTTTTTTTCAGAGACAGAAGTATAAAAATGAAGGATATGTCTGAAAATAAATCTGTTAATAAAAAATAGAGGTAAACAAGGAGAAAATATTATGCTAGTTTTGTTCACAAACTGATTTTGAGTGAAATATTTCTCCAATTTACACGCATCTACAGTTGAACACTTTTAACGTTTCATGAAATAGATTAAGTATAGAATTTACTTCTTGACTTAAAATACAAATCATTTGTTTGGAAAAACTTGATTAAATCTCTTAGATTTATAAAATAGTTCGATTAAAAAAACCATTGTCATAAACATAAATCACTTCCTATTAAAGCAGTGTTTTTGTCAACCAATTTAATCTAAAATCATGCAGTACATTGTATAATAGAGCTTCGTCTTTATTGGTTGGCCCTATACTACTTATGTTATTGATGATAGAGTGCAATATATTTTGATTGGGTCCTTTTCTCCAGGTCAACATATACAGAAAGAAACGTAAGTGGAATAATTCAATTGACAAGTGTAATCTGTACTCTGTGTTATGTACCAAATCTATTTTTTGCTTCCGTAGTGCTTTAAAAACACAAATATCTCTCACATATTAAAGGTTTTGAATGCTTTATGACAGAGGAAAGAATATTGTATTTAAAGGAATAGAAATGTTTGATAGTCCTTAATGGATTATTCCATCTTTATATATTTGAATTCGAACAAAGAATTTCTGTACCTATGTTTTGCCATACTTGGGGAAATACATGTTCAGAAATAGATTTTAAATTTAAAAAAAGGGAAGGTAACAAACTATTTTCAGCGTCAAAAACCGTACAGTTAAAGGCTTTACAACTAGTTTCAGATTTATCATTCGAAATCAACGCAACATAAGGTTGTATTAGCTGACAAGATCTTTCCACCAAAGAATGTACAAAACACCGATTTTTAAGGTTTTATTTCTCTTTCGAAAAAAAATGAAAAAAAATTAATCCATTTTCCAAAGAATTGATCCTGCAAAATTATAGATTATGAATATTATGTCTACTTAACTGTCATAAGGGTTATAATATATTTCTGGTATTTTTTTGCATTAAAGAGGTTTCTATCAAGAGATAACAGGGAACAGAGATGAAAATGAGTACGAGAAACTTGAAGATAAAGGTCAGTAAACGTTTAAAATAAAGACTATGTTATGATATATTATTGATAGTTTTATTTGAGAAATATAGGTATTACATAATTAAGACGTTATAAAATACTTATTACTGTGCTGTTCTTTTCCAGAATATATTGAATATACATGTACATGTAAGCCGTAAGTAGAAAGGAAACAGAACTCTCTCTCTCTCTGATCTTTATTTGAAAGCTAGAAACCTTTCAAAATTAGTTGCTTGGCATTAATATTTATCACTTTCAAAATTGTTTGTAGGCAAGTTTATGAAAGCTTAAAGGAAACCACTGATGATAATAAATATGAGGAACTAACAAATATTGTTAAATAAAAAAAGAAAGGTTTGTTTCACATGTATTGCATATATTGAATTACATGTATAAAATTAACAGGAAACAAAAATTGCCCTGATGCGTAATGAAAAAGTTTAAGAACTGTTTTAAACAATATTTGATCCAATCTTCAACAGAATAGTTTGTTAAATTATTGATGACATTTGATAAAAAATAACTATTATACTTGTTATACAACTTTACTATTATCTATATTAAAATTTCTTGAAGTCTTTTTTTAATGTATGAAATAGAGATTGAAAAAAATTAATTGTGTCTTAGAGCCCCCCTGTTGAATGAATTTTTATTATTAACTGTAAAATAATTACTTAATATAACTCAGTTTTTTTTTAATATATCCGTTGTGGTAATTTGAAAAATCACTAACGAGTTGTTTAACTGTTCTCATTACAGGTGGTACTGAAATGAATCGTACTTCTACAATTCCAAGGAGACAGACTCAAGTGATGAATATGTTGATTCCTCGTTTTACAAACAGCTTTCTATGAATTGAAACTGTCATTGTACAAAAATTTCTGTCTGCTTGCCAGAAAAGTAATACAGATATACATGTTTGTGATATATTATGCATCTGAATGTACAAAATTGATCTTAACTTCTGCAGAAACAAAAAAATTAACTTTACAAACTTAAAATATTCTGATTTCATTTTGATTTCATTTTGATTGCCTTTAAGCCATTTTATACAAGAAATAAAATCACATTTGATAAAAATTCAAATGTAAGTAATGTTTTCAATGAAGAGGACAAATTTGCTTTACCAGTTTAACCTTACGTGCAATTTTGAACGATTCTTAAAATACAAGTGTATAAGCAACGGTGATTCTTCGTAATAATAGTTCATGTCCGAGGGATATATCCTAGATTTCCTATATTGTAAGTTTCACAAAGTCCTTCCAAAAATTCACAGGTGTTTAAAGCCACCCTTAAAGAAATATTTTTATTTATATTATATGTATAGTAGCTACAACTCTTAACAATATAGGTCTTTACTAAAGAAATTTTAATATAGAAAGTACAACGAAATGTGCTTCAATAAGTATACCCACTTCCACCAAAACCCGTGGTTGAACTCTGAAGTTCGGGAATCTGTCTCCTAGCAGGTCAGGAACAGTGTGCTAGTCTGCCGAACTAGGATACAGATTCCAAAGGTCGGGATTTCAACCACGGGTTGGGCGGATGTGGGTATCTTTATGAAAGTTTTGTAGGTTTACAGGTTTATACAAAATTACATGCATGTTTAAAGTAAGCACCCCCTGCCGACCGGTCACACCTGCCGAGCGCTCCTTGTCATGATCGGAAAATAACAGAAAAATCCGTCGTCAATTCAGTGTGTAAATAATGAACTAACAATCAGTATGAAAAACGTCGGTTAGCATTTGACCCAATGAAAAATTGTTTTTGTTGACAAGGTCATTGTATCAACCATAGAACTACCAAAAACAGAGATGTTGATCATTTCAAATTAAACATTAGATTAAATTGAATAGGGATGTCAAATCCGTCAATATTTCTCGAGTACTCGGACATTTTTCCGATCGAGTACCTGGGTACTGGATAAAAATGTAAATAAAAGCATGTTCTTCAGTCCTGTTTATCTCTAATAACCCCAAAGCTGTTTTCTGCGTTTATTTCTATAAATAAACATAGAACGGAAATGAATTTTTGGTACTAATATTTCTTTACCAAATAAACAAAATGTTAATAAATGGTTAACAGCTTCTTATTTAGGATCTATTTGATCAACGCAGAGGGAAGACAATCTATTGCGCAGGTTTGATGATCGCTTGCACTTTACACTAGTAAGAGTTGCTAGTCTGATATTATTTCATATTTAATTTCTTATCCCCTTAACTTAACTTACAATGCAAACTGACTTTAAAACTTTTTGAATCTTAGGTTATTTCTTGATATTTCTTCCCTTTTGAAGTGGGTAGCGGTATTTCTATGCATATCTGATTTCACTGCCGTATAATAGCTAATTAATTTAAGAAATGATATTTAGTTTAATAAAATAGGCCATACATAAACGAGGTCCACTGAAAGCAATTATTGAAGCCATCCAAAACTAAAGGAACGCAATAGGTGACGACACCTGTGTACCAAATAATTGGTCTCTAATCACTGTATATACACGGCCACAGGCGATAACGGTGTTTCACATGTGTAGATTACGCTTATTACCGTCTGCATAATAAAGTTATTTATTGATAAATATTTGATAAAATATTAACTTTACAATGAGAAAAAAAAACATCCGAGTAACCGAGTACCATTTTTGTGTTCGATACAGGGACGTTCGATCGAGTACCCAGTTAACGTATGGTAACCCCGTTACCGGATACTCGTTGACATCCCTAGACGTCTTTAAACGTGTTCAGTCTAAAATAAAAATAATTATTGAAAAAGAAAAGATTTAAAATGATCGTTAAACAACTATAAATTTTGAGAGACATTTACATATTAAATCGAATGTGGACCTTTCAACATAGAGGCAGGCTAAATTTTATATCTTATCCCGCCGGACCACCAAACATTATGCGACATCCGGACTTGTTTTTGACAGTTATTATTCGTTGTCCTTCTGTGCATCAATTAAATTCATTCGGATGAGAACGGCTCTGTAGTTTTGCACACGGTGTACACTGAATTCGTCACGATGAACATTTTGGTTTGAAATAATTAGTTATGAAGAAGTTTCCCCAGAGATATGTCGTCGTTATTTTGGGATTTTTCGGACTCCTTTTCTCATTTTCTTCAAGAACATGTTTTTCTTTGGTTATGGTTTACATACTTCGTGACAATGTGTCTCAGTCCAATTCTCTGTTCAAAGAGGTAGGTGTTAATTGAATTACATTAAAAAACTACATTCTAAATCCATTTAAAATGGACTTAAAGATGGAATCTCTTTTCTTGGATAAAGAAATTGAATCAAAAGACAGAAAAATCAAAATTTTCAAAGTTGTTTGTGAATCCCATTCGATCTTCAATGAAACTCTGAACTGTGTAATTGTACATTTTAAATGAAATATGGTTGAAACTAAGTAAATCAAAATACATGTAAGTGAAATGTATAAAAGCTGAATATATCCTATGATACAATGGTAAAATCCTTGAAACACAACCATTAGAGACAAAGGCGTACTAGTAATTTTTATATATTTAATTTCACTTTTAAAATTTCATTATTAAATGTAAAGAAAATGAATGATATTTATGCTTAAAGGTCCAATTAAACAAAACAGTTTAGGGAAAATTAAAACTCAACATCTAAAGTAAGTATCCACTGGTTCTACTATAATATCTCTAAAACTATCACTATACGAAGAAGTTCTTAATAATAAATGAAAAATTGATCATTACATTCCGACAAATGTCACAGTGTTATAAAATGGTGTAATATATAAACGTCAAATTATTGGGTATTACCGTAGTCACGCATTGAACATAAATGTGGTTCTCCATTTATTTTAATTAAAGAATTATGCATGGGAATAGGTTAATAGGGTCTAATTTGAACCAGCGGTTGATGACATTTTGGGAGTAAATGGTACATTGCCATCATAAAAATAATTACGAGGGTTGATCTAAAAGTGATGTCACTGCTGCTTGAACATTTTTATACCAATCGGAAAATATCAACAAAAATGGTTTATGAATTTCTACAGTTTGAAAATTGTATCCAAAAAATGTGAAATACGTAAAAAAAAAAAAACTCCCATTAGATCGAACAGCGTATACACTTGAGAAAACATGCACATATAACCATAAAAATCAATCGATATTTTGATAATTATATAATTTTTAAATAATTATGCAATTTTTTTCACAAAAAAAAAAAAAAAAAAAAAAGAAGCAAAAAATAAATCTTAATATTTTTCTTATCTCCATTAATTTTATAAATAGATCAATCCCTTCAAATAATATATGTTTTGAAATTCGTCACAGCTGTTTCACAGATAAAGAACTTGACAAACCGAGGAAAGGATCCAATGTAACTAGTTCTTTAAATTAAAAAGTATGATTTTGAGAACTTGGAGTAGTCGCGCATAGGACTTCGTAAACTCTGCGAGTCATTATCGCTTTTCAAATTGTGCAGAGTCGCGGACTAAGGCGTTTTCCCTACATCGCATGTTCAAATCCCACTGTGGGACATTAAGGACATTTTTTTAGAGATGTTTTAGATAAACCGAGGCCCCTTGTCACAGTAGATGCTGGTACAAAAATATTCATTATCATTCAAAGACTGTAATTATCAAGTACAGTTTAAAATTACCATCTTTCCTAAGCCCCCACTTCTCCAAAAAAAAAAAAAAAAGAAAAAAAAATTGGGAGAAAGAAGTTGATCAAAAATACAACTGTTTTTGTTATGATGTGATGTTTATTATTATTATGTGTTTAAACGTTATGGAAAAGGCTTCTTAGAATGATCTTGGGATGTGATGCTCTACTTTGTCGTACCCATTTTAATTTTAAAACTGCAAAATTAGTATTTTGCCTTACCACACAGTGTTTACATGTGTTTTGTAATTAATATACAGTGTACAGTCAATGGAACCTCGTGGGATCTTATGTTACCCTGGAATCCGTCCACCACACAGTATTTTAACACAGTATTTTTTGCCGGTTATTTCCTTACCCAGCTTCCAGGAGGGTATCTGTCAGCTCGATTTTCATCTTCAAGGTAAACAGAAAATATCATAGAAAAAACAACAACCATATTTTATCTCAAATAAATAAAGTACTTTTAAGTATATACATTTTATTTTCTCATTAGATAGATACATGTAATGAGACTTTAATAACAATTCAATAATTAAAACTCATATGATTCATTAAAATGAAGGGAAAAAGCGATAAAGCTAACCTTTTCTAGGTATATCAAATCTGATAAATATGACATTCCTAATCAATTACATGTACTATGAGATTAAATTTTTAGCTCACCTCAACGAAGTTGGGGGAGCTTATGTAATACCCTCGGCGTCGGTGTCGGCGTCCTCGTCGGCGTCGGCGTCCCGGGTTAAGGTTAAGTTTTTTGGAGCAGTTTTCTTTTTAAGTACTTCTATGTCCTATCTTGATTAGACATGCATGGAAGATGTTTCTAGTGTGTTTCATTGTACCAGTCAAAGTTTCAGATGCTGCAATTTCAGCAAAGGAATAACCAGGTTAATGTTTTTGGAGCAGGTTAACATTTTTGGTGCAGTTTTTGGTGTAGGTCTCATTTCCGAGTAACTATAAGCCCTATGTTGACCAAACTTGCATGGATGGTACATCTTAGGATGCACACTACCAGGCTTGCTTCGGATGCTGAATCTGACCTACATTTTCCGCATGAGTGAACAGGTTTATATTTTTGGTGCAGGTCTCATTTCCAAGTAACGTGAGCACTATAGTGACCAAACATGCATGGATGATAAATCTAAGGATGCATACTACCAGACTTGCCTCGAATGCTGAATCTGACGTACATTTTCTGGTTGAGTGAACAGGTTAAAGTTTTGGGTGCAGGTTTCATTTGCAAGTTACTATGAGCCCTATAATGACCAAACTTGCATGGATGGTACATCTTAGGATGCATAGTACCAGACTTGGTTCGGATGCTGAATCTGACCTACATTTTCTGGTTGAGTGAACAGGTTTATGTTTTTAATGCAGGTCTCATTTCCAAGAAACTATAAGCCCTATGTTGACCAAACTTGCATGGATGGTACATCTTAGGATGCACACTACCAGGCTTGCTTCGGATGCTGAATCTGACCTACATTTTCCGCATGAGTGAACAGGTTTATGTTTTTGGTGCAGGTCTCATTTCCAAGTAACTATGAGCAAGCACTATAGTGACCAAACTTGCATGGATGATAAATCTAAGGATGCATACTACCAGACTTGCTTCGGATGCTGAATCTGACGTACATTTTCTGGTTGAGTGAACAGGTTAAAGTTTTGGGTGCAGGTTTCATTTCCAAGTTACTATGAGCCCTATAACGACCAAACTTGCATGGATGGTACATCTTAGGATGCATAGTACCAGACTTGCTTCAGATGCTGAATCTGACCTACATTTTCCGCATGAGTGAACAGGTTTATGTTTTTGGTGCAGGTCTCATTTCCAAGTAACTATGAGCACTATAGTGACCAAGCATGCATGGATGATACATCTAAGGATGCATACTACCAGATTTGCTTCGGATGCTGAATCTGACGTACATTTTCTGGTTGAGTGAACAGGTTAAAGTTTTGGGTGCAGGTTTTATTTCCAAGTTACTATGAACCCTATAATGACCAAACTTGCATGGATGGTACATCTTAGGATGCACACTACCAGGCTTGCTTCCGATGCTGAATCTGACCTACATTTTCCGCATGAGTAAGAAGGTTTATGTTTTCGTTGCAGGTCTCATTTCCAAGTAACTATGAGCACTATAGTGACCAAACTTGCATGGATGATAAATCTAAGGATGCATACTACCAGACTTGCTTCGGATGCTGAATCTGACCTACATTTTCTGGTTGAGTGAACAGGTTAAAGTTTTGGGTGCAGGTTTCATTTCCAAGTTACTATGAGCCCTATAATGACCAAACTTGCATGGATGGTACATCTTAGGATGCATAGTACCAGACTTGCTTCGGATGCTGAATCTGACCTACATTTTCTGGTTGAGTGAACAGGTTAAAGTTTTTGGTGCAGGTTTCATTTCCAAGTTACTATGAGCTCTATAATGACCAAACTTGCATGGATGGTTCATCTTAGGATGCACACTAATGGACTTGCTTCAGATGCTGAATTCGACATACATTTTCCAGATAATGGACACCTCGTAAAAGTTATGGATGCAGGTCTATTACCAAGAAACTATAAGGCTTATATAAGCCAATCTTGCACAAATGATGCATCAAGGGATGAAAACTCTCAAACTTGCTTCAGATGCTGGATTTTAATTACGTTTTCATGATGGAGAACTAGTTTGAAGTTTATATATAGGTCTATTCCAAAGTATAAAATCAAAATTGCATAAATTTTGCATTTTTGGATGTACACTTTTTGTTGGTTAATTGTGTGACTTTGCCTTACTTAAAGACAACATTCGTTGAGGTGAGCTCTGTAATCTCTGATTACCTATGTTTTAAAGAAAAAACTGCTGCTTAAAATGTTAGTGTACATGTGGAGTCCGGAGTAGTAAGACGATCATAGATCATAATAATTCATTATCACAGGCACTTGTTTCGTATACGGGGCACCCTTAATTACTTATATTTACCACAAGGTACCTAACTCATTTTCAATCACCCCCACTTCAAGCTCGTATTTTGTTAATATATCAATCATTTACCTACTTTAAAATGACATGGTTCGCTTCAAGAGACTTTTCCTTGTCATTATATCGTTTCAGATGTCTTGAGTTAGATACCTTGTGCCTTGTTTAAGAAAAGAGTGCCTGTGTCATATGTACAATATGCAGTTCTTAATGAAAATGAATTTTAAACATTTCTTAAGCATTTGTACATCACATTAAATCTATTACATCTGTGACAGGGTCTTTGGCATTTCCGTCCTAGCCAGTGGTTCCTTAATGATAATCTTGTCATTTGTACTTACCTACGGTACACCTGTTGTGTATGCAGTTCGCCTTGTCCAGGGTCTTTTTGAGGTGGATATTACCTTGAAAGGTTTTAAAAATACGAAAATATTATTCTTTCTTTCAATTATACTATTATATATTCTTCTGGAAGCAAGTCTCCTATATATGATTATTATCCAGGGTATGACCATACCTGCACTTAATGGCGTTCTGTCGGCTTGGGCACTGAGTTCAGAAAAATCACGAATGGTCACATTCACCTATTGTGGTAGGTTTATGTATAAAATTAAAGTCACCTAATTAATACAAATTTAATACTATTTCAGCTCTCTTTTTGTATTCCAAATCCATAATAATTTATTAATATATTTTGAAAATAAGATAAGCCTGATTCGTTAACTCATCATTGTTAAAGAGTCAAATTTAATGCTCATGGGTTCCCGAGATTTTTAATAGAAATGTAATTTGGATATTTCTACTTTTTAAATTTATGATTTTAGTTTGATGATTCCACAATAGTTTATTTTTTTAAAGAAACTTACTTTCCAATGTATAGAAATATAAAATAGAAATAAAATGATGCTATATTCTTGTAAGGAGCCTATCTAAGTCCCGCCGTGGCATTCTTCATAACTGGAGCAACAACTTGCTATGTCAGCTGGCATTCCAGTTTTTATATCTTTGGTAAGAAACAAAACACGTAAATCATGATAATTTATAAATAAACACGTGCATGTGCAAAGAAGTAAAAAAAATATAGTTTTAAAGTCAACTATTGCAGTGCATGTTTACTTTTACTGTTTAGGATGTTTAAAAATGTTGTTTTACTAATTTCTATAGGAGGTCTGACTGTTCTGTTTTCCATTACGTGGTTCATAGTTGTCTATGACAACCCTTTATCAAATAAATGTATGTCAGATGAGGAAAGGTCTCTTTTTGAGATGGATGGTCCTATGGTGGATAAGAGCTCAAAGGAAAAGGTTGATTTTAATTCTTAATTGCATAATGTATTCACGGTCAAAATTTTTCATCTTCGCTTGTTTGTCGTAATTACCTCATAATAACTGAATGAAATACATGTATAAATGAAAAATCAAACTTCTAATCTTATGATTATATGCTTGTCAAAATGAGTACTTTGAGAAATATCTCATAGTTCTTTTTTCAGCACCTTCATCTTATTTGCTTTGATGTTTTGCATATTGGCTTGCATAGAATAAAATCTATTCCGTGCAAATGCTAGAATCGCAAACGTTGTCAGACAGAATTGTGTTAGTCAAGACATTTTCTGTAGAATGATTCTCATGAAACAAAGGTTTAAATATTATACGACCAATGCAAAATATAAAGGTAAACGCTTTTGTATAAAAGAAGCAATATTGAGGAAAAACATTTCCCCCCAAAAATCTTAAAGAAGTAATAGCCTGTTGTAAAATACTTTGTCAAATTGTTGCAGGGATGAAACCCCATTTGCAATGAAATGAAAATTGAAAGATTAAATGGTCGGAGTTAGTTCTTTATTATGTTAATATGAAGAAAAACACAAATGTTAATTTTCGAAAGAAATAAATACCGTATAAGTAGAATTTTTAGCGAGGATTAAATTTTGGCAAAAAAAAAATTAATATAAAATTTTTTATTTCAATAGCTAAATGTGCATAAAATCGCTAAATTGACATCTCGTAAAAATAAATTACCAGATTTAAATTAAATTTGTTAAAAATTCCCACTTATACGGTATTAAACATCCTATAATAAGGGTTTAATTTATTTGCCTACCTCCTAACTTAAGGAAAGGCAAGGACTATCATTTGATTAAAAGATTTGACAAAGGGAAGGTCACAATTTAAAAAAAAAAATCGCATTTCATATAAGAAGTAAGCACTAGTACCCCATACATGTATTAAAGAAAAAAATCATAACTAATATTATTTTCATGTTACCATAAAGCTCTCTGAAATATTACTTGATTTGAATGTAATACTAAATTCATTATATTAAATCACTTTTGAATAGATGAATATACAAGGTTAAATGATTTTTTCAACAGGTTAAAAATGCACCTTATCGGAAGATTTTGACATTCTGTAACAGCCATATTTGTTGGAAATTTCTGCCGTAACTGGATTTTCTCAATGCAGGTCTCCCAACTTCCACAGTATTTCGCTGATGCATATGGAATGAATGTCGCTAGTGTAAATATTTTTATGGGTCCATCCAAAAATGTACATATGAAATATTAAGATAAATAACACAGTTAAGATGAATAAGACGTAATTATGTACAGTATTTTTCTCTAGAATAAGATTTTTAAATGCATGTTGAACACTTACATCGTACAGAAAAAATACTATATGAAATAAATGCCTTGGCAAAAATACATAAAAATTTCCTTTCTCTGTTTTCCAGATAGGATTTTTAGTTGCTTTTCCAGAGGTTCTGATGGCCATTGTAATAGTGATAGGTGGCATCTTCATAGATATGATCATAAAAACGGGGAAAGTCAGCACAACTGTCGCCAGAAAGATTGCCCAGTGTTCTGGTACCCCACCCTCCTTACTCTCCCTCTCTCTCCCTCATCTTTCTTTCTCTCAAATATTTCTAATCCATTTATCTCTGATTAAATGCCTTAAAATTTTCATTAAATATTTCAAGGGTTTGGGATGGAGTCCTTGTGTATCCTGAGTTTAGTCTTCATAAGGGATTACAGACTTGCTACTGTAGTACTTTCTATAGGAATTGGTATTAGTGGAATGGCCATATCAGGCAAGTCTGCCTAAAAAAAAGAGATAAAACATAAATATCCTTAAGTTCCCTCTTAGTGCTTTACACTTTATTGGAGTTTTCAACAATGAGCTTTGAATTTTACATTTATATTAAAAGAAAATCTTCTAGATGGACACTTAAGCTGATAAATGTATTGATTTTTGTAGGTTATCAAGTAAATGCCCTGGACTTGGCCCCTCAGTATGCTCATATTGTAACAGGGTTTACCCGGATCAGCTGCATTGGATCCATGCTAAGTACAGCCGTGGCAGGCTTATTAAGAGAAAAGGTTGATTGAATAGATTTTATCTCTATCCAACCCCTCTGGATAAAGGGGGGAACTACTTTTTAACTGAAAACTGATAATCAAAATACATGTATAATTAAAATGATTTTTAAGGCATCAAAATTGGAAACGTTTAATATTTTATTCGGGTTTAATCAAAGGCTTAACGTTAAGAATATAAAAATTACTTGTTTGAAAATTATATTGAATAAAAAGAACTGCAGTTTATTTTTTAAATTTTTGAAAGCGTCCACTTTGAAAATTTATGATAATGTATAAGAAATTTTCTTTTCAGAATGGTGAGTCTTGGCAAAAAATTTTCCTTATAGCTGGGACAATTCATTTGTCCGGAGTTATTTACTATGCAATATTTGCTTCTGGAGAAATACAAAGCTGGGCAAAGACTCCAAATCTGACGTCATCAGATAGTACCCTTAAATTGACGTCACATCCTGTGTATGAGTATGGGTCAATTTCACAAAGAAAAGATGAGATAAAGGAGGACCAAGAATCTTAATATATGTTTCTGTAATAAATTCTTGTGTGCTTCTGCATGAATTGATTTGTTGATAGAAATTTATTTATTATACTTTTATAATAATTTAAATTACTGATCTCGGTAATTCAGTCATAACTTATTTATAATACCTGAACGTAAGTCAATTTAATTTTATACTAAAGACTGTTTTGAAAAAAACATCTTATGGAAAAAGAACATTCAATTATAATTTGTGACAATTCTTTAACGGAAAAAACATTAATAATGTAGATCTGCAATTTTTCAAATAATTTCAAAATATTTTGTACCATCTGCATGAAAAGAGGAAGTATGTGGTGATAGGGTTAACCATTCATTGTCTGCAACGACTGGGGCTTGCCTTCTCTCTTCAACTTATCTTTTAGTAGCAAATGAGAATTAGACTTTCACAGAATCTTTTTGCAAAGAACCATTGAGCCATTACTTAGAAATAACTCAGTATAAACTGCAATACTTGCGTCCCAACTGGCACAAGAACATATTCTACTTATTACTCGTATTCAATCCAAAGCAGACAACTGTCAAGTAAGTTGATGTTACCACTGACTCATTAAAAGTACGCTTTTCGCAAATATGTGTTCGTTATAATGACCATGTTTGAAATCCTATATGTGTTGTCTTTTTATTGTTATGTTTAATACCAATAGCTTAGCCATTGTTTTATGCTTACTATAAAACACAGATTTCTTCGTAAACCGATCAACACAGAAGTGACCAGTCGAAAGGAGATACTTTTCCTACCTATGTTTATTTTTTCGGAGAGGTCTTTATTTTCGCATTTTCTTACGTTTCGTATTGTTTACAGAATTTACTAGATGAAAAGAAAGAGAACTGTGATCATTCTCCGGTCAAAGAATATATAAACTGAGTAAAGTAAACCCTGACCTTGTAAAAGGATCAGGTGCCGCGGAGCAAAAAGCATTCTCTGTTGACCGGTATTGCCTGCCATTTGCCCTTTATCATGAATGAGTAAACAGAGATTCCGTAGACAGATCAGTGTAACAGTGTAAACAATTTATGTTGAAAACGTAAGTCAACGTTCGACCTAATGTTTTTATAAACAGGTTTATTGTATCAACCGTAAAATTTGCACATGGTAATATCAATATCTTCTGTATAATCAATTTCTTAATAGCTCATTACAAACCCTTGCTTAAAAATTGTACAAAGACCATATTCTTGCGTAACAAATTTACTGGATGGCATAACTTCATGCTGATGATAATCACTGGTGTATTGATTCTAAAGTGAGGAAAATTGACGATATACATGTATAAGTTGTATCAGTCTAGTGAGCATGGTTCATTAACAAGAAGAAAAAAAAAAACGCCAGAATTTACATAATGTAACAATCAGATATTATAGCTAATATAATATTGATAATCAAAACAGATATTGCACGCCTAATAATCATCGGTTTGTGTGACGATTGACCCTTCGAAACTTTTTTCTTGAATCCACTTGCCAGTTAAAAACACATGATTCCAAAACCATAAACTGAAAACAGACTAAAGTCAAAATTAAAGAAATATACATAGCTTTTGAAATACAAGTTGATAATGAAAAAAAATTTACATTATATGATCAATTTATGATAAGAAACCAAGGAATTTTTAAACAAATATGTTAAATAAAGTCATAGTAGAAATCGCCTCAACGGGTTTAAAATTTTCTCTCCAGTTATCTCTTGTTTTTATCAAGGTAATAAAGTTTTGGTATTATAAAGATACATGAAAAAAAAACAGATCAAGGAAAGTCGATTTAAGAAGAAATTTTTACAATGGACCTTGTACATATTTGTGTTACTAGAATTTATACTTAATAATTGCTTGAGATGCCAGAATTCTTGATTAAGAATCTAGAACAGCTTTCTTGTTTCTTAAATTATTTACAATAATTTTCTATCCGCTATTATTAAAGAAACAAGAGCGAAAAAAAAATCAAAATCGATTCTAAAAAGTGTGAAAGGAATTAAACAAATACTTGTCACATTTAGATTTTCAATACCTACCACTTTTATCAGAGTTTGATCAATGTTAGTATAATATGAGGTATGTTAACTATTGTGCAATTTGAAGCATATCCCCTTCTAAGGTGTATTGTTTCTGTAGATTAAAGTGATGTAAATGACACCCAATAACATTGAAATCCTCTTTAATTTCCTATTATTGAAAGTTTGATAATGTCAGTCATTGCGACATTCCGAGTTCAAATTCAAATCCTCAATTCAAATGCTAGTATGTTTTTCTTTATTATTTTTATTTGAACATAGATACAAAAAAAAACCAGATACTGGTGAACACAACAGAAACATAAAAATTAAAGAAAACTGTAGAACACGACATTTTACAACGACTCTTTTGTAATTTTTTTAAAAACAAAGCTTCCAGGTAAAATCTCCTGGTCCATCATACCGAATGTTTCATCGTTCGGTTTTACCAAATAAAGGTGATTTTAAGATTTAGGAAATTGCAAACGTTAAGTAATCAAAAAAACCAATTGATACTCACCCATATGCAAATTAACTCATTGGTTTTCTTTAAACTATCTAAGAAAATCATCTCAGTATCCCTTGCGATAAGAAATACAATAATGATACTAATACAAAATAATTCGAATCGAAGAGATTTAATATAATCCTCATTCTTCAAAAACAATCATCATGAATTTCTTAGAAGTCAATGAAACTCTGTAGAACTCATCTAAGCGACTTCAATCAATCACTACAACAATTGTTTTCTAAATAAAAAAAAGCAATAAATTAAACATTGGAGCAGTGACTAAAGGAATGACATATTTTCCTGATTACTTGAAATTTTCAGTATTTGTTTGATGATCCTCCTACTAGAAAGATATAACTGTGTTGCAGATTTGGACATTTTATTACATTTTCTATAAAAAAAAATGTCTGAATAAAAATCCCCCGATTCCTGATTTTATTTTCACCTTTCTTGTATGACATTGATTGACTTGAATCAATATTAAACAAAAGCAATATAAACTAGAAAGTCTGCTATTGCAAGCAATAGCATATGTCGCCCCGTACTGGACAAGACTTTCATTTTTATCATCACTAAAACAATGGTCCATTAGCTAAGCTTGGACAACCATCGAGTCGTATCAGTCTTTTCCGTTGGAAACGGAAGACCTTAATTGGGTACATCCCACTAATTATTTTTAGAATCGGTAGGAGAAGAAAGTAGTGCAGGAAAAAATTACAAGTTCCTAAATTTGCAGACTTGCATAAAATAAATTGGGCAGATGTACTGAACTGAGCCTCATACTTGTTAATTGGCAGTATCTTTCCTACCAAAAAAGCTTGGCAAATGTAATTTATTAAGAAGATCAGCCGAATTATTTTGTGTATTATAGCGTCAGTGAGAACTCTGAAATTTCCCTACTTTCATTTTTAGACGTTCTACCGGAAAACGAATCGGACATGCCACCTTCAATTCGAGCATTTCTGCATTGCACAGGGCTGATGGTTGCTATGAGATGATAAATCATGTGTAAACTTTCTCAGTTTAGCGGAATCATGAACATTTTCGGCGAGATGAATGTTTTGTTTACAGTGGTGATCAAGGCTTCGCGCACCTGCAGGAGCGGATCCAAGGATTTATGAATGAATAAAAACTATGGAAATGACGTACCAATTTTCTAATTGATACATGCATTATCTAATGAAATTATTAATATACAAGTAATGGAAATACAAGAAAACGCGAAATGCTTATAAATGCAGCTGACAATCGTTATTTTTTTAATAGATAAAATAAAATAATTGTAAAATCTAAAGACAAGACAGAAGAAGAATGAATGTTGGCAAAATATCAAATCACATCAGGAGAACTGAATTTTATGAATGAAACTTTTTAAACGTTACTTGTAAGTTGTATATGTTATATCTGTGTATTCTACCTGGCTGTGCGCTTCCTTCGGGGGGGGGGGGGGAGGGGGGGGTCGTCTTGAACATAGAACCTTAGCCATAACGTTTGAACGGTAAGGGCTAGGCCTTTCCTATTTCAAATATGTATTCTTGTGAAAAGAACTTTTATTGGATACGAAGAACTTTGACCTAGACCTTGGAGAACACGTGTACATCTTAACCTTTTTTTCTGTTTCGTTTCTATGGCAACTGTGAGCGACTCATTACAATTATTTTAAAAATAGAAATCACTTTGACACATTGCAAGGAATAAACATTGACAGTTTCAAAACGATTGCTTGAGTAGTTATTGAGAAAATTGAAATTAAAGAATTTTAACTTTCCCCTGGTTTCCATGGCAATAATTGATTATTTGAAAATTTTAAATGCAAATCGCAAAACTACAATTACTAATCACTAAAATAAAAAAGTTTCATGACGAATGTTCAAGGGACCAGAGAGAACGCTCGCAGACAAAATTCGTCAAAATTCGTCGCTTTTTGCAGGTTTCCATGGCAACGGTAGCCATTTTGAAACTGAGTGACCACATGGCACAACAACAACCAGTGATCGTCCTTTGAGGAAAGTTTCAGGAAGATTGTCCCAGCCATCTCCAAGAAAACGCCTGGACAAAAAACATGCGTACAAAAGCAATATGTCTCCCCGACTTCGTCTGGGGCGACATAACTAAAGTCTGCTATTGCAAGCAATAGCTTATGTCGCCCCGAACTGGACAAAACTTTCATTTTTTCTCATCAATAAAACAATTCCCATTAGCTAAGCTTGGAAAAACCATCAACTCCTATCAGTACTTTCAGTACTTTGATTTAAAAATCAAAAAGAATTTTCACTTTTCCCTTGTTTCCACGGAAACTATTGACAATTTGCAATTTTTAAATGCAATACGCACAATGACAGATACTAATCAATAAATCAGTAAAGTTTCATGAAGAATGTTCAAGGGATCAGAGAGAACACTCGCGGACAAAATTCGTCGCTTTTTGCAGGTTTCCATGGCAACGGTAGCCATTTTGAAACTGAATGACCACATGACACAACTACAACCAGTGATCCTCCTTTGAGGAAAGTTTCAGGAAGATTGTCCCAGCCATCTCCGAGAAACCGCCTGGACAACAAAAACATGCGTACAATCGCAATATGTCGTCCCCGACTGCGTTCGGGACGACATAAAAACCGCGTTGAATATCTAAATGCAAAATTTTGTACATTACAATTTCGTCTAGAAATGACCAATATAAAACCATTTAAAGTTGCACATCTTATTTTTCTGAATAAGCATCCGGTCCTTATATTAATTATTGACTGGAAATCTTCATCTTAACGAGGCCCGATCTACTTGATCTGCGCATACGTTTTAACGCAGCGTCGCCTCAGGCACGTCACAATACCCTTGACTGCCGTCACAATTGAACATAATAACGTCACAATTAAAATGACGTCAAATTGCGCTAAACTGTTTCGCTGATCTTGCTTACCTGGTTGCTCTATAGACTATGCATTGAAAGCTGGCATTTCTATTATTTTTTTAAAATATTTAAATTAATAAACAACTTTGGAACCTAATTAATTTTGAGGGATCAATTTTTTGGTACAGATTCATTAATTTTATCCTGTTTTATTTCAATTTGTGAGTTTAAAAAAACAAACGCTGCAACTAAAAGTAAACGATTTTAGTCTTTCTCTTTGAACATGTTGAAGTGTTTAAACACACTCATTTTACTGCGGACTTAAATATGCATGGTGATTATCTTCATTTTTTTTTTAAAGTCTATAAATCATTTAAAATTGAACCCCCGAAATATTTTATTTTCTATATATTATATGATATTAGTAAAAAGCGCAATTTTGTCGCCTTTAGCCCCCGCCCTTACCCCTATTTTCCACGTAAAACAACGTTGCGTGTTAAGAGAAAAATAAAGCATGACGAGAAAATAATTTCATAATGTAAGAATTATTTATTTTTTTAGAAACTAATATAGTATTGTAATCGTTTGTTGGTGTTATGTAAACCCATTGCGACCTATAAAATACGTAGTTGGATAGAATAAATCTAAATTTTGTGTTTTGACATGCCCCCTTTTCACTGCAATAAAGGCTACCGCCAATTTTCTTTTCAATTTTTATAAGAGGAATGAAAATTGCAAGATATATGTGAAAAACAAAGAATTTCATCATGTATTTTTTTTTAATTTGTAAATTTCTTTGTTTATTGAAGAGCTTTAGTATGTAATTGTGTATAAAAACCATTTAATCTTGACAGTGCCCCCATTTCACTACAAGGAAGGCAAGGTAACAAAATTTCATTCTAATTTTTCTAAGCATAAAACATACAAGTATATTATATTAAAATTTTTTATCATTCCGTTTTCGTAATTTTCAACTAGATCGGGCCTCGTTAATAGGATCATCCAAATGACCTTGAACAAATATCATGCTACATCTCAACGTCATTTTCAACAAAACAAATAATGCTGAAATATTGCCGACTCGGCGCTAAACAATGAAGAATAAATCAATAAACAACAGAAATATAAATTTTAGCTATTTCAGTTAAGGATTTATAAGTCATGACCTTGGTACAAAAACGAACGGGAACAAAATTACAGACACTAATTACCAGTATTCTTTTTTTCGCTAAGGGAGTGTGCAATAAAATTTGCATACAGCCTTGAAAAGATGTTCAATTTTTGCATAAAATAGTTATTAAGCGTAAAAAATAATTTAGATCAAATATTAATATGTTTTGATGGTGTATGTATATTAACATTTGTTTGCCAGAGCATAAAGATTTTCTAATTTTAACGTTCATCGTTTAAAAAATATTCCTGAAAGACATATTCTGAAATGGGGTTCATTTAATAGTGCTTTGAACTTAATCATATTTACCTTCATGTTGCAGCCATAAGTTTCAGAATTAAACATTATTGACAAAAATTTGCCAACTGTTCAATATCACTGTATTATCGTATTGTAGTAAAAAAAAATGCAATTTGTGAGTTCAGGCAAAATCAAGAGTGAAATCCTTTGTGTAAAAACATTCAGACGAGCTCTTCAATTTAAAATGATAGGGAAAGAACAATGGTTTTGAAACACGAGATCGATTGCAATAAAAAAATCCCTACATTTCGGCTTTATTCTAAAATTTCCATCTAAATTAATATACGGAAAAAGGTCCAGGTATTATGAGATGAAATTTATGAGGTTGCTGAAACCATTCGTTTAGTTTAATAAGCCTTGAGTCAGCGATGCCACATGCTTCTGCCTTAAAGTGAACAATGAGAATTGGATATTTTACTCTCCTGCAGTTGCATTTAGGTGTGTATGTTTCACTTAAAAAAGATTAAAAAAAAATACTAGGATTTTGTATTTTAGTTATTAACATTTGTAGTTTCATTTCAGAATTAGAGGAAACTTTCCTAACAAGTATATAGAATATTACGAAAGCCCGTTGAGGCCAGTTCACAGAAAGAAAGAAGTATTCTTGCGTTTAATCACAAAAATCTTGGCGTTTAATTACAAAGATCATGGAGCTTAATCATAAATCAAAGATTGTGATTTAACTTAATATCTTGTGTTTAAACGCAATACTTTTGCGATTAAACAAATACTTTTTGCGTTAAGGACAGATGATACAAACAGAAAATGGATGCCTGGATTGGTATATAATTGTTGGCTTAATTTAATTGAAAATGATGCAAATATTAAATTTCTAGAATATAAGGAAACTGTAACCTTCTATGATGTTCAAAATCATGCCTCTCTGAGACCATTCTTATTAATCTATACAAATATTTTTCACTTCAAATCCCATTTTTGTGAAAATTTGAATAAAAATTAAAAAAAACTATGCGGTGAAACTTGTTCATTTTATTGATAAAAACATGACTCGAATTGAAATTTTCAAATTTTTTGACAAAAGTTTGTATCATCTGTCCTTAAAACGCAATAATTTTTGCTTTAAATTACAATATTTTGTGACTTTTGCGATTACATGCAAAACTTTTACCATTAAATGCAATTTTTTTGGCATCAAAACTTAATTATATTTGCCTTAAAACGCAATTATCTTAAAGATTGGTGGCAATAATTTCTAATACTAGTACATGCTGTATTCTTTAACTTTATACAATTAGATTCCTCCGAGCTAGCTACAGCTCTGTAGCGCGCTTGTCGGTAAAAAATGAGATAGATGAAAAAGAACTGTGTTTAATCAAAAAGTAAATTGTATTCAAACGCAAAAGTCTAGTCTCATCTTTTGTGATTAGAAATCTACATGAAATATATGGAGATAATGATCGAGCAGTGTTCAATCTCAATAGTCCATTAAACAATACAAATTGGAGCAGAGCAAACAAGTACCTCCAAAACATGAGAGATGGGATCAGGAGCCATGCCGCTGAAACATCCATCATGTGCACCTTGTTTTGATCGGGAAATAACGGAAAAAAACTTGTCGACAATTTAAACTTTTAGTGTGTATATAATGACCTAACAATTAATATGAAAAACATCAGTCACCATTTGACTCGATAAATTGTAGCTGCTGACAAGGTCAATGTATCGAACTTGATGATGATTTTATAGCAGCTTTTTTGTCAAAATATTCTTCTTTTAAGAAATTGTTATAAACAAAATATACAATAATTTGAAATAAAGATAGATTGATAAAAGGAGCACATTACATTAATTTTTATCGAATCTTGATTTTTAAAAGAATTGATCATTTAGATGTAAAATGCTGGTTTCTTACACTTCTTCCATTACAGAGTTTTATTACACACTGGTCAAGACAAAAACGGTCCCTGGTAAGTCTGTTCATATTGAATTTATTTTTAATGAATCTACAGAGAAATCACATTTTAATAAAATATAACTATAGATTATTGTAACGAAGTATAACTCAAATGCTTAATTATTTCAAATCTGAATACAGGCAACGTCTTGTGGTTACTACAAATTAAGTTTACTTCTTTTCGCTCTTCATTTACCTAAAAATTCATAATTTTATAATCTTTTTTTAAATGTTTTAAAAGCAAATATGACAAAGAAAACTAGATGAATTTAAATAATAGGAAATATTCTTCTGTAATATACATTAAATATACCGGTATTTATTGGCAGTCTATTACGGCAATGTATGGGCAAAGGATTATTACCTGTACTCGAGGAAAGAGACGTGGATCGATGCTCGCAATGCCTGCAGCAATATGGGTGGAAATTTAAATACTGATGTATGGAAAAAGCCTAACAAATACATTAGAACCAAAGCAATTGAAAATCAATGGTAATTTTTTGAATTTTGATATATATATATTTTTTGAAAAAGGTATACATATCATACAAAATATTACTTATTGGATCTTTAAAGATCTTTTTTTAGAAATACGACTTTAGAAGTCAAAAACCCTGAAATATAATTATTTATTTTTTAATTTAAAAAAAAATATTATTCTTGTATTTACAGACATAGATTAATTATTTTCTTGAAATAGTCATGAAAAGGGCGAAGATTACGTATAGTTATTGATCTCATAAAAACGCAAACAATACAGATATTCAAACATGTCATAATTTAGAGGTGGGATCAGGTGCCTAAAGGGAGTTTGTATCCCCTGTTGACTGGTCAAACCCACACTATGGATTAGGAAGACGGAATATTGCCTTTATTCAATTAAGTACAAAAATGAGAAGTCTAAATAATTAGAAACAAGTCGGTCAAATTACGAATCAGTGATAGGTTATATATTTATCTGAAGTTAAAGACATTCTAAGGACCACAGAATAGCCAAAAAAGAAAACCTTGAGAACTTTAAGTTTGCTGATAATAATGCATAAAATAAAACATATACTTTGTCACAAAAAAAGTCAAGAAGAGTGTAAAAAACATTTTAATGTTTATCTTGTAGACATTTTCATTAATGTAACAAATGCCATAGAAAAACTAAGAAAAAATTCTAAACATCTTAAAAATCCATCAAAAAGCTTTCAAGAAACACATAATTTATAGACAAGAAATATTATACTGCCAAATAATCAAAAGAATTTTTCATAAGGTAAATTCGAAATTGAAGAAAAAAGTAAAATTTTAAATTGAGATGAAATTCCTATGAAAATGCAAACGATTTCAAACTAGCATCTCAAGACATTTGATAAAATAACAATGAGTTTCTAAACGCAAATTTTGCTTTTTACAGGGTACCTTCAAACGACTTTTGGGTTGGAATGATAAAAGGTCCAAATAGCGATATGTGGTATCATGACAAATACGTGGAAAAATGCCAAATGCCAACTGATAATACAACATTTTCTGGACAATCTTACAGCAATCTTCAATGCGCTGCTTTCAACATGTCCATCATTTCTTCCTCCGATACGTCGAAAGTAATTTATGCTACGTCCTGTGATACACGGCTTGGCTTTGTTTGTCGCATCCAGTACGGAAAATTCCCGGAGATAGGTAAATTACGCCTCTGAATTAAATGTCTTTAAACTGAAACAGTTACTTCGTAATGGACTTTTGTGAGAAGCACTGACTTTTACAGTTGACGATTTACTTTGACATTTGAAGCTGTATCGTTCAGAATTGATAATAGATATGACAACCTTTCTAGTGGTGATAGGTACATGGTGTTCGGGGTGCTACTATGTGAAGGCCGGTAGTTGAGGTAGAGTTGTTGTCGTTTTCTTTAAACAAAGCTTATATCTGCAATGAAATTACACGTTATTTACGTTGAATTATATGTTGAGCTAAATATTTTAATTGTATAAGAGCTTCCGTACATTGTCCTACTTTAAAAGTTAGCCGTCAACTGTAATAGTGTACTTCTGAGAGGAGCGCTGATTTTCACAGTTGACGGTTTACATTTACATTAGGACGATGTTCGGAAGCTCTTTTCACCCCTACTAATGTTATTGTGATTTAAATTCAAGACACGTGGTTTAAGTTGACCTATTCAAAGATTATAGGGTAGAACCGGTTTTATAAATAGAATTGGCAGTAAACAGGAAATTGCTATAGTCTTTTTCTTTGGAAAACATGCCTTGTAAAAATGTGATTCCAGACCTTTTTGAAAGACTTTCATGAATTTCAACAGAAGTAGGGTGGCTAAAGGGGGGGGGGGGGGTAAAATTACAATGTATCATACTTTATGGCGAAAATTAGAGCTCGCTAGTGACCAATGCACTGGTAAATATATGTGTAATTTCATCCATACTGACAAACCTTTGTTTGCCTTATATGGCTATTGTTATAAATGCGCACAGAGGATCTTACCAAGAGCAACTGACCAATCGTTGAATGAATAGCAACGTTTACGACAAATACATGTTTACTTCGAACACGTGGTTCGGGTCAGTCTATGATTATGTCAGTGGAGTGCAAAATAAAAAAAAAATATTCTTATGAACAAAATACAAAGATTAGAAACTATGAAAGATTTGTTGTTAGCTAGAAAAGAAATATGTTTTAATTAATAAAATGTAGTTTGTGTCTACTTTAGAACACAAGCGCTTCAAGTGTAAGGAAAACGAGCAGCATTTCTTAAGCATTTAAATGGACAGAACTTTGCTCGTGATCACGTGGCCGGGGAATCCACCTGACAATTGTATTCACCGATAGTACAACAAAGGAATTTATAGCTTTGCAGTATGACTTTAAGAAACCTAGCCTTCCACCATTTATTTAACAAATGATTTTTTTGTCATTGTGAATATAACAAGAATAGAATTTTAAGAAATGCTTTTCATTCACTTCCTTGGTTTTCTTTTTTTTTCAAGTGTAAAATTCCTGTAGTATTCGTAGTAACCCATAATGCAATTCTCATTCAGCTGATTGGTTAGTCAAAGTCATGTTGGTGCCGCATTTGCTAATCTGACGCCAGTTTCCCATGCAAAATTTTGCCCAGAAAGAAATTTTAATTCATTACTGCAGAAAAGTGTATTATAGAGAATACTTGTTTGAGTTTGAAAGAATGTAAGAGAGATCGACTGAAGTACATTTCTACAGATATTATAGGGTAGTGAAAACTGAAACGCAACATAACTTTTCTGTTTACCATATCTCCACGTGCTAGTCACTTCCTAGCCACAGTTCCGTGAATAATTTACCCTATCTCGCTGAAGTCTCGCTAACTCTCGTCAGAGCCACTGCCAGAGCTACTCAGAACTCATCGGGCTTTAAAATTTGCTGAACACCGAAAAATAAAAGGTTCCGAACACATTAGTAGGGGTGCTTTTGCAATACAGATATTCACTTCAACATTTAATTAAACGGAAATGACGGCTTATTTCAATCTCAAAGCACATATAAGTTGCCCATGAAGAATACGACAACCACCCTGCCCTCAGTTACCGCCCTTCAAATACTGGTGCCCCAGACACCATACTTATGACCACTAGAAAGGTTTTCTTATCTATAAATTTGTACATCCTTATAAGATGCAGGTTTAAATGTCAACGTAAACCGTCAACTGTAAAAGTCAGTGCTTTTCGCAAAATCCAGTCACCGCTTCTCGTAAACGTCCATTAGGCGTACGCGTTATACATGAAGTAGGAAAGACCAAAGAACTAATAAAACCAAGATTGAAAAAAAAACCGCTTTATGAAGATAAGTAACCAAATAACATAAAACAAATAAATAATCACCGATCCATTTCCATTAAATGGTATCGAAGTGACATGCCTCTTTTTTTCATTTCAGGAGTTGAATATTACATTGGCTCAGAAATATCAAGAACAGGTATTCAAAATATGAATCAAATTGCAGAAAACTCCACCTCAAAGGAATCATGCGCCACTAAAGCATTTGATAAGACGTTCTGGTGTTTTGCTGCAACCTTTGACCCCGTTAAAGAAGAATGCGTGACTGAATGTTCTAAATACCCTCTCCTTCAGAATAATATTTCACTTGTTTCATCTTCGAACAAGACTGTTTTGCTGCGTAAGCACAGCCAAGGTATGAACTAAAGGTTACAAAGTTGACATTTTTTCACTAGATGAAGAAAAGCTACTAGAGATGTGTTTATGTAAGTACATGTTAAATTGAGAGAACATTCTGGGAGTATGCATCCTCGCAAGCCAGGGATTCTGAGTCAAAACTTTGCCGTTAAACGGCAACTGTGTTGACTCAGGACCCCGGGCTTCCGAGGATGGGAGTAATGTAGAATTCTAGTAAGTAAAATTGTAAATGTTAAAAATAGGAGATTTAAGCAGAGTAGAATTCTGTTTTGTATGATTTAATTCGGAAATATATATTTTGTTTATGATGCAAAAAATACGGGTTTTGCAGAATAAGCTTGTCTTGCTTATCTTGTTTTGCAAAACAAGGTTTGTTTGTTGTTGTTTTTTTACATTTTATAATTAAATTTTACATTGTTCTTTCCAATAAATGTTAAAAAATGTAAATCAAATTAAACATGTATAATTAAAGTTCAAATTTAGACCAAAAAAAAAATAATCAAGAGGAAAAAATCCATTCGGAAGAGACAAACATCTGAAACAGTTGTATGGAACAATTTAAGCATCACCTACCATATATAATAAAAATACAACTTCTTTAAATTTTTATTCTATTCTAAAATTAACATTAAAATCTTAAACATTTGTTAAAATTGATATTATTTTAGTGCTTGTGAATGTCAGAAAATCCAACAACAACGCTTCAGATGCTACAGATACTTTACACAATGTATGTATCGACAATCTACTGTTAAATTTCACATCAAAACAAGCCTCCAACTCAATGGAAAGAACAACGCACGTGACAACTGAATTACAAAATACATCTCAGGAAATGACGTCAGAGTGCGATTGTCTATGCTCAGAAAATCAGCAGAATATTACTGCCGAAACACTGGACAAAATCCTAAAAGAGATTAAAAGAAATCTGACTGTTATTAAAAGGAATCTTTCCTCTACTATCAGGAAAATGTCTTCTGCATCTGATGACAGAGAATTATCTGTTACCATGGGGGCCTTGGGTGTTGGTGTCATCATCACGTTTTTAACGACACTTGTCTTGAGTGACATTGTTAATTTCATGAACTGGATACAAAACTCTGCAAACGTGAAAGGCAACCATTAATTCATTAAATAATAATTTTGTTATTATTAATAAATTCCACTAGATTATTTTTGTGCAGTTCTTTTTTTAAAATACACCATCATATTTAGCCTAACTCCCTCTATTGAATAATGATATTGTACTTTCAGTTTGTTGTATTTTAAACTGCTTTATATGTTGTTTTTTTTTTTTGCAAAATACTTTGTCATTTATTTGTTGAATAAATGACCATTTCAATTTCTCAACAATTAGGTGTGTTTTCTTGTGTCAAACTGAGACACCGTAGCAGTTATCCATAAAATACATTATCGTATTTAGACTATTATTCATATCATAATTTGGGCTCAACTTATCGACATCTTCATTTGAAACGAAATTGGTTCACCGACTATCTATATCCTTGATTGTCCATCTGTCTGATTTCATCCGAAAACGTTTATTTCAATTTTTTACTTCTCCGGTAAACCATTCCTTCCACAACGCATCGTTACTTTACTTTTTATGGTTGAATGTTTAAAGTCTGATCCGGACCATAAATGAAGAGCAAACTCCAGTCAAAATTTATATTTTTAATATCTTAATAACAGATGAAAAAGTTGTAATTTTGTATACTTATTAAATAAACATATATGATAAGATTTTTTTCTTCAAATTCTTAAAATTATTTCATAAATATGACACAACCCTTTTATCAGTTCTATAGTTATAGATCAATCCTATTAAAAAGGAAAATTTGGAAAAATAGTTATTATTTCTTTGCATTGAAAAGTTTAAAAAAAAAACACTGGATCTCTAAATCAATTCGTAACTTCAAATATAGTTGTGCGTTAACATTTGAATGTATTTTTTTCCTCTGCAACCACTGAACCAATTTCAACCAAATTTGACATAAAGCATCAATGCGCGTAGCGCATTGATTAAAAAGTTTTCCGTCCAAATTTTTCTTTGATACATCGATCAAAGGAAAAAAATATTACAATCATTTCTTATCATTTAATTTTTGATTTTAAATTAATAAAATGAAACTTTCTTTCACTTTTCTATTAAATTTACGCATCAAAAACAGTGCGCACGAATTCATCACAACAACGTTAACGTTGCTGAAATTCAAAAGGGCTCAAACGAAGAAACGTTCTCAAATATTATCGTGTCATTACCAACATTCTCTGAAATAATTTATAGTTCTTTAACACAAAAAAACTTACCTGTTGTGTTATCCCAATGGGTATATTTTCCACGGTAAGTTATCTAAGTTCGTAAATGTCAGGGTAAGCTACTCAAATATCCTAACAATTCTAACGTTAGGTCACAGGAATTTTGGATTTCATTTGCACATCTTTTCAACTGAATTTCAAACCGAACATATAAATAAGTATCACAACCTGTCAATGCTGTAAAGCTTGAAAGAGTCTGCTTCCGACTGTTTAAGATAAAAAAGAATTCCGTCCTCATTCAGGCAGTGTGGTTTTTCTCGATCATTCGTTTCCCAAGATTGTTCAAACAGGTTTGGCCTAACGGTTTTCCCGCTTTTTAATAGCATAAAAAAAACATTTCTTCAGAATTCTGTTGTTCATACCAGATATCTCAAAGCCGAACATTTAACAAAAGTATGTCGATTTCTTTCCTTCTTTCCCAAAACTGTATTGTTGTTATGCAGACGATTTGATTTGTTTAGCAAAGGGGGATAATTCAAAACGAAACGAAAGTAGAAGTCAGGAACGTAACGGACAGGTTTCGAAATTCAGGAAAATATTTATTTATTTAATTAAAGGTATTTAATTATTCCTTCAAAAAGTAATCTGGAAGGGGGAATATACACGTAAAGACTGCCAAAGTAGTTCCGGCTGCTTAGTGCAAGCGAACTCTAGATTTTATTGATGCAGTTATCAAAACAATTTTTTATCCAATCAGAATCAAGTATTTTATAAAAATTAAATGATTTGAGAAACAAAAGGCGCAAAATATTTTTAAAACGTCTTTTTCGAAATTAAGAGCTGGCAGGATGACAATAAGCCAAATTTAAATGGAAGCTTCGGCATAGAGTTTAGATTCTAATAATCATAGTTCAGGAAGGTATCGTGGGATGCCCACGTGAGATCCAAGTTTTTCTTTGTACATATCAGCCGTAGGTAAACTCCTTGATATCATCGTATGTCCAAATTTGAAAGAAGTCAAATTTTATGATTGGTTGTTAATCGACGAAATCGCATATCTAACGACGATATTTTAGCTAGTTTACCCATGAGTTATGAGTAAAAGAAGACAACATCCTGCGTATCTAATGATGCAGGGAAAGAAGACAAAAAAAGCTGTAAGTTATATAAGGTTATTGTTTTTTAATACTATGTTAAAAAGAACGATTTGTATGTGGTAAAGTTAGTTTGGAAATAACTTTATTTGAGAAACAAGCTATCAAAAGCATAAATCATCAGAGCCTAGGATAGGGTCTCAAAAGATTTTAACGTATTGTGGAAGAAAATTTGACAAAATGTTAAACCCTTTAGCTATTTAATCGGAAAACAATGTAACTCGTAAATTGACTTACCTGGTCCTTGGTCATTTGCAAAATCATTTTGTTAAAACACATTCTGATTGCACATACAAGTACTCTGAAGTTGACATCAAAATGATGCTTGAGTGTCTGATTGACAATATCTATGTGGTTTTCGGAGACCTGGTCTTCCAACAATTTATTGGAATTCCCATGGGTACCAATTGCACTCCGTTATTAGCCGACATATTTTTGTATTTATATGAAGCAGAATTTGTGCAAAATCTTATGCGTGAAATTTAAAAAAAGAAAACACTTGCTGTGGCCTTCAACTCGACATTTAGATACTAGTACATCGACGACGTATTGTCAATTAACAATGATAATTTCCATTCCTATGTCGATATTTTTTAATTAGAGAGATATATTCCTGTTTTGATATATTTCCTTGTAAATCTTAATAGATATCTCTTAAGATTTTGAAATAGAAATATCTCTTATTCCCCCCATTATTAAGAAAATATCTCTTTAATAGATCATCAACAATAAATGTTCTCCCCTACTGAATTGACAACAAGGTCATGAACATGCAGAGACTACCAGACCATAATCATTTGATCGAAGCGACAAAAGATTATTTAACTGACTTCAAGTTAATGTGATTCTCATTTTAAATAAGTTTTTAAATGTGGAATGCTTCAGTGAAAAGTTTGCATCATCGACTAAAGTAGACAATTAATGACCAGGTCAGACCTATAAATAATATTTACAATCATAAGATGACTATTTGATATATTTGTTTTTACCACAGATACAATAATATGTTTAGCTTAGTTCTGGCTATAAAGCTTATCATGTGTTAATACTCCAAACAGAATGTTTTTTCTCTTAAAAAGGAAATATTAATTAATTAGCTTAAAAGAAATTTCAATGTGAATTATATATACTTTTTTCAGAATAGTAAGCTTATAAAAGACATATATTTTCAACTAGAGGTGTAGTTTTACTAAATTATATATTATATATTTTTAGCTAGTAAACATTTCAATGTTAGTTGTAGCAATCTAAATAATATTCCAATGTGTTTATGTACCCTTTTTAAAAAGAGCTAGGTCAGTTTGATTTTATTTGTATATATAATGTATAACCTATTTAAACTTTTTTCCAGAGTTAACATACATTGAATATAGAAGATTAACTTCATTTGGACACAAAATGTGTTGAACTTATGCATTAATGGGTGCATATCATTTTACAATTGTTCATTTCTTTGCTTATCGTTTTGAATATAATTTGTATTTGTATTGTGCCTGTCAATTAACTTACTGAAATGTTAATGAGGATGCTCATGTTAGAAGCTGTATTTAAAATCAAAAATTCAGTTTTGCATGGGATAGATTAGAAATATTGACAAAAATCTTGAGATGCCTAAAAGCTTCTCTTTTTAAATAATGAATAATTCTATCGCTTAAATGCATTATAGGTTGATTTACTAGCCCTCTAAATGCAATTGCTAAAACACTTACACCGATCTATAAACCATTACCGAGATCCTTTTAAGCTATGGTTGTAAGCTATAGAAATGTATTTTATGGTTTCTTTTAACTTCAGGATTAGAAATTTGAGCTAAACATTGTACATTCGTATTAATTACACAATTTCGCTCCCATCTTCCAGTACCTTCCTTTGAGTTTGATTTATAATCTGATGCTGAAGTAAATCTTTCACAGTTGTGCTATTTGATGATACTTTGTTGTGAATCAATTGTTATGTCATCAACAGAAATAATTGAAAACCCAGGGATATTCTGTGATTAAACGACCATGCCAGCAAATACAATCTATCATTTAGTCAAATGCCGACTGAGTGCTTCATATTTATTGTTAGACCATTACTTAAACGCTGAATTGTCAACAGATTTTCCGTTATTTCCTAATCATGACAAGGATCACATAACGGATGTGACTGATCAGCAGGGAATGCTCACTCCCCAATGACACCTGATCGAACATCTGATGTTTTAGAGGTCCGTGATTGCTTGACTGTAATTTCTGTTGTTTAATGGACTTCTCGGCTTGGATACTCCATATTTGATTCAATTGGCATCTTCTCTGCTTCTGGACATCTATAAGGCAAGTTGTAATAAACAAAGATATCTGTATAAGATTTTTGAATTCTGGACCACTTGATCAAGTGTTCCGGTGCTGCGTATGGTTTTAAATTAGAAAAGGTATTACAATTTGCTTTTCACAACATTGTAGGTAAGGTAATTGAATAAAAGAATCATACAAATATATGAAGCAAAAATATAAATTAATAATTTTGATGACCAAAAAGAGGTCAATATGAAAGGAAATGAGATAGGTTTGCTAATAGTGCTTAAGCATTATTTATTTTATATTTACCGGTTTATTTCACTTGTATATTTTTTACAAGGTCTTCCCCTGGGTACCATTAATGTTAACCCTTTAACTTTATAGTTTGACCCACTTTTAAGAAACTCGAATCTTCATCATAACTGTTAAAAAAGATTAGTACTTGGGCTTTACTATTTCGGATATATATTCACTGACTCTGGTCCTTTGTTTGGGCAACCACATTTTTGATCTATTGACCTTGGACTTACATTTGAGAAACTTCAACCCTTGGCACGATATAGGGACATCAGTGTTTTACAAATTCATCTTTTTTTCTTCTGCAATTTCCTGTGCAAAAATGCAAATTAAAAAAATTAACTCTAATACCAAACGAAGTTTTTGAAAACAAAAACAGCACTCAATTCAGGATGAATATCAGCCAGGTATTCATTTTGGAACTTTATCATCAAAATCCACATTTATTTGAAAAATTGTCGTTGTGTTGATTTTTGTCGTCATTTATCAAAATTTGATAGAATAAAAACAGCCTACAGTGAATACACAAATTTATTCAAGCTTTATAAAAATTGCAGAATCAATTAGATTTGTATTATTGCCTTTATTGATTTACAAATAAACAAAGACATTATATGCACACACTGAAAAAATTGTATCAAAATGTTTTATCAATTATAGCCAATACTTCTAACGTAAAATTAAGTGGAATAGATTTTTTCTATGTTGTAAATGTATAAAAAATTGTATCTGCCCAAATCCTTCATTAAAATTCGATCGGTAAAATGCTGGAATGCAGTTTGTACTACAGTATAAAATTCAATAAAGCAAATCCATTGCAGACCAAAGAGATGCAATAGAACTATGAACAACATAACCAGGCAACGTTTTATAACTTAAACCGTAAGTACAATTCTGAGTATCTTAATAATTTTGTTTTAACGTTTAAGTGAGGGCTTTGAAAAACATTACGTTTAAAAAGTTAATAATTCTTTGAAGAATATATACGTTTTCATTCATTTCGAAATGATTCATTTCATGATTCTAATTTTTATGCTTCCGTTATTGAAGATCCGAGGATTTATAATTTTGCCTTTCCCGTTCGTCTAAAAGTTTAATTCACTTTTAAAAAAATTTTACCTGGGTCTAAACTTTTGAACAGTTAGTACAAGGGATTTCATATTTTACAAGTGTATTCTTTATGATAAGACCTGCCTCCTGATACCAACAATTTTGAACTTTTGACCTTGACCTTGGAATTCGACTCACATTTGAAAAGCTTCAACCTTCGCCAAAAGCTGCCATACGGGGGCATTAGTGTTTCACGAACGCATCTTGATTTTTTTTTGTGTGCATGCAAATGATTTCTCAATTTATACATTATTGATATTACATTAGATCTACTAATGAAGCAACGTTTCAGTTTCCGAGCTAATTATTAATCCAAACCAGATAATTTGACTTGCGTTCGACTGTGTGTATGGTTGTGACAAAATAGAAATATAAGATAGAATTCAGATATACTATAAGAATGCTTCAGGATATATTTTTGGAAAATGGTTTTTGCCAAACATATTTTTTTTGCTCGATGCATTTGGCAATTGTAATTATTTTTCAATGTCCACTGTGTGACAGACCTCTTTACTATTATTATCATGCGTTGATTTTGTATAAGATTCAAAAGTTTATGAATATATGATTTTTGTCTCTTTTTCTTGAGTAGTCTTTGCATTTTTGCAATTATAGAAATCTGTAGTATGCTAAATTTGTGTCTCGTAAAAATATTAACAATGCTATCCTGTATTAAAAGAATTTTTTCATAAATGTAAAATTCTTTGATTTTCTTTTAAGGTTTTTTCAATGTATTAATATTTTTCTTAATTTTTTTTTTACAGATGTGTACGAATCCTGATGAAGAAAAGTAATGTTGTCAAAGATAATATTTGGAAATTTATTTAGGATTATATTTCTATTACCTTATTTTCATAATGGTTTGTATTTTTAGAAAAATATGTATAATAATAATAATAATAATAATAATAATAATAATAATACTTTATTTAGAGAAGGTAACCCGATTAGTGCGAGCACTAGTCTTCCTCGGGGCCTTCTTTAAAACACATATACAATGCATATATACAATAAATAGAATTACAATTATGAGACAATAAAAATCAAGTGTATGTTACAAAGTAATAAAACATCAACATTTCAATATATATAGAGAGAAGAACAAAAAATCATATAGAATCATTGCGTTTCATCAGCAGAAAATTTTCAACATTTCTTTTAAATATTGCCAGGGATTGGGACTTCCTGATATTAATTGGTAACTCATTCCAGATAATAACCCCTGAATATTATAAAGAATTTTTAAATAAGTTAGTTTTAAATTTTGGTAATCTAAGTTCTGAATTTGTTTCTGAGCGTAACGTGTATGATCCAGAACTTTGAAATTCAAAAAGATTATGCATATAATCGGGAAACATACTATTAAATATTTTGAACATTAGAATGCTTTTCTGTAAATATAAAAGTTCATAAACAGTTAGCCAACCTAAAGTGTTAAATAAAGGCATTGAAGGTGTATCAAATTTTTCATTTAAAATAATCCTAGCTGCTCGTTTTTGTAATCTGTAGATTCTATCCATATGCGTTTGAGGACAATTGCCCCAAATGGATAGACAATATAAAATTGATGGTAGAATAAAAGCATTATAAAATAGTTTTCTAGTATGCATTGGAAGAAACCTTTTAATTTTTCGTAAAGTAAATAATTTGTATGTAAGAGTTTTGCAAACTGCATCTACATGACAAGTATATTGAAGATTATGATCAATGTGAACACCTAATAATTTTTGCATCTCTACGTTTTCTAGGGGCTGGCCGGAAAGTTGCAGATGAAAATTAACGTTTTCTAATTTAGCTTTCTTTTGTTCTGTTCCCATTAACATACATTTTGTTTTATCAGTATTTATAATCATCTGATTGTTACTTGCACACCTTTAATTCTTATCAATCGCTTAAAAATATGTGACTTGCATTGTTATATGATTATAAAAAGTTTTTATAATTAAAAAGTTTTTTTTTTATAATTAAAATATTTAATTAAAATCATTATATGTACCTTTTACTTATAAAGTCTATCTCTATAATTTTATACCTATCTGAATTACTGTTGCTAAATTTTAGCCCGTTATTTTGGATGGAGCATCGAAATAATAAAACCCGGTAAGATTTTGTCTGCTAACATTAGAGCCAATTTTTAAATTATAAATCAAATCATTCAAAAGATAAAGAATTTGCGAAAAAAAACCTACCAGGTGGATAAGTTTCACAATTAATTTTTTTTTCTTCAAGCATATTCTCTTGACTATATACCTTGACGTTAGGTTGTATTAAAATCGGCAAATATATTTTTGCTTGTAGAACAATGTTATTCACTTTTGGATAAATCTTAATATATTTTTTTTTACTAAAAATGTCTTTCAGCTTACATGGGTATCTATTGGATGAAAGATTACGTCTTGTTTACGGAGCGTAAAACATGGTTGGAAGCTCAACATGTTTGCAATTCCATGGGGTACTCACTGCAGTATAATCAATGGAACGCTATTAATTGGTATATAAAGACATTTGCTGTCAGGCAAAGCTGGTAAGCTGTACATTTGGTTTATTTCAAAATACCAAAACTAATCAATTCGATTAGAAAAAATTAATATTTAGAAAAATGACTTCGAAAGATGCATACAATGTTAATTCGTATTTTTCATATCCACAGTATACCATTTACGTCAATTTCTCAATTAATTCTTAATAAGCAAGTATAGGCATAAATATAAGTAAGCAAGTACACAACAACTAAATCAAAGATATATATCAACAACAAAAAAGAATTCGTCTTTCAATTTAAAATATTACTTTATAATTGTGATTCGAAAAGAAACCTTGAAGAATATCTGTATAGTAAAGTCGATTATCAATATGACGTTTAAACAAACAAGGCTAACTTTTATTCACCCAGGTTTAAATTCAATTGAAACAAAATGCATAAATATTTTTCATATTTATTTAAGTATCATTTGTAATTATAATCGATAGGACATTTAATAAATACAAATTGGCATAGACTGCATGCAACGTAGTGTTTCAATTGATAAAATATCCTCTTCTCTTTAGAATATAACGAGAAAAGCACCTTTACTAAATAAACATTTTCAGTACACGTTTGGTACGATTACCACTTAATTGCTGTTTACAGCTTTTGAAAAAACCCACATGGACAGCTACTGTTTTTGCTTTCCATAAATTGCTTCATCAAATTGTATATTATTTTAGGAGAATATTACAAGCGTACTAGTTTATATTTTGTGGAGATGAGAAGATAACAAATAGAAATCAAGTTCAATAGAAATCAAGTTTAATAATAAAGATTGTAAGCAGAGCAAATATGGACATCTTAAAACAAAGGTGGGACCAGGTGTCATTTAGGGCTGAGAATTCCCTGCCGATCGTCACACTTTGAGAAAAATCCATCTAAAACTAATTGTGCTTTCAAAATGATCTTCATATGGATGTATAAATTTTGCAAAGTGTTGACTTTTAATAATAGAAACTGTTTTCCATGTGGCATTCTTTGTTTGTTAACAAAGTCGTCATTACTTTTTTAAACACTACCCCCTTAAATCAATTATGCCATTATTTACACACCAAGTTGTCCACGGATCTTTCCGTTTTTTCCCGAACATGACAAGGAGTACACAACTGGAGTGACCGATTGGCAGTGGATGCTCACCTCTCAATGGAACCTGATCCCACCTCTGATTTTTTGGAGGTCCCTGTTTAGCCTCTATTTTGTCATGTTTTATGGACTTTTGAGCTTGAATACTCTTCGTTATTACCACATACCGTTTTTCATTCTAGAGACTCATCCAAAATCTAATTGACATGGACCTTACTAGACTGTTAAGTATAAGACAATAATATATCGTTACATATCTATGAGTGTTGTGTATTGAGATGAAGTCAGAAAAATCTATTTCACAGGTCAATAACTGAGGATATATGGCTCGGAATCATAAAAAATCAGAACAGTGACAAATGGCTTGAAGTTAGAGAAGGAAACAGGTGTTTGGAAAAAAATGGAGCATTCTCAAAACAGAATCACCTTGATAGACAGTGTGCTGTTTTAAATATGTCCGCGGACTCACACTCTGATAATCTTCTAATATATGCCTCACCTTGTGATGGTCAAAACTTTGGATTCGTATGCGAAGTAAAATATGGAAGTCTACCTAAAGGTAAATACTTAATTATTGGTCGCCTGCGTGGGACTGTGATAAAAAGTCGCGTTTTAAAGAGTTGATCCTTATGTCGAGAGTTCTAATCCAAGTGCGGGACTCGTAGACCGGTCCTTCGGATAATTAAGAAATGAATTCAATTTTTAAAGATTCATGAGGTTATGAACTACGACGCTTCACGCCGGCATATTTATCATGAAGCGCGTTATTTCACAACTGTTCATCATTTTTTTCATATCACAATTTTATCCCGTAAGTTTTCCATTCAACACAAATATTAAGATAATACATGCCTTTTTAAACTTATTTTCCTCTCTTTTCATTTACTTAATAAATGGGGTCCTAAGGATGAATGAATTAAGTCTAATTTGGGTTTTTTTTTAAATTAACACATACAGTAACATCTAAAATAATCTTTGTTTTAAAATTTGAATTAATATAATATCAATTTTTTTAAATGGGTAGGGGTATTTTCAAACAGCCAAAAATAAATCAATATGTAATTGAAAGACCTTTTAATTACTAATTTTGAAATTGTCTCAAAATCTCCAACACCAGTAAGTTTGACATCTGGGTATTTCACCGTTTCAAGATTGTGTATAGTGATTATTTTTTCACACTTGTCATTATTCCATTCTTAAATATGAGAAATATAATAATAGAAATTATATATGATAAAAATTGAGAAATCAAACTTTTCAAAATTAGTGGTTAAGTTATTCTTGTTTTAGATGTCGAGTTTTACCCCATGTCAAAGGTTCTTGACGAAGGCATCGTTAGAGAGCACTGGAATCTTTCATCAGAAATAGATTGCGCCATCAAAGCTTTTTCAAAATTCGAATGTTATGCTGCCACTTACTTTCCGGAGGAAGGATATTGTTTGGCTGAATGCTCAGAGTTGCATACTATTCCTATCACTGTCTCTCTTGTCAATTCTTCGCAGAACTCCACGGTGCTCCTGCGTGCCCACACAAAGGGTAATAATTTAATTTTTTGATGTATATACAATATTTTTAAATTATAAAAGTATGCTTAAAATTACATATTTTGAGGGGTCAAATTTTCATGGTTTGATGAAAAATATTTTGCTTCATTGAGATTTGATTTCGTGGTTGAAGAATTAATCACCAGTAATATATGTGAAAAAATGCATTTCGTGGTGGATATTCATTCGTGGGTCTCTTCATACCTTGTAAACGCCAAAAATTAAACCCTACGAAAACTAGTAATTTCACAGTACTTACATTTTGAACTGTCGCTCGCATGGCACAATGAATAGCAGGTTTGCTTTAAAGTTGCAAAGTAAGGAGTTGATCTTACATCACAAGTTCGAATCCCTCTTCGGGACCAACAGAAGGTCCCATGCTAGTTTTCTACGATAAAAAAATGAAGATAACGAGCATTCATAGATCTCAAAAAAGCAAAGATAAAACGAACACAACATAAATTACTGAACATTCTTGAGGTAGGATCAGCTGCCCAGAAGGAGTCAGCATCCGCTGTGAATAGGTAACCCCTCGTGTTAACCCACACATTTATCAGAGGACGAAGAATTCTGTAGTCAAAATCTAGGATAAAAGCGAGACCTAACGATTGGTGTGTAGCACGTCGTAAAATACGACCTTATGTTGGAAAGCAAGATCACTGTCACGACAACAAAATATACAAAATGCTGGCTGTCCTAGTGATTCGACTCGAAAGATACACAAGTATTGAATTTAAATCTGCATTTCTTTTTTAAAGATTTAACTTTGTAACAATTTGTATACGTTGTAGTTTTTATCAACCACACAGAGTCACAATTACCTCCAAGTACGCAACAGTATCCATGCGCTTTAGAGACCTCCACGGACACCACGACTTATTTTTACCAAGTTTCAAACAGTACTACAACAGATTACATGCTTACCGATGCAACCACAAAGGCTCGGTACAATTGTTCCTGCATCTGTCCAACAAATTCAATGAATATTTCCGATGAAATGTTAAATCAAAAGGTGGCAGATATCAGGAAAAAACTGACCGTTAATAAGACGTCTCTATCATCGACAACACGAAAGAAAACATCTGCACCGGATAATAGACAGACCTCTGTAGCCATGGGTACGGTTGGTATCTGCGTCATTACTATGGTGATTACTTCACTTGTCGTCTCTGACTTCGGATATATTTTGGCATGGATTAAATGTACATCTTAATTTTTATGCGCTGAAATGCATGCATCGTTATAATTGATTTTCTAGTGATTGTGAATGTGTGGCTGTTATAATGTAGCAACTTTTAAGAAATTTTAGAAATTAATTAAGAACAATTTTTAATGTGCTCAAAATGAGTGTTTACACCCCGTCTCTCAATTTTAATGCATATTTATATGCATACTTTGAAAAATGTTAGTGCACTAAATGAATATAAGAGTGGCTCACAATTACAGAATCTTGGACTAGCTGGAATCATTCGACAATCGTGTATCAACGTAAATCTCTTCAAGTGACAATCATAAGATTTTTGCACAGTTTTATTGGTGTTCATGAAAGAATGGTAAATTAAGACTGAATTATGCTACATGTAGCTGTAAATATGTGGCGAGAAAATTCGTTTAAAGGGATATTTTTATAAGATACTTTTAATGTATGGAAGAATTGTAATTTATAATTAGGGAGAAAAAATATTTTATTTTAGATATTGTCATTCATTAAAATTGAGACTTTCTGTCAATTTAAAGCAGAACAACTCTGAAGAAAAAAGTCAAAATTGTATTATTTTGACAATTGTTCTTTCAAGTAGGTACTATAATTAGGTAAAAAAAAAATAATGATGAAAATGTTGAATTTTTCTACTTCTAGATTTTATATGTATTCTTTAAGAAATTGGTTAAGAAAGGTTTATTCTACTGATAGAGCTTCTGAGTTTGAAATGAAATTTTCAGATATTGTAAATTGGATTTGATTTTGAAATTTTCACATGAAATGCCGAAAGGAAATTCCTTTTGAAAATAATTTAGAAAAATAATGATTTGCAATTTAATTTAGTGGATACATTAAAAAGATAATTGTAAAGATGAAGAACATTCATGATGGTTGCTCTACTCTACTTTCTGTGACTAGATTCCGGTATTCCTTACAGTATCAATACTTTTTCGTAGCGTCTAATATATATTAATTACAGGCTTCATTATGTTTCTAATCATGATCATATTCGTTTATCAATATGTATTCTGTTTTGATAATTCATCAAAGGAAGCTCAAACCTTCATTGTTAAGTTTTCGACCAGGATGGATTTGATGCAACGAGCTTAAGAAAAAACATCTGAAAACCTTCTAATTAGCTATCCAAATTAAAACTTCCAAGGTTCTTTGTGCGAGAGATCAAGGAGATATTATATTCTTTTGGCTAATACATGAACTAAAATATTTTCTACATATCAATCTCTGTCTTTATATCAATAAGTTTTTTATTGGTTAAAAAATCTCCAATGTCATTTTCATTCCACATAACTTTAGCAGACTAACTCCGATGTGGGATTTTATTACATAAAGGGCTTTACATGAAGCTGCACCTGCTTATAACTTCAACGTTTTAAGATAATCTCAAGAGGTGAGTACAATATTGAGAACTTTGTTTAGTTATGGAAATTTGGAAATATTTTCCCTTTATAAATTTTGCTTTTGCCCATTGAAATATCTATACAATGAGCTTAATTTTTAAAATAAAAATTCTAAGAATATACTCGTATATTTTTGCGCGTATGTTTTAATATACCGTATAGCGGGTTATTTTAGCGGAGTGCTAATGTTGGCCTATTTTGGCGCTTTGATGGTAGCCCGCGAAAATTTTAATCACTAAGAAATTCAGTACTCTTCTTAGTATTCATCTGCAAAGAGTTGAGACCCTGTGTACGCTAAAATGAATAACGCCAAAATTATTAGCAGTAGTATATAAAGATTTCATAAAATGTCATCAATCAATTTTATGTGATATCGAAGCAAAACTGATAACATGAAGATATCAGAAGGCTAAGGACACATTTTATTCTAGATAAATTCAAATCTGGTTCCTAATGTCATTCATAAGATGTGTTGTTTTCTTTTAAACCTTCAGAAAATCCTAGCCCAACTGATTATTTAAAAAATAATATATCTTCTACTATTATGAAAACAAAGTACTTAGAATTTAAAGTTGCAACAATTTTGTGAATTTTAATTTCACCCAATTTATTGTGAAATGTTGACAATAATGATCGGCGGTAAATGAGAGGACTTCAGCTCTTTCCTTATTTATGTTGTAATAATCCCAAATCACATGTTTTGGACAACACATGCATTGACTAAAATTTCAATGAAAATAAAGTTAATCCAAATATTGCTGAGCTATATTGGCCCATTGTTCAAAGTTGATTTCTTCCTCTAGAGGTATCTTAAACTGAATAACTCAAAATGTTTAAATGTGATAGAATTTTGTTGAGTTTCTCATTGACAATATCTATGTAGTCTTCCCACTATCCATTGGAATACTAATGGATATTAATGATGCTCCTTTATATAAAACATACAATTCTCCTTTTTCGAAGCACACTTTTAAATTTAGGTCCGCTTCCCTTTTTAAAATATGCTTCATTTTCTACATAATTTATACCATTTTAATGTAACTTTTTAATGACAAATTTCAGATTTCTACATTTTTGACTCATACAACATGGTTTCAAAAACAATATGCCATGGGGTTTTCTTTGGAGTTATTGAGATTTTATCTATTTTTCATAAAGGTTTGTACATTTGTTTTATTATGCTTCGTGAGAATTATGTTCATAAAGAGAAAAATGTACTAATATGCAAACCAATTAACCACAGTCGTACTAAAAACTTTTTTGAAATTCCTTTTATTTAATGATTATGAAAATTACTCCATCTTTAATTCAACATCAACTTTTATTATTACACTGTACAGTCTTATCATGTTTGTACTGTCAATTTTGGGATTAAATCTTGTCTGGGGCATAGAGATTACGCACCCCGGTAAGATTTAAATTTTCACATGTCCTTAGCTCTTCTGGGTTTCTTAAAATTCTTTTCCATATTGTATGAGAAAATAACTTTTTGAAAAAAATTTTTTTTTTATTAAAGCTACTGTAACAGATTGTTTTTAAAGTATTCATATTTTTTTCATTAAGCATTAACATAAATACGTCAAGATATTGTCGTTTTATGATTTCGTTTGTTTAGTTTTTAGCTCACATAAATCAACGTCTCAAGCTTTTTTCCGATTAAAATTTGTGCATTGTCCTTTTTGTCCATTTTGTTGTCAATTTCGTCATCGAAGACTTATTACACTTTCATGTTTTCACCAGGAACACTTATCAAATTAACCAAGCTTGGCGTAGAGTATTCTTAAATAGAAGAAATTAACGTTTGAGTCAAGACATTTTAGTCATTCGGTCAGGAGAGGGAAACAAAAATTTAATGATGGTCTAAGAATTTTATGTGCAGACTTCATGGCAAAACTTAAATATTACAATTGTTAATGTGATGTCATGAGTAATATGTGATGTCAAAAATGGCGGTTAAACTTATTTCACAGTCTGAATAAAACCAACTCCTTTTCCCTTCACTCAGGAGTGAAAGAAGAAGGGGTTGGTTTTAATCAGACTGTAACATTTCACTATATTTAAAAGAAAATAGTGTAGATTACCCCCAATAATTTGATTAGAAAATATCAAGGTCAGATCTAGATTTGCACAGGCTTTGTCTTTTAATATACTGTGTAGAATGATCATAATTTAAAGTATTTCCTGGACATGATTGTATTATAGATCCTAAAAACTATTGAAAAAATGGAACAAAAAATTTGCTCTTTCACTCTTTTGAACAAATAACAGGGAAAATCAAAAGTAAGTGATTAAACTGAGACAGAGATGCTTTTTGTTCTACAATAAATGTTTTTAGATATTTTATAATTGTTAAATACAGTAAATAAAAATGCATAATTTCCATGAGATTTTCAAAACTTGACATTTCTGGGGCAGGAATATGATAGTTCTTAATGAAGAAATCTTTTCCACATTCGTAATAATGAATGATGAATGATTCATCTCTACACCCTCAATGGTACCCACATATAATATGGTACATCTTATTTTTAGTTTACTTGGGTAACCAACACTTAAATGATTTTTTCCTGTTTTCGGAGCGTAAAACATGGTTGGAGGCAAACGACGTTTGTATGTCAGTGGGAAACACTCTACAGTCTAACACCGGGAACTCAATGCGTTGGTATATAAAGACCAAGGCTTTAAAGAAAGGCTGGTAAAGGAAACAAATAAAACTTCAATATTATCAAATCTATTAGTTTAACGTTTATTAAGAACAGTTTTATTATCTATCTATGGAATTTAAGAATTAATTCAATTAAAGAGAATCTTTATTTACTTTGCTCATAGGCCAATAACCGATGACGTCTGGGTGGGGGTTATAAAGGGGGAAAACAACAACAAGTGGTATGAAATCAGAAGAAACGGTAATTGTGATGAAAAAACAAACGAAATTCCAGGACTGAATCAATATGAAAGACAGTGCGGAGTTCTAAACATGTCAGCAGTGTTTGACGTCGATGAGCCAATGATTTATTTCACTTCTTGTGATGGTCAGACCTTGGGTTTTTTGTGCCAAAAACACCAAGGAAAGCAACCGAACGGTAGAACATACATGTATTTATGATATTGAATCAAAGCATACATTTCTTTTTAACCATGAATAATGTCAAATGGTAAAAAAAATATTTGTCACAAATAAAATGTCCTATCACAAAGAAATACACTGAAGAAGTATTATAACTGATTTTTTCGTGAAACACCGTGAGAAAACTTTAGCATATCTTAAGTTACATTAACTGAGTATGTCTATGTTAAACATAGTATGCAAGTTAAACTACAAAAAATAAAGTAGATCTTACTGAAAATTAAAATGCTTGTCAATATTTCATTTCCAGGTTTCCAGTTCTATCCCATGTCAAATGTGGTTGAAAAAGGCTCGGAAAGGAAATTTTTTAATGTTTTAACAGAAATAGATTGTGCCACTTCTTCTTTTACAAAGTTTGAGTGTTATGCGGCCACTTATTTCCATGAGGAAAAAATATGTGTGGCTAAATGCACAGATCAAGAAATACCTGCCATACCGGACACAGTTTCTCTTGTTAGTTCTACCACCAACTCAACTGTTCTCACAATAAAGGTAATTGAAATAGGACTTGTTTTTTAAGTGGTCTAGATTGGTGTAAAAGCCTGAAAGGAAGGCACACTCTAATCAAATCTTAAATATGACTTAGAAGGACAATTACAAAATTACACGTTCGTTCATTGAATAATTTGCAAGTTTTTGAGTTTTGAAATATATTTGTGATACACAAATCAAGATATTCTGACTTTAGTCTGTTCTGAATACATATGTTCGGTCTCATGATTGACGTAAGAAATCTGAGATATAAAATTGCATTGCTGTTTTATGTTAAAAAGAAAGTTAAATGTTGAAAAATGATAACTCATGATTTTGAAACAAGAGATTTGTGTATCATGTTATAACAAACAATCAAAATTAAAAACAAAAATTAAATTGCTAAACCGAAGATTTGCATTACCCGTACAAGATATTTCACAATTTGCTAACCCACAAATATGCCTGGAAAACAAATTACAATTTTTTATGCAAAACACTTGGAATCTTTCTTTGGTAAATGGTATAATTGCTGATGTGTCAACGTTAATTTTATCATAAAAATTAACAGTTGTTTTATCTTTATTATGGTAGTATTAAAGAGCTCGTTCAAATTTTTACAAATATCAATTATTGAACAGTAGTTATCTTTTTTTAAAATTAGCATCTTGTCTTTGCAGTTAATTTACATATGTATTTTTTTCAGTTCTAATTAACCACACCGTGTTAAAAGTACCACCTAGCAACAACCCATACCCTGTATTGTCGGGGCCTTCACACTGCAACAAAGTTCTATTACATCTTCTCAAATGAATAGCGGCGAATCAACCTTATCACAAGCTCTTGATGAAACAACAACATTTGTCAATATGACAACTATACATCAAACTTCAGAGGATACAATAACCACTGAAAACCCAAATGAAGGAATAGGAGTTGATACAGAAATAGAAGCAGAGGTGACAACAATGCAAGTTGACACAATAACTCAAACAACAAATCTTTCAACAATACAGGCTCAGTCAGGATGTGTTTGCATCTGTTCTACAAATCAAGTTGATATCACACAAGAGATGTTGAAGCAGAAGGTTACTTACATCAAGAAAAATCTGACTGTTAACAGAACGCTCTTGTCTTCAACGAAGCGAAAGAAAACTTCAGCGTCTGATGATAGGCAGTCCTCTGTCGCCATGGGAACTCTTGGTGGCTGCGTTATTATTGGTGTAATTTTGACTTTTGTCGTCTGTGATTTGGTACACGTTGTGTCGTTTGTAAAATCTATACGAGTGATTTTTTTGCACTAATGATTAATACTTTTAGTGCAATTGGTGGAAATTACTAAAGTGTGATAGTGATTGATTGATTAATGAATTGTATACTGTTTAACGTCCCTCTCCAGAATATTTCACTGATATGGAGACGTCACCATTGCCGGTGAAGGGCTGCAAATTTAGGCCTATGCTCGGCACTCAGGGCCATTGAGCAGGGAGGGATCTTTATCGTGCCACACCTGCTGTGACACGGGGCCTCGGTTTATACGGTCTCATCCGAAGGACCGCCCCATTTAGTCGCCTTTTCCGACAAGCAAGGGGGTACTGAGGACCTATTCTAACCCGGATCCTCACGGGGTAAAGTGTGATATTGATCACCATAAAGGTACACCCTTGTACTTAAACAATGTCAAGCGACATCGCTGTTTATCAAATATAATTTAAGTAGAATTTCACTAATGTTTATATTTGAACATAATTTTTCCGACAACATGTGCTTGTTGTTGAGAAAACTTTAGCATAACATATTTTAAAATTCATTGTATATCGGACAATATTTGCCATGCATCAGACGAACGGTATGTCAAACAAAAAATAATAAACTTCATATTGGAGGTCCTTAAAACACTCGAATTGTGTATCAATTATTGACTTTGAAATATTCTTATGCCTCATTTAAAGATTTACTCTTACTAGTATTTAAATTCAGTTGATTATATTGGTCCTCAAAAACGTCTAGATATTTCAGATCCCGATTACAACTCGATTTTAAATGCATCACCTCGCTTGATATAGGCTTAGCCATGCATCATCAAATCGCAACTTGGTTTCGGGGGTTACATGTATCATCTTTTTCTGTCTTTTAGTTAAATTTGTCAAACAGAAACAGTTATAAGTTGTGTCAGGTCCCTGGTTGCGTATTGCATTTATCTGTACACGAAAAAGAACGTAAGTAACCATTCAATGGGCTATTCCCAAGGCATGGTTTATTTGTGGCTGATGCATTTTGAAATAAACATTATAAAAAATTATAATCATTTTCAAATGAATTTTAGTTTGTATTTTAATAAAATAATAATTTTGGAAAAAAAAGCTCATCCAATATGGAATCTTTGCATTTCAACTCTAATGTAAGAAAGACAACTTTAAACATCCAAAAACCTAAAATTTGGATCATGGCAAATCAATCTGACTAAAGCCAGACTACTATTTACGCTATCCCATAGAGGTCTACTTTTACCATAACAAAAATTCAATATAGTTAACTATAATTTACCTATAGTAAATACTTTGATACTATACAGTGAAGCTTTACTCTAGAACTTTTTTTAAAAAAAATGATTTAGAAGCTGAATTTTTCTTTAATTGCATACAAATTGCTAGTTTTTTTTTCATTTGAAAAAAAAAAAATGTGATTATACAAGGAAAAACTCTTTTTAATACTAGCATTACAATTTTACTTGTAGGAATTAAACAAAATAAATATATCTATCTGAAATTCAAAATTAATTACTTTGATTTACTACATGTATAGTAAAATCTTTTATTTACTTGATCTAATATAGTTAAATATGGTACTTTTTTTTGTTAAGGATGGTCAGATATTTATGTCAAATATGACTGAACTTAAAGACAATTTAATGAAAATATTTGACTTAACTTAAAGACAATTTAATGAAAATATTTACTGGACAAACAAGTTTATGAAACAAGGATATTTAGGGAAATAATTGAAAGAGTAACTTTTATGTCACAGATTGATAACAAAGTGCAATATTAATACTTGCTGTGTTTTTCTAAAAAACCAACTATGAAACTGATTTGAATATCATCTTCGTGTTTATAAATGCATTAAAATATACACGGAGAAACTCTACGTCTAAAATTACGTCAGAATGATGCTACAGAGACATTATTAAAAATGAAACGATATTGGAAAGCCAAAAATTCAAACTTTGAGCATATTTTGGTGCTTTAGAACATGTAAAAGTTAAATATAAGAAATGTTTTTATGTTTAGTATGAATTATTGATGCATGAATCGCACTGACTTGCAAGTAGGCATATTTTTAACGAAGCGCTTGATCGCGAGAGTTCTTCATGAAATATGCTTACGTGACAAGTCTGTGTGATTTACACACCAATAATTCCCACGAAACTTCAAAAACTTCCTTCAATGATAACAAAAATGTATCAAGTCAGCTTATATACCAAATTCTATCGATCAGTTTTTTTTCTGATCGAAAGATAAGACTCGAATGAAATTTGAGCATGACAGTTTGAAGGAGTAGTCATCACACTGTAAGACTGAAGACAATCAAAATGGAGATTATCTTTAAGATTATATTATTATTGGATATCGGTTTTGTGTATTATACTCATTAAATCAAAAATGAATTGATGATGGATCTTGTGTCCCATTGCTTGGTTAAGCAAAAATAATTGCTTTCATTATTTTTAAAACAGTTGGATACAAAAATATAGATCTCTCTTTCTCCGGAGCATGGGGGAATAAACAAAATACATGCAAATTTCTACTCAGAGTGAATGCAATGACAATGTATACATGGTATATCAACGGAAACAATGTCTGAATCGATGTGATCACAGTAAAAGATATATAGTATATATTAATCCTATAAGAAAGGGAAAAGATTTTAATATTAAAATCTTGCATGTTAAATCATAAATGAACTATGCAAAGGAAATAACCATCATGTAATAAATGTCGATGAAATTTTCGCCATTCAAATTAACAACGCAGATATTCAGTTGGGGAAAAACGCAAAAAAAATCAACACCTTCAAGAAGGCTTATTTTGAATAGGATCCTATGTCACAGGTAATTTTTCCCTATTGATAGTGATTTTTTCCCAAACAAATAAGGGATATACATGTACATGTATTTTGATACTTTCTTTTGTTTGTTATAGATATCATTGTATAAGTATCTTTTCTTCCTTATCTCTGTCAATGAAAAGTAGTATCGAAAAGTCCTATGGTATCGCAAATATATGTTTGCTTGTTTGTTTGTTTTAGAGAGCTTTCGTCTAAGAGTCATTTTGTTCTTTTCTTAGTTTCAAACACCACTGTATTGTTTATCATTTCATTTGTTTCGTTTTCCAGAATGAAGATCTTCAAGTGAAGCCTTGACTGTGTAAATTCTTTAATTAATTAATGTAAGTTTAATAAATTTCAGAGAAGTAATCAAATAGAACATAGAATACTTCTATTCTAAATAATAAAAAAATCAATTTTATTTTTAAAATTATTTTAAAATTTATTATTTTTATCAAACAGATATTTATTTATTTATTTATTTATTTATTTAATTTTTTTTTTACATTTTCCTAATTAAATAAAATCGATTTTAGAAAAGTAAGAATTAAGTATTTCTTGAGGGATGTTCTGCAGAATTATCGATCAGCTTACCAGTCACGATTTTCTTTTATTTTCGGTTCCAATCAAAAAAGAAAAAAGACTCGTCGTAGAAAAGTTGAGATAATTCTATGTACACCGGATATTAACAACATTAAACATAATTTATTGATAAAATTCAATTGAATCGATTGCTTCTTACAGTTTCATATTGTCATCACATTTTTTTTTTCATTTAGTAAAAAGATTATTCTACGTTTTGAAAAAGGTAAGTGTAAAATTTCAAAATAAAATTATGAACCGAACATGTTAAATATCTTTTATATACATTTTTTACTGTATTAAAATATTATTTAAAATTATAAAAATATTTGGGTAGCTGTGGACTATTTTAATATCACACTTTGAAACAAATTTCAAAATACTTAATATGATTTTATTTTGCAGATTCCCTCTCTGTGCGATGAATAATTACGCCATGTTTTCGAGAATTGTTTTAGGCATGGTCTATGTTATACCTAATCTGCAAAGTGGTATGTATACCGGTATTTTGTGGATGAATGGTGTCTGTGAATTGTATTTGCTTAATCCAAAATATGAAATGTAATATCAAATATTTTTATTTATTGGATTTATTTCTGAATAATACGCTACAGATACGTATATCAAAATGTTAATGTATTTGATGACAGAAATACATTTTGAAGTTTTTTCTTCAGGATTTTATCTTGTTTGGAGCGTAGAAATAACAAGACCTGGTAAGGTTAAAATTATTGGTCTATTATTGTAATTAATCTATATTATAATATATAAACTGAAATTTAAATTGCTTTTATTGGAAACATCGGAGTCATACATGTACATGTAGGTTCCTCTGATAAATGAACTCTCTTTTTTAAAAGAAAATATTCCGTATTTGATGTATATAAGAATTATTCACGAAATATAGCAAACAAAGGAATTTTGAAGGCAAGGGTTTGTATTGTAGATTCTCTCTCTCTCTCTCTCTCATTTCAGTGAAGAAAATGTTTATTTTCTTTTTTAAGCGTATCATGGTACAGCGTGGTCTTTTGATTATATCGTGTTTTCTGAGCATAAGACGTGGTTGGAAGCAGTAGATGTTTGTGGATCAATAAAAGGCTACATACAATTTAAGAAATATGCAAATGCCAACTGGTATATAAGGACAAAAGCAGAGAAGAAAGGATGGTATTTTTTTGAATTGTGAATTGTTCTTCCCGCCACATTTGAAAAGCAGCTTGGTTAAGTCCATCTAAAAATACTCATAATTTTTACTTTTAATACTGAATGAGCTGCAAATATTTGTCAAAATTCGCCTCAACGTTTTCTGATATTTGAAAATTTTCACTTTACTTCACTTATATTCCTTTTTCATAATAGGTTTGTATCTGATGACGTATGGATAGGACTGATAAAGGAACAATACAGCGATTTGTGGTATGAAGTCAGATCGAATTGTCCAGAACGTAAAGGAATTGCCGGAGAAAAGTTTGAAGAGAGACAGTGCGCAGTTTTAAACATGTCGGCAGTTTCCAGCTCTGATAAATCATTAATCTATGCTTCTCCTTGTGATGAGCGTAACTTTGGATTTGTTTGTCTTCAATCATTGGGACCTATACCACAAGGTATTTTAGCCTTTTAAATCACTCTCTAGCAGATAGAAAACTTAAAATATCGCAATTGGTAACGATTTGTGGTAGAATACATAATTTGAGTAAAATATTTTCTAAGAGATGTTAAACAAATAATAAGAAATAGAATATAGAAATTGTCAATTATAATTTGCAACATGGTCTTTTCAGATGTGGAGTCATATCCCAACACAGAAATAGCAGAGGAAAGATACATAAGTTTTCAATGGAATGTCTCTTCAGAGTCAGAGTGTGCTAGAAACTCGTTTACCAGATTTTTGTGCTACGCCGCCACTTATTTTCCAGACGATAAATATTGCGTGGCTGAATGCACAGAATTAAACCATATTAAAGATACCGTCTCCCTTGTTAACTCTTCAAAAAATTCCACTGTTCTCCTTCGTACCCATAGCAAAGGTAGTTGACTTGAATTTATTTTTTAAAAATGTTTTATCAGGCTTATTATTTGCATGAATAGAGGAATTTTCTGATGGAGTTTTGATCATCAACATTTCTAATTATCATATAATGACAGGTAGTGGTACCTCAAAACACAAAATTCTCCGAAAAAACAACTCATTATGTAAGAGAGCTTGAAAGCGAATGCTTGGTGCTCATTCTCTACACGTATTTGTTAAAAAGAGTATTTTATAAATTCCATTCATTTTTCCCACCTTGCATAAAGTATAAAATTTTCCTTATGGAATACTCCTTCTTCTGAATTATCCATTCAATATACACCTTATTTTAACAAAAATAAAACTAACATACATTTAAAATATCAAAATGTATATATCTTTTCATCGATCACAGCTTTAAAGCATTCATCAAAATTGATATTTTAGAGTCTGAAAATTGTACCAGATACATAATTGTAACAAATTTTTATTTCAATTTGTAGTTTTCATTAATCACACAAAGTCAACATTCGTGTCCAGTTCGAGCAAATATCCTTGTATTACCGAACCAACCATAGAATCAACCGAGGCATCAACATCAACTACACAAACTTCTGGAGGCTCATCAACAACAGCACAGTATTCAGAGGACACATCAGTCTCCGTTTCATCTACGGAGAATTATTCCGAATGTTTTCATATCTGCTCCAATAATGAACACGTCAACATCACAACACCAGTTCTGAACCAGAAGGTGCTGGACATCAAAAGAATCCTTACTCTGAACAAAACTTTTCTGTCCTCAACTGTTAGGAAGAAAACATCTGCAGCAGACGACAGACAGTCCTCGTTAGCCATGGGTACTCTGGGTATAATTGTCATTTTTGGTGTAATAATCGCCATTATCAGCGGGGATCTGGTGTATGTCGTTAAGTTTGTTAAATTTATATGTCCTTGTATACTGCATAACAAGAAAAAGATGTCAGTTGTCCATGATTGATATTTTTATGTAAAATTGCAGGGAGGGATATGTGTACTTTAAGTCAATTCGTCCACCATTTTTATTTTTATTTTTTGGTCAGGAAATTTAAAAAGCACTGATGTAGACATTTGATCAGACAGTTCATGTTTGTTAGAAAGGTCGATTAAGAAATTGTTGTGTACAGATATATGTTTCAAACAGCTAGTTAATGTTTTATTGTTGTTTTCTTTTAAGGTGGTACTTGCTTAAATCAGCTTATATTAAAGTACACACTTTAAACTTTGTGTTGTTCTCATGTTCTTTTGTGTAAAAGGTGGAGCTAAAGTACATTGATTTGGCAAATAAATCATTAACATGACAAAACATGGAGACACTAGAACCAGAGGTGAGATCAGATGCCGATGATGAGGAAGCATGCTATCGGTCTCGCTCGCCATGAACCCTATGTATTGGTCTGGTAGAAGGGTTACATTAAGCATATAAAAGTAATTACCTAGCAAATGGTATGAAACATGCCAGATGAAATACGAGCTAATGATAGGTTGTATTTATATATAGATACAATCATTATAATGACCTTAGCTTTGCAAGATGCTGACTTGAATGTTGATGTTAATGTTAATGTTGAAATCCAAATAACATCAACTTATTTATCAATCGTTTGCCTTGATTAAAAAATTGATTGTATTCACAGCATTCTCTATCTATTTGAATCAGTTAAGAATATATAAAAACAAAATGAATGGATGTAAATTATTGTCTGCATAAATAAGAGAAGTATACAAAAAAGTTGTCTACGACATTTTTGTCATACAGTTAAATAATTAAATAATTATCATCAACCTTCCGCCGCAATATGGCTGAAATGTTATCGTATAATAATAATAATTTAATAATATACAATCAATAAATCAATCGTCATACTTAGAATTATTAGACAAAGTGATAACCTTGATAAAACAAAAATATGTACAAGGTTTATAGTCAAAATTAATAACTATGGCAATATTGTTTATTCAAAAAAATACGAACTCAGAAAATTACGAACTGAGTATGTTTGCATTACATACTTCTTTGCCAAGATTTGTTAAAATTAGAATGGATGACAAAAAGTCTTACCATCTTATTAAATCGTATGTAAATTACTTGATTTAATTTTTTTCAAGATATGCATATAAGATATTGATTGTGATTTTGTTTCCATGGGCTATCAACCATTCAATACAATATCAATTAATTTCCTTATTCCGTTACATACATTCATTATTCCTTCATTGTTACTGCAACAAATTTTATGTCTTGAGTATATATTATAACAATATACTTTACGAAAAATCAATCTAAATCAAAGCAAAATCAAGATAGTGTATCACATTGCGTGTATTTTATGAATTCAATCATTTGTTGAACACTATGAATCTGAGAATGTTAATTTCCATGATTCATGCAATAACTAAAGTGAAACGAAAACAAATTGGACCGAGACCGTAAAAGAGTTAAAGGAAGAATTCCTCAACAAAGAAATCTATGCAATTATGATGGACATTGAAGATAAGTAGAAAAAATATTTACAATTTATATTTTTTTTAAGAAACTAAAAGTCAAAAATGATATGATTGTGATAACTTAAGGAAGAAAAATTGTAATTTTTCGATTTCTGAATTTAATAACCATGATTATTCCTTATACTATTCGGTCGATTAAGAAATGGTTGGGCACAGATATATGTTTCAAACAGCTAGTTAATGTTTTATTGTTGTTTTCTTTTAAGGCGGTACTTGCTTAAATCAGCTTATATTAAAGTACACAATTTAAACTTTGTGTTGTTCTCATGTTATTTTGTGTAAAAGGTGGAGCTAAAGTACATTGATTTGGCAAATAAATCATTAACATGACAAAACATGGAAACACTAGAGCCAGAGGTGAGATCAGATGCCTATGATGAGGAAGCATGCTATCGGTCTCGCTCGCCATGAACCCTATGTATTGGTCTGGTAGAAGGGTTACATTAAGCATATAAAAGTAATTACCTAGCAAATGGTATGAAACATGCCAGATGAAATACGAACTAATGATAGGTTGTATTTATATATAGATACAATCATTATAATGACCTTAGCTTTGCAAGATGCTGACTTGAATGTTGATGTTAATGTTAATGTTGAAATCCAAATAACATCAACTTATTTATCAATCGTTTGCCTTGATTAAAAAATTGATTGTATTCACAGCATTCTCTATCTATTTGAATCAGTTAAGAATATATAAAAACAAAATGAATGGATGTAAATTATTGTCTGCATAAATAAGAGAAGTATACAAAAAAGTTGTCTACGTCATTTTTGTCATATAGTTAAATAATTAAATAATTATCATCAACCTTCCGCCGCAATATGGCTGAAATGTTATCGTATAATAATAATAATTTAATAATATACAATCAATAAATCAATCGTCATACTTAGAATTATTAGACAAAGTGATAACCTTGATAAAAAAAAATATGTACAAGGTTTATAGTCAAAATTAATAACTATGGCAATATTGTTTATTCAAAAAAATACGAACTCAGAAAATTACGAACTGAGTATGTTGGCATTACATACTTCTTTGCCAAGATTTGTTAAAATTAGAATGGATGACAAAAAGTCTTACCATCTTATTAAATCGTATGTAAATTACTTGATTTAATTTTTTTCAAGATATGCATATAAGATATTGATTGTGATTTTGTTTCCATGGGCTATCAACAAATCAATAAAATATCAATTAATTTCCTTATTCCGTTACATACATTCATTATTCCTTCATTGTTACTGCAACAAATTTTATGTCTTGAGTATATATTATAACAATATACTTTACGAAAAATCAATCTAAATCAAAGCAAAATCAAGATAGTGTATCACATTGCGTGTATTTTATGAATTCAATCATTTGAACACTATGAATCTGAGAATGTTAATTTCCATGATTCATGCAATAACTAAAATGAAATGAAAACAAATTGGACCGAGACCGTAAAAGAGTTAAAGGAAGAATTCCTCAACAAAGAAATCTATGCAATTATGATGGACATTGAAGGTAAGTAGAAAAAATATTTACAATTTATATTTTTTTTTAAGAAACTAAAAGTCAAAAATGATATGATTGTGATAACTTAAGGAAGAAAAATTGTAATTTTTCGATTTCTGAATTTAATAACCATGATTATTCCTTATACTATTTGGTCGATTAAGAAATGGTTGGGCACAGATATATGTTTCAAACAGCTAGTTAATGTTTTATTGTTATGTTTTCTTTTCAGGTGGTACTTGCTTAAATCAGCTTATATTAAAGTACACACTTTAAACTTTGTGTTGTTCTCATGTTCTTTTGTGTAAAAGGTGGAGCTAAAGTACATTGATTTGGCAAATAAATCATTAACATGACAAAACATGGAAACACTAGAGCCAGAGGTGAGATCAGATGCCTATGATGAGGAAGCATGCTATTCGCTCGCCATGAACCCTATGTATTGATCTGGTAGAAGGGTTACATTAAGCATATAAAAGTAATTGCCTAGCAAATGGTATGAAACATGCCACGAACTAATGATAGGTTGTATTTATATATAGATACAATCATTATAATGACCTTAGCTTTGCAAGATGCTGACTTGAATGTTGATGTTGATGTTAATGTTGAAATCCAAATAACATCAACTTATTTAGCAACCGTTTGCCTTGATTAAAAAATTGATTGTATTCACAGCATTCTCTTTCGTATTAAATCAGTTAAGAATATATAAAAACCATATGAATGGGTGTAAATTATTGTCTGCATAAATAAGAGAAGTTTACAAAAAAGTTGTCTACGTCATTTTTGTCATACAGTTAAATGATTAAATAATTATCATCAACCTTCCGCCGCAATATGGCTGAAATGTTATCGTATAATAATAATAATTTAATAATATACAATCAATAAATCAATCGTCATACTTAGAATTATTAGACAAAGTGATAACCTTGATAAAAAAAAAATATGTACAAGGTTTATAGTCAAAATTAATAACTATGGCAATATTGTTTATTCAAAAAAATACGAACTCAGAAAATTACGAACTGAGTATGTTGGCATTACATACTTCTTTGCCAAGATTTGTTAAAATCAGAATGGATGACAAAAAGTCTTACCATCTTATTAAATCGTATGTAAATTACTTGATTTAATTTTTTTCAAGATATGCATATAAGATATTGATTGTGATTTTGTTTCCATGGGCTATCAACCAATCAATACAATATCAATTAATTTCCTTATTCCGTTACATATATTCATTATTCCTTCATTGTTACTGCAACAAATTTTATGTCTTGAGTATATATTATAACAATATACTTTACGAAAAATCAATCTAAATCAAAGCAAAATCAAGATAGTGTATCACATTGTGTGTATTTTATGAATTCAATCATTTGAACACTATGAATCTGAGAATGTTAATTTCCATGATTCATGCAATAACTAAAGTGAAATGAAAACAAATTGGACCGAGACCGTAAAAGAGTTAAAGGAAGAATTTCTCAAAAAATAAATCTATGCAATTATGATGGACATTGAAGGTAAGTAGAAAAAATATTTACAATTTATATTTTTTTTAAGAAACTAAAAGTCAAAAATGATATGATTGTGATAACTTAAGGAAGAAAAATTGTAATTTTTCGATTTCTGAATTTAATAAACATGATTATTCCTTATACTATTATTGTATTTGGTTTTTACGAGTAAAAGCAAAAAATTATATACTTTGATTAAAAAAAAATACTTAAACTTACTTATTATTCCAAAGCTTGAAGTATTTAAAAATAGTTTAAAATGTTACAAAATGTTTTACAATAAATAGAGACAATGAGAAGTGAAGAAGTTTATCTATTAACTCTGCAATGCACACTTTTTTAAGCGTTTGGATTGCTGGATTAAAAAAAAAACCCAAATGCATGAAGAAACAAATCGGATGCATTGTACCGGTATAACAATCACCTATTTCATACTAAATCGTCTTTTTAAAATAAATTAATTATGAGTTTTTGCTGAAATCGAATACTCGTTATTTTACAGAAAGAACATGTGAAAATATTTCAGTAACGAAAACTTCTTTTATTGTAGACACCAAAACTTGATATTGAAAGCAATGACTTCGCCTAGAAACGTCGGAACATTTTTTCTTACCTTTGTTCTAACTTATCTACATAACGGTCTGTATATGTACGATTACCAACATTTCTTGACTGGTCTGATCTTTTATCCAACAAATTGTGTTTTATCCTTGAGCCTTGGTGAGAGGATTAGAACACACAAATAGTTGGAAGATTCTTTTCAGTCACGTATATTATTTAGAGCTATTTCATGTTCAACTTCGAGGGTTGATCCAAAAGTCGACGTAAATTTATAAATAGAGGAAGTTTTATTCATTTCAAATCAGATCTCAAAATTTCAGTTCAACATGAATTATATTTTCAAAAATATCGTATTATATACAAAATATACAAAGTGCGATTTTGGTAGTCGCCGCATCTAAATAACGTCATATAATGGATACGCGCCGACATACATGTACATCCAAACGTTTTCCAAATAAAAATATTTGAAAATCACGGACTCGTTCATTAATTTATGTTCTTTAAAAATCTTTGGTACCCATCGTACACTCACTCTTTTCATTAAAAAAATCTTTGTCAAAATTCTTTGAACAGTATAATAAGACAAAGTCTTCTTATCCAATACATAACAGATACACGCATGTCTTTTGACAACATCAGACACCAGTTCAACGTTACCTCTCATCTTTCGGTCTTCCTGTCCTCTGCTTATCATTTAATTCAATATCCTTGAACCAAAATCTCAAAGTTAATTTAATAGGTTTTAAAAGATACTGTATGGAGTATGGACAATGTGACATTACTGTTGGATCAACCTTCGTATATTTCTTGTACTAAATATGTGTAAATCCACGAAATTATCTTGACTAAATTAACGCAAAAACAACTGTTGCGTTACAATCGTGGATATGAAAGATTTTAGACAAATTCTGCTTCATATGAATACATACACTCATTTGATACAAAATTATCTAAAACTCAAAAAAGTTTTTATGGGTTCAGAAATCAAAATCTATAACAAAATATTTCTTGAAGTTACAATGTATCTGTTCTTTATCCATATTCAAACATCCATTGCAAATTGTTTTATTACTTTTGTAGGACCAAATTTTGTCAAGGGCTATAGATTTACCAAACCAGGTAAAATTGGATAGACTCGCTATTGATCAACAATTTCTCAAAAAACAATTTGCTTTATTGAAATGCCTTAAATAGCGTTTGAATTTAAATTTAGAAAGAAAGTTTAGTACCGTTCCTACTAACAGTGAGGGGCAGTCATCCTGAAATTGAGTAAACTTCAAATTGTTTCGATCTTGAGCTAAGGCTAGGGTGGTGCAGAGTAATTAGTTCTATGAAGTAATATAAAATGAGATCTTATTCCCCCCCCCCTAAAACCTCGAAGACGGTAATATTTACTTCCAGATTGGGACTACTGTCAAAAAAGGTCCAATATATTAAAGAAAAAATATTAATGTATATTGTCTCATATTACTTTGCAGTGATAAATATTGCCAGGTCCCTAAAATTATCGTGTCATTTTAAATGAGACGTAAAGGACTTAACAATTCAAAATCTGCAAAAATTCATTAAAGTTGAAGGTCTACATAGGAAACTTTTATTTTAGTTTACATGGGCTTCAAGTGGACAAATGATTATGTTGTGTTTTCTGAACGTAAGACGTGGTTGGGCGCGAGAGATGTTTGCAAGTCAATGGGTAACGTACTTCTGTACAACAGATGGAACCTTATGAACTGGTATATAAAGACAAAAGCCACGAGGAAAGGATGGTAAAAGCACAATCTTAACTACATGCAGCCAATTGATCTTTCATCAATTCCATGAGTATTGATTTTAAAACTGCATTTAAGCACCTCACTGGTCTTTTTCTTTCTATTTAAAGAATACATGTATCTGCAAGATGTTTTACTTATTGAATCTCAAGAATTCATTATTGCACAGGTCAGTTACTGATGATGTGTGGTTAGGACTGATAAAACATCAGAGCAGCGAAAGATGGTACGCAGAAAGAAAATATAATTGCCATGAAACCACAATGACAATTTCCGGACAAAACTGGCTTGAAAAACAGTGCGCCGTTTTAAACATGTCTGCTGCACACCCGGGTGATAAACTTATGCTTTATGCTACATCTTGTGAGGGACACACATTTGGATTTGTTTGTCTTGAGGCACAGGGAGAAATACCAAATGGTAATTGCTTTAATTGGTATAATTTAGACAAATCCAAATAGCAAATAAAAAGAAATTCATTAACAAAAAAGGATCAATTTAAATTTATTTATTTCAACATACGATAAATAAGTAATCAGCTTTCAATATTTTTGTAACTGATTTCTCCCAGTTACCAATTAATAGTAATTCAATTTTCTTCAATGCACTAGCTTTTATTCATACTGTTTCAGTTGAATTACTTAGCTTTTTAAAGTTACTGGCGATTGTTTTTAACTAAATGAAAAATAATCTATCAAAAATTATATCATTTTCAAATGATACAATCTTAACCTTCTTTCGGAGACTAATATCATTAAATTTGATGAAATATTTGAACCAATCTTTACTTAAATCATAACTTACTGAGGGGAAAATGTAAACGATTACAATGCCAATGTGGCAATAAAAATTTCTACCATTAGAATTGGCGTCGGATTTTTCACGGTATTTCCCAATCATGACAAGGAACACACGACGGGTGTGACCGGTCAATGAGGATGCTCACTCCTCCATGATACCTGATCCTACCTCTGATATTGTGCAGGCCAGTGTTTGCTCTGCTTCAATTTTATATTGTTAAATGGACACCTGAGCTTGAATACTGTTCGTTTTCACAATATATTTCATTAAAGGTGTGGAGCACTACCCCTTCTCAGAGGTAGAGGAGAAAAGTGACAGAAGACTTCAATTGAATACTTCATCACAGACGGAGTGTGCGATCAGTTCATTTTCCAACATCCAGTGTTATGTTGCTACGTACTTTCCGAAGGATAAATATTGTGTAGCTGAACGCACCTCGATGATCGAAATTCCAGAGACAGTCACTCTTAAAAAAGTTTTACTTGTTGTTTTTAAAATAAGATATTAGATTAAGAAAAACTAGTAATTATTAGTAATCCATTTAGTCAGAATAGCAAGTAAATGACTATCATGGTTAGTAATTGTAAACATAATTAGTAATAAGGATGAATTCATTTACTTATAAAATGATTTACTAAGTATCAATACTTAATAGGAATTATATTACTAAATGAACTACTCATTTTTAGTAAAATATTATTACTTAATTTAGAGATAATATGCTTTTTATTTACTAGATTTTATAAATTAATACTAAGTAAATGTAATTCTGAAATTACGTAAAATCTAGAATATTATTACTTAAGAGAATGCTAAGTAAATGAAATACTTATCATATTTACTAAAATCGACATTATTTACAAGAAAAACTGCAAGGTATCGATCCTCTGATAAAGGAGATACATGTAACTATGAAAGTACATAATGTAAGACTAATCACAGTTTTCTTGATCACAGTGTCTAATTGAGCTTTCTGAGTAGTCAGTTAGATGAAATCTACATTGAACGGTAACAATACTTTCTATTTCTTTTGCCAATTTCTTTGTAATTGTTTTATTATATTTAACAATAAAACATTTAATTCCAACATCAAAAGCCTTATAAATTGAATAAGTTGTATCTTTTTAAGGACCATTTTAAAAATGGTTTAAAGTTTCAAGTACTTAATACAACATTTTAATTAGTATGACTTTTTTTTTTACATGAAGAAATATTTAGGAGAAAGATAACTCCTCCTCACAGACAATTAATATGGAAGCCAAAATTATATATTACATTTCAAGAATTCAATCCTGATAGTGAGTAGACTACCATTTTTAAGTAATTATTTGTATTGAAACTGCTCTTAATTCTCCTTGATTCAGTTAATAAATTATTGTTTTAAGTAAATCAATTAAATACAATTTAAACAAGACACTGATGCCCCCCTTATGGCAACATACCAAAGGTTAAACTTTCCTTATATGCAAATTCAATATATTGATATTTCTTGATATCTCAAAGGTCAAGGTCAAATGGTCAATGTTATTGGTATCTAATGAAAGGTCCTGCCACAAAAAAAAAAATATCTGAAATATGAAAGCACTAGCCCCAACCCTTCATACGTTATGGTCAAGGTTACCAATTTTTAAATGTAGATCAAACTCCAAGGTCAAGGACAAAGGGTCAGATTTGGTGGTACCCAAAAAATTGTCTTGTCACAAGGATGAAATCTGTAAAGTATGAATGCACTAACCCTAACCCTTTTAAAGTTAAAGTCAAGATTTGCTTTTTATAAGTGGGTCAAACTCCAAGGTCAATGTCAGAGGGTCAAAGTTCTTGGTATCCAATGACTGCTCTTCTCACAGGAATTACATATACTAGTATGTAACTATGAAAGCCCAATCCCGTATCGTTCAAAAGAAATGGCCAAGGTTAAAGTTTTTTCACAAGGATGAAATCTCGAAGGTAAAAGTCAAATGGTCATGGTTGTTGGTATCCAATGAAAGGTCTTTCATCAAAGAATATATATGTAAAGTATTAATGTCCTGGTATTTACTGTTAAAAAATATGGCTAAAGAATTGGTTGGGATTTGTAAAAGTGGGTCAAACTCCAAGGTCAAGAGTTCAAATTTGGCGATACTCAAAGAAAGGTCTTGTCAAAAGGAATGGACATGTGAAATATACAAGTCATAGCTCCGCTAAATCAAAAGTTATGGGCAAGGTTAATTTTTTTGCGGACAAACAGGGAGACAGACAGACAAAGAGACAGACAGACGGACACGAAAAAAACTTCGTTTACGGGGGCAAAAAGATATTAGTTATATAGTAAATAGTGGTAAAGGCCAAGTAATGTTATTACTTATATACACAAATTTAAGTAAATATAAATTACTAAGTAAAACCTTTAAGTGTTTAAGTAAAACAATTCTTTAAAATAAAAAAATCAAGTAAAACATTTGAATTTAATAATTGACATATATTTTAGTAATTGATTTAAAATTTTAAGTAAATGCTTAGTAATTATCTTTTACTTATCTTTATTATTTCAAGTAAAAAATGACTACTAAGTAAAACTTTTTTAAGAGTGGTAACCCTTGTCAATTCTTCGATCGACTCCACGGTTCTTCTCCGTACTTTTAATAAAGGTAAATTACCTTGACATTAGAAATTGTACTTCATTATAGAGACTAATGTACGTAAAAAGAACATATGTAAAATTATATGTTCTTCTCTGATGATAAACGATATTGGGATTGTTATACTGAAAATAAGTAGGGTTTATGTAGGACTTTTTGGCCCGATAAAATATTTGAAAAATCAAAACTGCTTAGCTTTAAATATCACTAAGACCTTTGGGAACTGTTGTCTATTGAGAATGACGGAGTTTTTGCTAATTAAAGCACTATGCTATCATAAAATTTGGCATCATTCAAATAACCTGAAAAGCCCTTCAAAAATGGCCAAAAACTTGCAGTGTAAGTCATCTTTTTATTTTTGTTAAAAAGCACAACCTTTGGGTTATATGATTTAATAATAATAATGAAAATGTTCTTGAAAGTTGTAAAAGAAGCTTTATTTTTAATGGCTGGGGTGTGCTGATATTTCCAGAAGATACTAAATGCCCTTTTCTACATTATTGGAAAACATAGGAAAATCAGAAACTGTTTTTCATTTGGCCTTTCAAAGATAATTTAATTAATAAAGGAAATGAAAATTCTAAGTTTAAACTTTACATATACATGTATTGATGTTAGAAAGGGGACATAGACTGTCAGAGAGCGATATCCATCTACTTTACCCTTCGGTATTAACACAATTATATTGCATATTTTTAGTTTATATAAACCATACGGAGTCGGCTTTACCGCCCAGCACATACTTGTATCCATGTCCTCCAGAAACAATTGCAGAGACTTCTTCAGTGGAAATGTTCATCGACGCTTCAACAACAACTTTTCAAAACCTAGACGTTACCTCTTCATTGGCAGAACTTTCAGATGACACGACAACAGTCATTCATTCCATCAGTCAGACGACCACGGTTTTTCAGACTCAGAAAGACACAACTACAGCCTCAGTTGATGGTATGAAAACAGTTACAGAGACACATAATGGCGAAACAACATACACAGATCTTTCCAAAGGCACAACTACAAAAATGCCACATTGTACAACGGAAGTTAATTCTGGATGCCTCTGTACACGTCAGATAACTAACATTGAAGGAGAGAAACTAAACCAGAAGGTCCTAGAGATTAAGAAAATACTCACTGTAAACATATCGTCCCTGTCTTCGACAATGAGGAAGAAGATATCAGCACCAGACGACAGACAGTCTTCGCTAGCCATAGGGACGATGGGTATTTGTGTAATCATTGGTGTTGTCATGGCCTTGATCGGTGGTGACATGGTTAATATTGTGTCCTGTATAAAGTATTTGTTCTGCTGCAAAAGAAGGCTTTCTCGTGTTCAGCATGTTTGACTTGAAGGGTTTAAAACTACTTTTTTTCTGTGAGACAATACTGAAAGTTTAATTTATATAAATTCTATAGTGTAATTCGGCTTTCGAAAATATACTAGAACTTTAGTTTAGCACCAAATAATAAATATTTTTTTTCAAATCTTTATAGATGTTTTTATCCAATTAAAAGAAGATCATATTATTTATATATGATTTCTTAAGAAGATTGTACTTCTGCAATGGGTTTGAACTTGAAAGTGATGTGTCAGAATGAAATTTGTAGAAATAACGAAATCCTTTAAACATTACAAAATTAGAGCGGAGAAAACACGAACATCCAAAACTTTATAGATTGGATCAGGTGCCATGGTGGAGAGAACATCCTCTGCCAACCGGTCACATCCGCCGTGTGCTCCTTGTCATGTTCGGGGCAAAAACCTCAACATTTGACTTAATGATAGATTGTATTTTTGGTGTCAAAGTCATTGTTGTGACCATAAAACCTACGAAATGATGACTTTCAACAAAACTGCTGATATTCTTATTTCATCAACTTGTTTGTCAATAACTTACATCGTTTTAGAAATTAACAAGATAGAATACGGTATGTCCTTTCCGTAGGGCTGTGTCAATATATCGATTAATCATTATGAAACGGATATTTAAGAATATTAATGTATCTATAAAAAAAAATAACTTCCAATACGTATCGGGCAGGCAGTTTTTCTTACATTTCTGTGTAAAGTTAGGAATTAGAGTCACCAGGTATTATGTTTAACTGTTTTGAATTAAACTGTAAATTGATCAATAATGAAATGAACATTAAAGCTATAGCAAACCTTAAATAACTATAACAAAATACATAGACAACTACTGGGAGTTTATTACAACATGTTAGTTTTACGGTCATAAAAAGTTTGAAAATAAAGTGTACTTTGTAAAGACAGTGAGATGTGAACTTCCAATTTAGTAATAAAACACCCAGTCTTCTTCTTCTTTTCGTTCGCCTAATCACACTTGAATCCCAGTCTCTTCTACAAATCTGGTGGTCTTCTGTAGGGCTTCCACTGGTCCATAAAGCTTCTCTTGTAGCGTTGTTGGTGTTGGCCATGTGTTGTTTCTCAGTGCCTGGTGTATTCTGCAGTGTTGTAGGAGGTGTTCTGTATTCTGCTCAGCTTCTCCACATGGACACATCGGGGATGGTATGACTTTCATGACTCTATGCAGATGTTGGTTGAGTCTGTTGTGTCCTGTCCTAAGTCTGAAGATGGTCGTCTGCTCAGGTCTAGCCAGTTGGTGATAGCTGTCTTGTTGTTAAGGGGTTCTGTGTAGTGATGTGATGATGGTTTTCATCTCTGAGAAGCTTACTTGGTTTTCATATTGCTGTTGTTTGGCTCCCTCCTTTGCTATCAGATCAGCATTTTCGTTTCCCTTGATTCCGCAGTGAGATGGTATCCATTGTAATGCTGTTTGAAGGCTTTCGATGTTGTGTAGATCTTGTTCAAGTTCGGGGAGTTTACCGTTGTTAATGGCTTGCAATACAGATAGGGCATATGTCAAGTTGTTTTGTTGGTCTTGTCTCTGATGGAGCGTACTGCATGGGTGATGGCTTCTTCTCCGGCTTTGTAGTTGGAACAATGAAGGCCTGTTGGTATTGCCTCTGACTGTTTTTCTCCGTTAGGGTATTCGATGTAGATACCCGCTCCGCCTTCTGTTGTTGCATTTTTGGCTGATCCGTCTGTATAAACTCTAATCCAAGATGTTGAGGGATACTGTTCTTCTATCATACTGATTGTGATCATTGGTGTTGTCATGGCCTTGATCGGTGGTGACATGGTTTACATTGTGCCCTGTATAAAGTATATGTTTTGCTGCAAAAGAAGGCTTTCTCGAAAGCTTTCTCGTGTTCAGCATGTTTGACTTGAAGGGTTTAAAACAACTTTTTCTGTGAGACAACACTGGATGTTTAATGACAAGGCCTGTCCTTCAGTCCGTCTATCTGTTTGTCCATAAAAAACTTTTACCTTGCCCATAATTTTTGAAAAGCTGAAGCTTTGGTTTTTGTACTTCACGTGTATTTCTTGTCACACTACCTTTCTTTGAGTGCCAATATATTTGACCTCTTGACCTTGAAATTTGGCCCACTTTTGTTCAATTTCAGTACACTTTAACCTTGAACAAATCTTTTGAACGATTACTGTTTGAACTTTTCATCTTACCATCAATCATCTTTTTTACTTCATCTGTGAAATCCTTGTAATAAGCTATTTCCTTTGTGTAAACAAACATTAATTTTGGCCTAAAAATTAACTTTGACCATGAGTTTTGATTAGCTGAAGTTATGGCTTTAAGATTAAACGAGTTTATTTCTTTAGGCTAGACCTTCCCTTGCCTACAAACAATTTTGACCCTTTGACATTGGAGTTTGACCCTCTTTCAAGAAACTTTCATTAAGATTGGCTCTAACTTTTGCGATGCTTTTATATTTCACTACAGAAAAACTTGTTTAGTAAGAATACAGATATTGCGAATTCACAGATATAGCGAAGTTATCTAGGATCCCTAACTACACAAAATTAACGAATTCCTAATATGGATATAAAGAATTACAGATATAGCGAAGTAATTTTCCAGGTCCCAGTGACTTTGCTATAACCGAGTTTTATTGTATTATATTCTTGTGACAGAACCATAACTTTCGAATGACTGGTACATGCTAAAATTTTCATATTTCACAGGTTTAAGTATTCCTATTGAAAAGACTTTTTTGAAACGAACATTTTTTTTTACTTTGGAGTTTGATTTGCATTTGAAAAACATTAACCATTGCAATGACCTGCCATATCACGGTATTAATGTTTCACAAACACATCATGTTTTATTACCACCATGACCTTTTGCCCAAACCTCAGAATTCCAGAATTTCCTATCTGTTGATGTAAAATTACTATGGCTCCCTTGATTTTTTTAATGTCACACACAAAATCACAAAAAACAGTAGGGTCAAAGTCATAGGAGAAGTCAGCCTGAAAAAATGACACAGTTAACCAGTTCCTATCAATTGTATTAGTTTTCATGTTTTATTATTATTATTTTTTTTTAATTGAATACCTGCTTCCAAATTTAACTCAGTGCAAAACAGGAAATCAAGAGTTCAAAGTCACCAGGAAGGTCAGGGTCAGAAAATAATGTCACAGTTGAACACCTCCAATACCAACCTGTGCATAAATTTTATTAACTGAGTTAATTGCTTTATAGATGTCAGGGGGGTCATAACAAACACAAAACCCCACCAACTTTGTAGTAAACATAATAAAAAAAAGTTCAAATTATAATCAGTATAACAATTTATTACAAAACTCCTCATATGTTGTTTACAATGAAATAGTTCTCACATACAACTTATAAAAAGGAATTTACAAATATTGAATGCAAATTGGAAACTGTAGTGAAAAACATGAAACAGATGAGAAAACGTACATGAAAGCATCTAGACTGACATGTTTCAGATCATTGTACTTCAACAAATATATTATTATTGAATTCTTATTTAAAATCAATCATATCCAATTGTCCAATTTTAAAAGACTACTCAGGAAGTTGAAACAAGTGTACTGAAAAAAATCTTTTTTCCCCATTCATTTTCAGAGTCACATAGATATTTTCTCGGGTTATCCCTAAAATCTCTTTTTATTCACTGTTCCTGATCCAGACCAAATTTTATAAAGAGATCAATCAATATCTGTAAGTCTTTCTTAATCAGAAAATCATATGACCTGGTGTACACAAAGGCAGGTCTTTTTCCATCACTGTGAGTGCATTTTCCATCCATTATATTCTGATACTGTGTTTCTGACATCCTGAGTTCTGTTATGGTAACCTGTAAGATATTGAAATATTAAGAAAACAGGTGTGGAAATTGTAGGCACACATGAATATAGAAGTAGGCACACAGGAATATACAGTAAAGCATGCTTATAGCCAACATGCTTAGAAAGAACTGACACCTATAGCTAAGTGATTTTAATTCCCTGTGAATCTTAAATATATTGTGAAGCTAACAGATATAAAAAATTACATTATAAATAATGAAGCAAAATCAGATGTCCCTGGAACTTTGTTACAAATGTGTTATATATATATTATCATCTAAAGACAATTCCACAAACATTCATAAGGACAGGCTAACAAGCAAAATTATTCAGTATATAAAAGAATCAGAACCTCTAGTGTTTACGTGAATGGAGGGCATAGGTGTAAAAATGCGGCGGACCAGACCAGGATTCGAGCCCGGGCCCCCTGAAACTCAGTTCAGGTGCTCTACTGACTGAGCTATCTGACCACCGGTGATCAAACCCGGTTAACCGCTAAAGTACATAACCATATGTACATAATCTGAGCAAGTAAATGAAGTCCTGTTTTTCAACTGAAAATGGTTTCTTTCACAGTTTGCTTTCATTAATTTTTTTTTTCAAAAATAGTTTATAAATGTTATAAAAAGTGCAGAAATCCAAGTGAGCCAAACTGACAAGACAGCTATTCAGACGGACAATAGAAACAAAAGAAACCTACAGTCCCCTATACTTTCCTCAGTCAGAGATAGATAAATATAATCTAGAAATCATTGCATACATGTGATTCTTCCGGCGGGAGGCAAAATCTCCTGATTTTTAACCCCCCTTCCGCCCCTCCCGATTTATTTTTAAATCTTCCGTGTTTAAAATAATTCTTCAAATTAAATATATTTTGCATAACTTTTTATCATGTTTCTTATAATTGCTTAGAATGACAATACATTGAGATAACAACGGCAGTGCAATAAATTTTCACAGCAGTAGGCTTCGTAGTAATCAACATGAGGTCGTATAATTCGTTTGTAAAAATTAGTGCTCATCAACTTGATAAATGACCATCGATGTTTTATTGCTGAATTGCTGAATGCAAAACACCCATTGTAATTAGTTGCTAAAATACCCAATTGCCATCTTCTATTATTATACTTTCATGTTAAATACTAAAATCTGATTGGTTTAGATGCAGTTAACAATCTGTTCGATTACCCTGAGCCTTAGCAACACACGTGACAACGTGTAACACAACGGTAATGCCACATGCGTGGAAATTATGTGCGTACGGTTCACCGTAGATTCTCAAAACGTCAAATTTTATAAAGAGATCAATTAACTTGAGGTCAATAAAGCTTGCGTCCGATATAACTTACTTGAAAACAACAAACGACAGACGATACATGCTTGCGAGTATAGGTGTGTGCTTGCGAGACAGAAATAACGAAACTTTTTATGATAAATGACTCTAATTTGAGTATCAAACAAACAATAAGGAGATTAGTGAACCGGTGAGTGTGAAAGCTTTCTATACATGAACGTAAAGACGATCGACGGTTGTTTTTTTTTTTTTGCTGATTTATATAATGGTGCAGTGGTCATTAAAAGATACAGTTAGGGGTAACACGTTTGACTTTAGATCTAGTTAAAAATAGATCAAACTACAGGGTGTTGCTAAAAAATATACTTGACTCTACTTTCACTTTGTTGTATTTTTAGAGAAATTAATTTCTTTAAATCTCTTTAATATTCTATTAAAAAAAAATTACTGACATAAAATATGTTACATAAAACTTATGTTTTACTTCACTTACTGCAAAAAAATATACTTCACTCTACTTTAATGTATTTTTTAGAGAAATTAATTTTATCTTTTCATATTCTATTTAAAAAGAAATTAATGGCATAATGAAATATAAGATCTATGCATGTTTTACTTCACTTACTGGTTGATGTATCAATACCAAATAAAAAATAAAATTTAATTCAATGTTTTAATGATGATATTACCTCTTAATCAATTTCAATGAATTAATTTAATTTTGATTTCATTTCTGATCATTTGATTAAAAATTTAAACATATTATTTTAAAGCTAACCTTTATGAAAAAAATATTATTTTAAGTAATAAAGAGGGAGACAGCATTTTCCAGGGGGTTGGATGGTCTTTTCGCGATTTGAAAAAATGTCGATAAAAAATCTCCAGCTTTGAGACCCAAACTCCAGCTGAAAAATTTCAAATCTCCAGTTGTGATTGTTCAGTTCTGTCACATGTATGTCATTGGGATATCCCTCCCTCATACTTATTTCAGTTTGTTGGACAACAACACTATTAATAAAATGGTATCCAAATGATATCTCTCATACTTACTTGAGTCTGTTGAATAACAATGCCATTTATGAAATTATGCCCCATAGACTGAGTGTAGCTTAATAGGAGCTTCCCACAGTGTCGTCCAATCAGAGCCTGAGATAAGTGAATAGGTCTGCTGGGACTTTGTTCTAAGTTATCAGTTGTTGATATATCAAATGGGCTTTCCATATCTGAATCAGCTGATATTCCTGTTATTTTGATGGTGTCCTGTGATGTAGTACTGTTCACCATCACAGGTTTTTCTTTCATCACCTACAAAAATGACAGAGATCAATAATCAGATGTCAATTATGGGGGAAAAAAAGAGGTAAAGCTATGCAGAATTTTTTATAAGTATATATATAATATATAGAGTCACAGGGTGCCATAGCCAACAGATTTAATCATTAAACCAAGCAGAATGACTGTACCAATCAGAATACATGTAAGAAGTTCGACGTTTACACTAGTTACCTCACAAACTGCCACTATGCGAGGTTTCTCCAACTTCCTGTCCACATAATCAATCTTGTGATGAGCATAAATCATGTCTGGTTTACCTTTAATGTCAAAGTTTCCAATCTTCAGTGTTTGTTCGGAAAGACCTGGCCCTTGACTACAGTAAATAAATGAAATATCATACAAATTGATGAAATGTGTGCAGGCAACCTGTATGCTTCTGAGTATTTGAATGTGCTTGGTTGTTTGTTCATTATTTTTTTGAAATAAAAGTTTTTACCTTATTCCACTCTGCATACCAAACATCTTCAGCAATGAGTCAAACAAATGCTGATAATGGCCTTGCAAGTTTGGAATGCCGTGAATTACATTTTCTACCATTCTTGACAAAACAAATATGAAATTTTTTCCATAAACATTAAACCTACAATAAAAAGAATGCAAATCTGGTAATTGCTTTTTTGTGAAAATATTTTAAGCTTTCATTTGAACTCTTGGTCACTAAGAGAAGATATTTATAAACATGATAAATTATATAAAATTAATTTATAAATCAGACTGAATTTATTTACACCACCTGCTAAGGTTTGTTTGAAATGTTATGAAAGTCATGACAGTCTAAGAAACTTATCAACAACAAATACAGTTACTATAAAATCTTCAACAAAAAGAATGAAATACTCTACATGTATGTGTACAAAAAAAAGTGAGCTTCACATTTTAGAGGCTTTAGCGTGGACAGTGATGCGCTAATTCACTAACATACCACTTATTAATATATTACACCACACGGGCATGTGTATATAGTGCTAATTTATGACTACGCCAACAACTTCAAACCTTGTTGATGTACTAAATTATGAATACACCAATTATGTAAACATACAATGTACAGTACATAAACAGTATAGTGTATATTTATACCTTTGAAACCATGCATCAAGATCACTAGGTAGACTTTTAGGGATAAAACTTTGTTCATTACAAGAATCCAGCTTCATGAGAGAATCGATGTTCAATTCCTCAAAAGATGAATAGTTTAAATTCTGAATTAAATCCATGAATGCACTTCTTTTAACATAATCTGCTAATAGGGTGACCTTTCTTTCCTGTGCCTTCAAACGATTTTGGATTTTTTCGACATCATACGCACTAACACGCATACCTAACCCCTCCACCTGCAATGGACTAGTTACTAAATGCAATGGATTAACCAATGGTTGAAAGAATACATCAATATGAAGACCATTGATATGCCCTCTTGTCCACTCAGATACTACTTCTGGCAACGAACACTGCGGCATTTTGCCTTGACAAGCAACAGACAAGTGTCTGTTTGATTTTAAACTCCCTGAGTTAGAAAATTTTTGTTGTATATTGTTCGAACTATCTTCAGAATCTTGTCTATCAGTGTCTGAAAAGTCAGTTTTTGCTCGTTTGGGTGCTCCAGCCATATTGCTATTTTGTAAACAGTAACATCTCGCGCGAAAACGAGATTTTTAGAGTAATGACAAAAACACCGCATGGTGAGACTCGTATGTTCCGGATATATATTTAAACTTGAAAAGATTAATGTCCACTATTTTACGGGGAAAATGAAATATCTAGCCATAATCAAAAAAATCTAGAGACTTTATCACCCAAACTTGAAAAAATTGCTTATTTTTAATTTTACAAAATATGAAGTGTTTTGATTTTCCATTAAATGCACTAAATTACTATAAACAATTTATCACTATCAACTTATCAAATTCTTGACAGATAAAGAAATTCTGAAGTTTTACCGTCTCGGCATTTGTCAGCTATATTGAATTTTTGGTGCAATTCCCTACACATGCCGTGCACAAGGTGTAGAAGGTGTACACCTAAAGTGTACACTTTTGCACTTGATTATGGAAAAGTGTACACCGAGTGTAAGGTGTAGACAAATCAAACTTCAATGATAAATTCTTGCTGGAAAAAATTATATATTTTTGAGGAACGTGTCATCTGACCTTAAGTACGTAAAATACGGGCCTAACAATTAGTATGGACAAACATCAGCATGATAGATTGTATTTGCTGACAAGGTATTTGTACCTACCATATATAGAACTCGCGAAATGATTGCTTTAAACGAGACTGTTCACATCCTTGTTTAATCAACTTGTTTGTCAATAACTTGCCTCATTTTAGAATAGCAATGTTTTTGCGTATCGAATCAACTGGGACACTTGATTTATAAACATATAAAGGTGATAAGGACAAGGATGAGGGAAGTTGACGATAGAAAAATTTATACTTTAGTCAAACAAATTAATTTCTGGTTAATTAACCTCATTGAATGTAACTGTAGGTTCTCAAAATCGACCAACTCATAAATATTTTTTCAGGATATAATGATAAAAAAAATTCATGCGAAATTTATTAGGCAATACTGAAAAAAATGAGAACAAAATTTTAACAATTTTAAAATAGTTATTCCTCTTAGCTCAAAGGCATTTCCTATGATACTGAAAACTAACATTAACATTTTGAAATAAGTATTTCATTGATTTTGCAGAGTTTCGGATAATTAAACACAATGATGATCGCCTGGTTAAATACACATCAATTTAGCAACTAAAACAATTCTTTTATTTTTGGGCTACATTTGATTTAAAATGACAAAACCACTATAGTTTCAACAATCGATTTGAGGTAATCGAGTATTTAGTTTAGAATCCTAGAGGACTTCAATGATAAATCCTTATCTGTCAGCATCGAGTCGATATTTTGAAATTAACACCAGAGTTTAGATTTTTTTTTCAAGAAAAGTTTGACCTGAACATGAGGCGCAGATTCTCCAGTGTATTATTATATTTTTGGTAGAAATGATATAAATCTTGAAGGAATTTAAATCGATTGGAAAGAAGATTATCGCTGAAAAGAGGGATGGTTTGCCCAAGTCGGATTTGCAGTCAACTTTTTATTTTGTTGATTGGTATGTCTTGTTTTTAAATGATATTTTCTAGAAGTGAAAGTAAACCTGCAAGATCATACATGTATATTGTTTGTTATTTTCCATATATTTTTGACGAAATGGTTCATAGATTGAAAAATGTGTGTTTTATTGAGCTTTTCACGTGCATACATGTTGATAAAGATTTTAGAGATATTTAACATCGACGTATCCTGAATTTTGACCACATTTAGCATTCAACTGATCCAGTTGTATGCTAAGTGATCAGATTAAAATTGTTTCTAAAAAATTACATAAATTTAACTACTCAGGCGATAATAATTAAGCTAATCATCTTTTTTAAAATGTGTTTATGTGTTTTATTAAATTGAACCGGGGACATTGCATCTCATAGATATACAATATTCATACATACGATTTGTACAGGCTATACAATATACATGCATGTGTAAATTACATAACAATATCATTTAATTATTATTTAGAACATCATTTCTTAATTGATAAGAAAAATACAAAAATTTACCCAGGTTACATAGTTCTTTAGTATTTGTAGGACTCAGTAACTGTACTAATTTAAATACTGATGGTTTTTTAAAATAATAACTCTTGATATATTTAATTCTAAGCTCTTCATACCGAGGACATTTTAATACAAAATGAAAATCGTCCTCTATCTCACCTGACATACATATTTCACATTTTCCTTTTTTTTTCTATGTTACTATACCTTCCCCTCTCTATTCTTAAATCATGAGCTGATAGCCTTAAACGACTGATAGGTTTTCTATACTTTGAATGTAATGGCAACATTATCCACTAAATGTTAATTAATACAAAAAATATTTAGGCGAATTACAAATTCTTACCATAATTTTTTGTTTATAATAGTCATACATTCTTTGAAATATAATGTTCAGAGTATTATTATCAATACAATTACTATACATGTCAGTTAAAACAAGTCTTTGAAATTCCTTCTTAATGTTTGCAATCCATTCATCATTATTTTCAACCATATCTTGATAACATGCTTGTAATATAAAAATATCACTGTTTTTTTAATTTCACCCAGTATTCCAAATTTTCTTTTTCCTATCAAATACTAGTATAAGTGGAAATCTACCTGATTCACAATATTAAACTGCATCATTACTGGTGCTTTGTCTGACCTTTAAAAAACTCTTTTACAATAATTTAAGTGAACATTTCTATGTCTTGACCCATGTGAAATCCCCATACTTCAGCTCCATAACTCATAACACATTTTTGCTGTGTGTGTTTTTTACATGCTATTGGTAACGCTTTTGTTTATGTAATCAATGGAGTATATATTTTTCACATTGTAATCAATGTTTTGGGGAAGCCACGCTGCATTTTGGTTATATCAATTTCCACGCTAGTCATGGATTCCCCAACCAATTTATTTCAATTTCAAATGCTTAAACTTTGAATAACGTGTTTGTGAAACACATGCAGATGCTGATATGACATCTTTGTATCACTAAGGTTAAGAATTCTAAAATTGCTTGTCAATTTCAAAGGCTAAGAGGTATAAAATGTTGGTATTTAAAAGGAAAATATTGTCACAAAAAATACACGAGAAATATGGAAGCCCCGGCACTAACTTGCAAAATCATGACCATGGATAATTTTTTTAAAAGTAGGTCAAACTCGAAGATCAAGAAGTAAAACATGTTTTAGGTTTCCGAAGCTAGGTTTTTTTTCACGAGAAATACACATGAAAAGTAGAAGTCCTAACACCCGACTTTCAAATGTTATTGTCAAAGAATAAGTTTTTTACTCCAATGTCAACAAGTTGTATTTGTGATACACGGATGCCCCTATAAGACTAAATTAAGGTAAAAGTCAAAATTTTATCAAATGCAAGTCTGTGAAATATGAAAGCCCCTGCTCCAAACATTCAAAAGTAATGGAAAATGCTCAAGTCTTTTCAAAGAAGATCAAAGCCCAACGTCAAAGTCGAATATGTTATTACACAAGGGCAGATCTTTCACAAAAAATAAGCATGTGAAGTATGAAAATCATAGCTCAAGCTAATCAAAAAAGATGGGCAAGGTTAAAGTTTTTGCGGATAACAGAAAGAAAATACAGAAAGCTAGACACAGACTGATGGATAAGGTAAAAACTAAACATCTCCGAATCATGGATTACGGAGGTATAAAAAGTAAAAAGTGTTGGTTTCCGGGAAGGACATGTCACAAGGAATAAATATTGAAAATTCAAAGCCCCAAGTCCGAGAAATAAGCTTTTCAAAAGCAAATCAAGCTCTAAGGCCGAGAGGTAAAAAAAAAAATGTTGGTATCCAAAACTATGACCAAAGAAAAAGTTTTTCGGAAAGTAAGGTCATGGTCAAGGTGAACTTAAAAAAAAAAAGGTATGTTGGTACTTAGACTATGATGTCTGAGTCACAAGGATAACTCCCAGTACAGTCCCTAAAGGCTCTGTGTCAGATCGAAAAGACTTGATCGCAAAAATTAAATGTCGCGAACTAACATGTGAAATATACTTCGAGAGCGCTAAACATTCAAAAGTTATGGCCAAGGTTTAAGTTTTTCAAAAGTAGACCAAGTTCCCAAGTCTGCAGGCCAGAAATTGTAGTACTTAAGAAAAGGATTTGTCATGAGAATTAAACGTATGAAGCATGAAAGCCGTAGCACCAACCAATCAAAAGTTATGGCCAAAATATGGTAAAACCCCAAGGTTAAGAGGTAATAAATGTTGTTACTCAAGGGAAGGTCTTGTAACAAAAATTATACATGAGTGTGAAATACAGGTATTAAAGTCCAAGCTCCAACAATCAAAGGTTAATGGACAAGATTAATTTTTTGGACAAACAGCTAAGCAGAAAAACAGACAGACAGACGGGCAGACCATTAAATTGAATCCGTATCCGAATCTTCTCTTACAATGTCATGAACAGAAAATCAGGATCTACGATTTTTATGCCCCTGTAAACGAAGTTTCGGAGGTGTATAGTTGTGTCCTGTCCGTCCGTCTGTCTGTCTGTCCGCAAAAACTTCCTTGCCCATAACCTTTGAATGGTAGGGATTATGGCTTTCAAATTTCACAGGTGTTTTCCTTGTGACAAGACCTTTCTTTGGGTACCACCAAATTTGATATTGGCGTTTGACCTACCTTTACAAAACAATACCACACTTTAACCTTGGCCATAGCTTTTGAACAGTTGGGCTTTTATACTTCACAAGTGTATTTATTAAGACAAGACCTTTTAACGGGTATAAATATTTTTGACCCTGACCTTATAATTTGACCCACGTTCAATAAACTTTAACCTTGGCCATAACTTTTGAACAGTTAGAACTAGGGCTTTCATATTTCACGGGTGTATTCCATGTAATAACCTCTTCCTTTGGGTACCAACATTTTAAAACTTGACCTTTGGAGGTTGACATGCATTTGAGAAAATTCATCCCTCGCCATAAGCTGCCATTCGGGGGCATCAGTGTTTCACAAACCTATTTTGTAAAATTATCTTTTAGGATTGAATACCAATTGCTGTAACAGTGCTGCGGTAGTTAAGCCAGGTAATTGTTATTTTCCTTATTTCCAAACAATTTAAATCTTATGTTACACAGCTAGAATGGGAATGATCTCCATAAACTGTAATTTAAAGGCATTTCTTTCTTTCTTTGCAATTCAAGTGTATTTTGGGGAAAAATGGTTAAAAGACATAATCTTTTATCCTGGTCGGCGCACGTGGTTAGAAGCAAGGGACGTCTGCTGGAGTTTAGGAGGAATCGCTATTGCCCCATCATGGAAGAAATTGATTTGGTACATCAGAACAAGAGCCATACGAGAGAATTGGTATGAATCCTTAGGTCTAATTGCTTGATATATAGATTTGATGACTTTTTTTACACGTGTATATTTATAACTCTATACGAGTCGTACTTTAGAAAGAAACATATTTTGCATTTTCCATAGAAATATTTACACTATGAATAAGAAAATCAACGAAAAGAGAAAAAAGAACCTTTACTTTTCAGTAATATAGTCCGTAGCTTTGTTGCCCACGTATGGAAACCTTTGCAAAAGTTCAATTGTAATCGCAAACACCAGGGTCAAAAGATCAATCATGTACTGTTGATCCCCAAAGAAAGGGCAAGTACGCGAAATAAAGAAAGTGAAATATGAAAGGATAAGCGACATCCAATCAAAAGTGTTTATTATTTAAGTTGTTTGAAAGTGAATCATACTGCATGCAAGGTCAAGGTTAAAGGGTCAAAATTTACTAATCTAAGTGGAAGGTCTTGTCACGAAATACACATGTAAAATATAAAATCTTTCGCACAAATTGAGTAAAAGTTATGGTTAAGATTTGTTTTTCAAAGTAGGACAAACTCCAATGTCAAGACGAAAAGGTAAAAATTATTGGTATCCATAGCAAGGTCTTGTCAGACCGAATACACCTGTGAAAAATTAAAACCCTTATACTGTAGAGTAGTTAAAGTCAAGGTTGAAGTTTTTTTAAGTGAATAAAACACGTACGGCCAAGGTCAAAAGGCAAAAAACATTGATGCCAATGAAAGGCCCTGTCAAAATGAATAAATAAACTTGTAAAGTTAGAAAGCAAGGTTAAAGTTATCGAATTACATGTAGGTCAAAGTCAAATGTCACGATCAAGTTAAAAATACATGTATTGGTACCCAAAGAAAGATATTGTCACAAAAAAATACTTGTGGAATATAGCACAACGCAGCTATACATAAAATGTTGAACTAACAATAGCCGTTCAAAAATTACAGGAAAAGTTAAATTTATTTTTATAAATTTAGAGCAAAGTCAGGGGTCAAAGTCAGGTGTTAAAATATTTTTGGATCCAAGGAAGCGTGTGATCACATGAAATCACATGGAATACACAAATAAACTATAAAAGCCGTAGTACCAACCATTTAAAGCTAGGCCAAGATTAAAGTTTGCTTAAGAAATACAATTTATGAACGAGTTAATGAAAAAAAATCACTGATGAATGAAACATATACGCCATGAGATCATTCTTTTGTCAATGTTCCTAAACTGACATTCAAACAATTTATACATTTTGACTTCGGGGAAAATACGTTTAGCAGAGATATAGATTTTGTATCTGATTGCTGTTGTCATCAGGAGAACAGTTATTCTAAAACTCTATATGACTTTAAACAAATCTTTACATTCAATGCACAATAATCCTATGCTCAATACATGTATCAGAGTAAACTGAATTTTTTTTAATTAATAAAAATTTTTTTGATTCGTATTGTTAAGGAATCTCTAGACAACAGCTAGTGCACTGAAAAGTTCTATTAAAGGATTAGTTCATATCCCGGCGAGCTTGAAATAAAAGATACCACCGAGTCTGACACAACTGTTTCATATTTAGATATTTTACTTGAAAAAGACTTAATGGTTTATCTAGCAACCGATTTTTATGACAAATGAGACGACTTTAACTTTTCAATCGTCAACTTCCCTTAGTTATACAGCAATATATACATTCATCACCTGGAATTTATATCTCTCAGTTGATTCGATACGCAAGAACATGATTTACGAATGAACAACTTTTAAAATATGCCAAGTTATTTACAAACAAGTTGCTGAAACAAGAATATCAACAGTCTCGATTAAAGTCATCATTTCGTAAGTTCTTTGGTTGATACAATTTACGTTGTCATCAAATACAATTTATCCTTAAGTCACTGACAGACGTTTTCATACTAATTGTTAGGCCACAATATAAAACTTATAATTGTCGACAGACTGTTTCGTTATTTCCCAATCATGATAAGGAGCAAAGGTGTGTGTAATCGGTTGACATGGGATTCTTTAAAGCAATATGAGCTGCATTTTTGAGGAAAATCATTTTGCTGTTAAATGTGTTATTATGATTAGTTTTTATGTAATTTAAACCCTTGATTAATAAAACCACAATAAAAATTTAGATTGTATAGAAGAAATATTTCTGTACAATCGAATATAGCATTATGTATTATTTAGAGAACGGGTTCTGTATCGTAGATACAAATTTGGGGGTGGACGAGTGCGTTAGCAACCCCCAAATTTGTATCTATGTCGAGTTCTCTAAATGATATGTGACACGATCAATCAAAAATAGCTCCGCCCACTTTATAACTTTGCAGCATCCAAACTTCCGTCATAGATGAGGCCCCGACGGGGAGTACAATCCGCAGTATATATATTTCCACGGAAAACGTAAAATTCGGTCAGATTAGTTTTGACAACTTAAAAGGGTAGACGTAATCGAGTGATAGTCATTCTAAATGGATAAATTGGAGGATTTAACCGTAATTGTTTTGATCTATAGATGGAGATTGATTATTATATATTTCAGGGGTCTTAAAATCCCGGTTTAACTAGATTTACAAAAACAGAATTTACAGAAAATTCTTCGATGGACTTTGATATCACGGATTTTTATTTTCTAATTGAATTGCGACATTAAAACGAAGTGAAAGAGACGTGTGGCTGTCGTAAGCGAGAAGGATTAAAACGCGAAAAATGGACTTGAGTGATTTTGAACGTGGAGAGTGGATGTGTTCCGTTATTGCGAATTTTCTTTTCGTTTTGATCGAAATTACGTGTAGATTTTGTTATTCGAAATTTGCGAATTTATGTTTTCCTTTGCATCTAAACTACGTGTAGATTCTGTGTGGAATAAGTTTTTTAAAAAGTGATCGAGAAATTTTGACATTTTACATTTTCAGGATTACTACCGGGTATTTCTCTAAAATTTATAATAGGAAAACATCAGCATTTACTATCTGTACGTGCTTTTGCTAAATTGAATCAGATTTATTTTTAGACCGTGCTGTATTGTAGATACATGGCTAATACAGAACGGAAAGTAGCTCCGCCCACCAAAGTCCCGTTCTGTATTGCTAATACAGAACAGTAAACTTCAAAGAAAAACACCGCTATCGTGTCACAAATAAGAAATCAATAATGTACAGGACGACAATAATGTCATTTTGCTTCAATTAAAGCTTATAAAAAGTTCTTCCATCGCAAATATGATCAACAGAATTTTACAAATGTCCTATTTTTCTATCATTGAAATACTAGAAGTTGACTTCAAATTTGCAACAAAATTTCCCCTGTCAAACTTGCAGCTCATATTGCTTTAATACTTATTTATAGACTAGTTATTGTTCATTATAATAGCTGTCTGATAAGCATTGATCTATACTGGTAAGTCTAAAACAAAAACAAGATAATTCGAAAGTAACTAGTTTATTATATACAACACAGCAAAATATCTACACATTACAATTTAAAACATTCAGACTGGAAAACTGGGGACACACAACTGTTCTGCAATTACAACTAAAATATGAGTCATCCCCCTTAAAAAACAAGTTGAATCATGGGGGATGAAAAACCGAGTACATTTTATAAAAAATATCCCCCCTTTAATAGTAACAATTGCTTTAATATTTATCTAAAACAATCCATTCTGACAAAGTTTTCAGGTACAGTAGTTATTTTTTTTCATATTGAGCCTTACGTCTGGAATTATCTTCGACAGAATCCATAACAGAAATAAAGTTCTGTCGCATTTAGAATTTTTGTACAATATATTTCAGTTCATAAAGATAAATTTTTATTCTCAGGCCTCCATCTGAGAACCTCTGGTTGGGACAGTATAAGGTCAGCAATTCCTCTGCTTGGTTTATGGACAAAAAAAACTGTGAAGAAAAAACAAACAATTTTCCGGGACATTTGGTCAGCGAGGAGCAGTGTGCTGTTATTAATATGTCAATGGCGTCTCACAATGACCCTTTCATGATGTATGCATCTCCCTGCAATCTAAGCTATGCCTTTGCCTGTTCTTTCTACCTTGACAAAAATATACCCAAAGGTCGAGATATTTTTTTTCTCACTTTTTCATGTTAACTAGAATTAACTTAATTTTTCAGTATTTGTATTTACGTACTGTGAAACACGTTCATGACTAACATGCTAATTGCTTAAATAAAAACACTTGCTTGTTTTGAAGTTTATTCACCGAGTAGCATGTAATGAATTGAATGGATTTTTTTTTAAAATTAAGAATATTTAAGTAAAACAAATTAAAATTATTATTACCATCACCAGTAGTTCACTTTTACTTTGTTTAATCCGATACTAACAATATTGTTTTTAAACAACACAGGGGTTGGTGTTTACTTGAACACAGAGATGGTGGAATCTGGAGATTTTAAAGTTAAATACGACTCAGTTTTCAACGAAACGGAATGTGCTGCTTTATCCTTTAATGTTAGCAGTACCTTTCAGTGTTATGCTTCAACGTTTGATCCAGAAAATGGATCGTGTCAGGCAGAATGTGCTGAGTTTACAAACATTCCAGACAATGTCACCCTTGTTCAATCATCCTTCAATAAGACTGTGCTGCTGCGACCATCGCATCGAGGTGATTTTATTAAAGTTAAAAATTATGAAATATATACTCGTTTTAAAGAGCATCTAAACTCTGCACTCTGGACTTCTAATACCATGGTAGTATAATGAAGTTTTTGTATCTGTATTTTTTGGATGTAAAAATTAAGAAGTCTAGGTGGTCATAGCAATTTTTAGAACATTTTAACCTCCTGGATAAGAAGAATTTTCTTAAAAAAAAAAAAAAATACAGAAAGTTGCCAGAATTGCTTTTTTCTATCTCAACTACAATGTAGTTATGAAATGGAGATAACGAACAGTATGATTAGAGCTCATAAATCTATTCATTCAATACAAAATAGGAGCAGAGCAAACACGGACCTCTAAAACATCAGAGGTGGGATCAGGTGCCAAGGAAACGTAAGCTTTCCCTGCCGACCAGTCACGCCCGTTATGTGCTCTTGTCATGATCGGGAAGTAATGGAAAATTCGTGTAATTAATGGCTAAACAATAAGTATGAAGAACACCAGACAGCTATTTGATTAATGATAGATTGTACATGTATTTGTCGTTGTATTAACCATAGAACTTATAAATACGAAAATGTGACTTTAAATTGGACTGTTGATATTCTTGTTCCAGTAACTTATTTGTCAATAACCTACCTTGTTTTTGACATACATAGGGCATGCTCTTGTGCATCGAATCTATGTATAAAGAAGAGATACTACATTAATTTCCCCTTAGTATGTGTAGTTTGGTGTATTGACGACAGATCTCACAAAAAATAATTTTGCTTTCTTAGCAAAGGGTCGATCTCCGTTTTTAATATAAGATAATATGTAGGTTGCAACTTTTTTTGTCAGGATTAAACGATCAAGGTATTCAGCATTGATTAAATTTGAAATTAATGTTGATAAAAATATGCTTAAAATGTGAAAATCAATGGAACCATAATATAAAAAGTATACCTAAACAAACATGAGTTATTCTCCTTTGCCTGATTAAAAAAAAATAACTGAAAAATAGATTTTTCGTTAAACATATTTGCTTTTCTATACAAAGCCACACTTTTATTGTAACTATTTTATAACATAAACGAAATTCAATTATTGAAAATTATAGACGAACGTGTATGACGTCACGTTAAGGTGACAATACCCTTAACAATTAATATTTTATATTTTTAGGTGTATCTGATAGGTTGTTTGTTGACTGCCAAGCCTTGTAAAATAAATATTTTCGGTGAAGGTCACAATTTATAATCGATTCTAAGTGTTCTTAACATTTTATTTTCCAAGATATTTAATGCATTAACAAAAAAAATTTCGAATTCTTCCTTGTCATTTGAAAACATTCAATTTTATATTGAGATTTTGAAATCAATTCTTTATTTAGTAAACAAAAACCTATGAAGATTTTGGCAGATACGCCAGTAAATACTCAGTATGATATTTCTTAAAGTCTAAAATTTAAAGCAGTCTTAACTGATTTTTAGTGTCCATTTATGATATAAAATTAAAAACCAATCTATATTACCTTTGCATATATCTATGATAGTGACATACACCTGTTTTTCCTTTTAACTATTCACTCAAGACGTAACATTTGCAAATCTGTCACTTAAATCAAAGAATCAATAAAGAGATTTATTAATCCAATTATGTAAATTTTTAATCATGATGTCATGTCATATGTTTCTTTCAACTCGATTAAAATGTATTATAAGTGTTTACCACCATACTTTAATGTCGGACTTTAAAAAATATGCACAGTGGACAGAAACATTTTACAATTATAACCTTTTTGTTTATTTCAGTGTTTGTAAACTCGACTACTCCAACTGGGTCGGGTAGTTTTCAATTTTACCCCTCGTGCACGACAGACACAACGACTGCTAGTGACGTCACGACAACGGAGGACCAATCAACTGCCTTGTGTTCTTGTTTTTGTGCTACGTCAGTGAATATGACAGAGGAAACGTTAGCAGTGGTAGTGAATGATATAAAGCGCAAACTTGCGGTCAACGTCACGTCTTTATCCGCATCAGTGCGGCGTAAAACGTCGGCTGCGGATGCTAGAACGTCGTCTAAGGCGATGGGAGCTTTAGGTCTTGGTATAATTACTTCGGTTTTACTTGCAATGATTCTAAGTGACCTAAGTCACTTTATCCAATTTTTCAACACTGTGTTTTCGAAATTACACTGAATAAAACAGAAAATAAAATAAGGGTTTAGTACTCTCAAGTTTATTTTTTTAAAAAGTACTAGTTACACAGTATATAACATACATTGTACTCATAGTCCTTGTTGCACCCAGAACACATAGAGAAATGATTAGGAATGTTCACGCTCCTCTATCTTTATCTTTTCCATCTCTCACCTGGTAAGTTTTCGGTTCTTAAATTCTTGTTTGACAATTTGTCTATATTTTTTTCAATCGGCCTTTCCTCTTTTGGGTGCCATCCATGAATAATCATGAGATATATCGACGACATATTGTAAATTTACAATGGTTATTTCCGGGTCATTCTTTTGTCGATACGATATATCCCGGTGAGCTTGAAATAAAAGATACCGCAGAATCTGGCACATTTGTTTCATATCTAGATATTATTTTTTTTTTTGAAAAGGACGTTAATGGTTATCTAAAAACCAAGCTTAATGACAAACGAGATGACTTCATCTTTTCATGTCAACTTCCCTTTCTTGTGCAGCAATGTTCCGTCATCACCTATATACTGGGTTTATGGTTAATAACAAAAATTATGAAATACAGATCACGCGTTTGCGTATCAAATCAGGACAAATAAAGTGATGTTGGAATATTGCTACATAAATCGGGGAACTTGACAATGGAAAACTACTGTTCAATAAATAATGTCCTCGGTGCTCAGAAAGAAGCAAACGACGCTTTTCAATATTTAGTCTTCATGATTTTACTCATTAATCTATTTTAATTCAAACACATATCCGTTACATTTTTTATCCAATTTCTGATTGTTTTTAAAACTCATTTTTGGGTATGACCCTTAGTATACTGGAAAATGGCAGATCCAATGATTTCCTCGACTTGTTTTTTCCTTCTGAAAGGTGTTTTTTTCAAGTTTGGAAATAGAAACAAGTCAAAAGGTCAAAGATCTGGCAAATATTGTTAATGTGAAAAAACAATTACTTTCTGTTTATCCCGAAAACCCCTTTACAATTCAGGGCATGCGGGTTTGGACGCTGTCATGAAGAAATTCAATGTAGTAGATTTCTGATACTGGGTCCTTCCTCTAATAAACCTTTCGATTTTTTTGCAAAAAAATTGCTTTCTAGACTCCTCCAGATATTAAACTGTCTCCCCGAATACGAATTTGAACAACAATACCACTAATATTTAAGAAAATTGCATATAAATCTGTCTTTGTGCTCTTGCAAACCTTTGCTTTTGTCAGACCTTCGCCTTTTTTATCAAGTACATCTTACGGTAAATTTTGTTTTGGTGATTTTAAGCAATAGATTCATGTTCCAATATCTGTTTGAATATAAAACAAACATGGATAACTACAATTACTGATATTTTAAAATGATTGTTAAGACTTTCGTACAAGCTGTCGTTTTCACTCATTTTTCAAAATATAGGGTCACCTTTGAGTACCAAGCTTTTTTACTGTCAAACGTTTCTTAAAAACTATGTAAATTACTCCCGATATGATGTCTATCAAATTTGCTATGTGTCTTAAAGTCAATCATACATCATCAAATATTATTTGTTGAAATTTGGCAAAGCGTACATGAGTTGTTATAATTTTTGTTGGCAAGAAGGGTACCCATTTTTGATGCCCATTATATAATTTTTTATCATTGAAATCCACCTGCTCATTTGTCTATAAAACGGGCATCGGTTGCTGTAAATGACACATATTTCAGTGAATATTTCTTTGGGACTTTTAACAAGTTTTACAGCAGCTTTAATGTAGCTTGTATTTTCACTCTACGAGGGTCATTCAAAAAATACGTAGACAATGCTTCTCATCGTCATATGATTATTACAAGATTATAGATCAATACATTTTCGTAAACATAAACATTTATTTTGTCGATAAGTTTTTCCATTTGATTAAATAGAACTCATGTTAGCCATATTTTAAAGAAACATGTTTTGTTACCACGGAGCACGGTTATCCAATATTGTAACGTCAACATCAACGCTGAGAAAGTTTGTCAAAAGTATACTCATTTTTTTTAATTTCAAATACGGTTTGTAGTGTCTTCTCCATTCAAAACACATATCCACAACACTTAACACCTAGTTTGCTAACAATTGTACAAATATAGCTTGAATCAGAATGTTATTGTTTTCAAATTCTTTAAATTACTATGCAACTCTATTATTTCTGCAAGATTGAAGCACACATCACGTTCAATGACGTTCCTAACTCTTTTGACAATATTTTTATCTTTAACCTGTTTCTTTGCAGACAATCCATCGTCCGATTCAAATTCGCTACCACTCAAAATTGTATTTTTAATTTAATACAAATACACGGATTACTTTTTATACAGATCCTGGTTTAAAAGGATTTTTTAAGCTTGTAGAAGAAGTTTCCCGAATGTAAAGTCTGATTTTATTGCTACTTGCTGCTCCGTTACGTCCTCCAACGTCATGTTTCTTTGCCTTTTTCAATCAAGTCCTTATGTATTTAGAAGCTGATATCTTTTAAATGGAGCGAGATATTACATAACCTGATTTCATTTTAATTAATAAAACAATACTTTATTTAAACATGTAAATTTTATTTCGTTTCAGCTCCATTTATTAGAGGTATAGCTGTAAATACTATAAAGTGAAAATTAGAAAAATACTCAATTTTGACGGTGCTCCGTGACCCCATTTTTGCTGTTCTAAATCCTTGGTAATTTTAATAAATATGAAGATACATTCCATTTTTTTACTCCAATTATTTAAATCTGTTGTTAAAATATTTGTATCAAATTTGGATATAATACGACGTTAAATAAAAAAGTTAGGACAAAAGTCTACGAACTTTTTGAATGACCCTCGTACTTTACTGATTCTTACCATTCATTTATAATGCAGTGTCTCGAATAGCCCTTGTTTCCCAGCATCTCACGATGAAACTATGTGATGAAAAGTGGTCACATAAACTGTTCTAAATTCATTAAAGATTCAATAATGAGAAAAAGTCAAGTTTAATGTCATATGATATTTGTATTGTATTTCATACAGTTCAGGACGACATTATTTATTAAACAGCCCTCGTATGTCATACAATTTATATATTAGTTGACCATTATCGTGTATAGTCAGAAAACATTTAAATTAATAATAGAAATGTAACAGAATTCGTATTTTTTTTTATTTCGAGTTCACTTGGATATATCGAATCGACATATGAATGGACAGTTTTTGTAATTAGTTTTCGATGATGAAAAAATTAAATGAGTGAATTAATTATGGGAGAAATGTTTTGTGTTCTGTTCAATGTCTTTAAGACCTTTAACTGTGAAGACAGAATGGCTGAGGAAATATATTCAAAGCGTTTAATTTCTTACAAATAGTACTGCTTGTTGGAAGTGATACTAGTAGTTTAATTGATTATATTAGTTGTCATAGTAACGTGGAAACTATGAAATTTATATCAAAAATTAATTTATTTGAAATATAACAAAAAAGGCAATATATAATTATTTTTTAAGCATCAAATTTTATTTCAAAACTTACAATGCAAATACAGGTAAAAAATAAAAAAAAATTCCTTAGTCAATCCGCACCATGGATTTAAAAGGCTTTTGGATACATTCAAAAACAAATTAATTTGTTGTACATTTACATGCATTAAAAAAAGATATTTGCATAAATTATGCTAAAAATGGTACTCATTTTGATTATTTCTGCAGAAAATATATTTACATAAATATACCATCAGACAATGTATAAATTCATTGAGCGTGTCTTATAACATTTGTAAAATTCATAATATAATATTTTACATGTATTACAGGGCACTTGATAACAACAAATTTTTAAACAAGAAAACTAACACATTTTGAATAATGTTTAGTGAGTTTAAAGTTAACATACGATTTTAAACTATAGAATACAATTTTTTAAATCATAATGATGAATAAACAATGATTTTCATCTGTTAATTTTGACAATAATCCTGTCAGAGGGAATTTATAGCATTGCTTTATTGGCGTTATGTGAGCTGAATGAATTTTTAATCAAAGCAAAAATTATTCCCGTGTCAAAAAGACCATTAAAAAATTTGATAATTTTAATCTCAGTCATAACAAAAATATGATTTTTTTGATCGATCGTCATTGTGCTTCACTCAGTTTTATAGCTTGTTAGAATTTAATTCTTACACTATCTCTTTATTTCCACCCAGCTCCATTAACGTGTCAAAAAGACCATTAAATATTTTGATAATTTTTAAATCTCGTTCATCACAAAAATATGATTTTTTTGATCGATCGTCATTGTGCGTTACCCAGTTTTTATAGCGTGTTAGAATTTAATTCTTACACTATCTCTTTATTTCCGCCCAGCTCACTTAACGCATAAATTAATTTATCCCAAAATAATAGCTCGTTTTGCTTTAAAAATGTATGCGTTTCCAGATAATGTCTCATATCATTATTAAGTTTGTCCAAATCTGTGCCATCCATCACCACTGCTATCAGATGCCTATTTTTCTCCAGTAAATTCTGATGAAAAGCAGTTTTGAATTCTAGTCCACACCATTTACTTTCAAGAAAGGCTTCCGATATGATCATAATTGTGTGTCTGCTATTGTCGATACTTTCTATGATGTTATCGGATATAAATCCTCCAAGTTTGAAATCACGTTCGTGAAGACAGAGCCGAAGTTTTGACAGTGACTCCGTAAGTCTTGGAACCAAAACTCGATTCACCCATTCTGTGTCATGATGACTATAAGACAAAAAGGCGTCGTATTCCTTTGTCAAAGAACTCTCGGACAGAACTGGTTTGAAGATTTTCATACGCAGTCTGGTGTACGAAAGAATATGCAATTCTTTTCGATATCTAGAAATTACGACAATGAGAAAAAATACGAATAAAGCCACCGACAACATTATTATCAAATTTAAGTACAGGGTATTATTTGTCTTCAAAGTCTGGGCGGCGTAGCATATTTTTGAGATGCTCAGATTACTGATTTTCCTGCCTCTTAATTTTA